CACCTGCGCGGATAAATCGGACCTGTGCGAGTCACGTATTGCGGTCTCCCCATAGTATAGGAACCTGATGACCACCCTGGTGACAAGCTAGTAGTGGACGCGCGTGTTCCAAGACATTTCGACTCCACCTGAAGATTAAGGTAGATCTTCATGTCGTCGTTCTCGATGACCCGCTGGATTGATCGTGGCACAGGACCGTCGGTTCACAAAACATTGTGATGGAGGTCGACTTGGCGGAAGTTAAGTGGGTCACCATTCTAAAAATAGAACATTGTACTCCGAACTGATAAAGTCATTTGCAAAACACCCCAGTTCTGACTTACCAGTGCAAGAAACTTGAAAGCTTGATGCCTTACGAATCCCTACTCTCCAAGTCGCGTGGTTGCTCATGAGTACTGAGTCATGAACCGTTTGAAGTACGATACTGGAGTCCTATCCCTTTACCATTCAATCGTTTCGCCACCCTGCATGCGCTTTCTTTGTCTAGCTGGCCAAAACGAAGAACGGGCAGCAGATAACTTGACTTTGCTCTCAAAGTTTATGCGGGTTTCCTTGTGTGCTTCCCAGTCATTGTTTCAGTCACGGTAGTCTTCAACGCGGCTGGCAGCCCCACCAGCTATAATGTTTTTACGTTCACTTCGAGGCACCTACGCTGAAGCACCTCAAGCTATGTGACACCTCTCGCTTGATTCTTACTCACCTCAAAGGTGAATTCAATTCGCACAACCCGCTCCTACAGAGCATGCACGTCCTTCAGCCCTTTAACAACTCATCTTCTACGATCCTCCGCGAACATCTGGTTTATGTATGTTCATGTTGGAGTCTGGGGGAACGGACGTACCCGGAGATGAGTGACGTCGGACAACGAGCACAATCAAGCCATCCCCGAACGAACGAACTTTTTCGTATGTCTCAGTTTTATATATATTTTCTCCTACTCTCCCCGTATGATAAAACTAAGTTGTCGATCTGGAAATGTAAGTAATCGAAAAATGGACCTTTCAGGTCTTCAAAGCTTCAGGCCTCAGGTGTGATCTCGCAGCGAAGGCGGCTGAGTCTCAAGATATCACCACATCTACAGGACTCTTGCAACATTCGTGATAAGGACTTCCGGGCCCACAATGCCCCACATCATGATGGTGGAACGGATGCTGCACATGCATGCGTTCGAGGTAAAAATGGTCATTATTCAAGAACCTACAATCCTGGACCCATTCTCATATGACGAGATATCATTCGCTCAAAAATCCCTTGCAACACCCGCAACGACATGCAGGGCCTTCCACGAGCCTAGAAACTTGTGCTCCCGCTTTACCTGTCTCTTCACAGGTGCTGGTGGTGAGATTGGAGAGGATGGAAGGAGAGAATCGCCTAAACTCTTCTGCTTCATCTTCGTTGGACATGGTGACTTGTTAGCTTCCATCGAACTGTGCGCGTGATTTATGAATGGAGTGCTTACTAGTATATACAGACCGCGGGTGCTCTTATGTGGTCGTGTTACTGAGAACGAGAAAAATGTCTGTTTGGTTGCAAGCAGGGCCCTGATAGTGATTCCGACCTGTGCAAGAGTGAGCCGAGGTGAGCTGCTATTCCCACATTAGTACTAGGAGTGAATGTGACGCACCGAAGTAAAAGTTGAATCCCTAAATTGTAGGGGCTCGCAAGGGGACGCATCGAGGGGAGGCTATATGAGATAGTTAGTAGCAAAAGTGGTAAGAAGGCATCTGTGTGAGCATCTGCGTCAATGCGGGCATCTGCGTCAATGCAGGAGTTCGCATCGGTGCAAGCGCCTGCGTAAATGCAAGTATCCGCGTCCACGAAAGTACATGCACACGGCAGCAGGTCTTTGCAAGGACGGTGATCACGCTCGCCACTGGTAGGTGTCATAGTGACTGGGTGGATGATTCCTCCTCTTATCAGGTTTTGCGGTGAGGAACCTGACGAGAGTTCACACAACGGTGAACTTTCTATACGAGTGAGCTTGAGAGAAAGTCGCTGTGCCAGTGCTACTCGTGGCCGGTTTCTACACCAGACTTGCCTTCGTTGCACAAAACGATCTGGGCCGATGGAGCTTACCGGAGTTTGTAGCATGTACAAAAGAAGATCCGAAAGGAGGGCAGGGCACCGGAGCTTGCTAGGATTAATCTGCCAATGGGCGCTGTGGGGTACCTAGTAGGCAGAGAAGAAAACCCACATACTGCACAGCCACTCTGCCACTGCACGAAGTTCTCTGTTACACAACTCCACACTCCGCTCGCGAGAAATTCCAAATATCGTTGGCCTTGTCGTGTACACCTCAGCATTGCACAGGGTTGCCTCATGGTACACAACCATATCAATATTAATATCACCCATCGGGCTTCTGGCCAACACTGTGCAGTCGGACGCATAGAAAATTCAAAACATGCCAGTATGTGATATGAGTCGGAGACTCATTGAGATCCACGTATACTGGCATGAGGATCCATGGTTCTTCAAATTCAAGGGTAAATCAAGGAACTGTCTGTCTTTTAGTCGCATTGCAGGCCTGACCGGAAACTGGCGCAAACAGGTGGTGCAACAATTTGGACATGGACTCGGCGCAACAGCTCACCATCAAACTGGTCCAATGATAGACGCAACATCTTTGGCAAAAAGCTCAGCGAGCGTGTCGGGCGTAGCCAGATTATGATCATAGGCCCGGGCAAGTACTACAAGCTGCCACGCTTGCGACAGTCAACTAATTCAAAATATGGATCGAAACCCTAAGAGCTAGTTCGGCAACTCGATATTTTCGATATTTTTCAATATTTGCTTTGGCATGTTTGCGAAAATGTTCACCGGCATCGTTCCGAGATGTCGGAGCTCGAACCTTGCTTCTCTCCTACTGTACATATTATCAATGGATGTATACCCTCATCTAACCCTAGAGCGGCGTAAGAGGCTTTTTGCTGGTGCGGTCGCGATCACTGCGATCTGTGCACAGTACACTACTCTTCTCATGGCCCAACCTGAAGTCAATGCTCCCCCTCACTCCAAGGCCCCACCAGCGCAGTGGAATGATGTCGAGACTGTTACCCTTGTAGACTATCTCTATGATCATCGCTCAGAGGCTGAAGGGGCAGGCAACTTCAAGCAGCAGGTTCTTGGCTCTGCTGCAGAGTTCATCAACAATCATGAGGCGCTTCAATCCACTCGCGCAGGTCCACTGAAGACAGCGAAATCAACTCGAAACAAGTGGACATCAGTAAGCCCTATTTGATCTCATCTGATCTAAGCTGACGAGTCTCATCTAGCTTAAAAACATATTTCATGCTATCGAGAAGTACCGCAACCAGACAGGGGTCCACTGGGACAATGAGACTGGAGCTGGGATTGAAGGAACTGCGGCTGCGGCTGTATGGACATCGTATGTCAAGGTATGTCCCCTCTTCGTCATATTGATTTGAGCGCTGACTTTTGTCAGGCAAATAACCTCATGCGTCCTTTCCGCAACAGGGGATGGGAGCATTATGAAAAAATGCAGACCATCATCCCATTGGGCGGCGCTAGAGGGCGGCACGTCTTCCGTCCAGGTGGCGCTGCTCCCTCCACCACCAATGCTGATAACGATCTTGCGGATGCTGCTGGCCCATCAAGCACTGCTGCTGTTCCTGCTGCTCCAAGCGCTGCTGCTGTTCCTGCTGCTCCAAGCGCTGCTGCTGTTCCCGCTTCTGCAGGCCCATTAAGCACTGCCGCCACCTCTACGTCCATCACTAGCTCCACTCGAAGCCCTTGCGATTACGATACACCGGACGTTCGATGGCCTTAGGCGTGACGTGGATGTGACTGCCGTCGATCGCCCCAATAGCGTCCTTGAAAAAGGGCCACCATTTGGGGTTCTTCCGAATTTTGCGGGGGACCGAACCATCTGGAAAGCGCACGTATCTTGAATAGAACGGGTCCGACGTGAAGATGATAAGCATCTTGCGGAAATAACTACATACTATTAGATACTGTCACTTGAAATAAAATAAAATAAACTCACCGTGAAATCGTTTCGTTCGAGCGTTGAAATCTCTCCGCAACATGCCTGATTGATAGGCCAGTCACAGAGGTGTAAAGAAAAATCGCAAGTTGTTCCTCGAGGGACACAAACTTGGAGTCTGAATGGCCCATGGTGCGAAGCTCGGAGATAAGCTCCACAAATGCATTGGCGCGCATGCCAAGCTCACACCTGATGCGCTCTGGGTGACCAGTGAGCAACTCGATCACCCAGTCTTGCCCAGTTAGCGCTGAAGTGTGATAGGGCTCGGGATCTTTGGGATATATTGATTGTAGGATGCCGTGCGTAGAAGCAACAACGATGCTGATTACGAGTACCATGCATTTGAGGAGTCGTTCCCGGACCTCTGGCCGAGGATTCGTCATGAGCGCTGCTAGGCGTTGGCGCTCCATCGCGAACCCCAGTGGTTGGGGATCCATCAAGGTATATACCCTACCCTCATTATCACTGATCTTGTTGATAAGCTCAAATTCAAGCTCCGAATCGCCTTGGACTTAGGGGGAGCATTGACTTCAGGTTGGGCCATGAGAAGAGTAGTGTACTGTGCACAGATCGCAGTGATCGCGACCGCACCAGCAAAAAGCCTCTTACGCCGCTCTAGGGTTAGATGAGGGTATACATCCATTGATAATATGTACAGTAGGAGAGAAGCAAGGTTCGAGCTCCGACATCTCGGAACGATGCCGGTGAACATTTTCGCAAACATGCCAAAGCAAATATTGAAAAATATCGAAAATATCGAGTTGCCGAACTAGCTCTAAGGAAGTGTTTGGAAAAGTGAATCACGGGCGCTTATGCGGATGATCACGTCATTCATCCGCTGTATGTATTAGGCGTGTCCTGTTGTTGAACGTTCAGTGTTCACAGCCTCCATGATCTAGGCATACTTACTTCATGGTACCCGTACGTTCGAGTCTCCTTCTACTAAATCAAGCATAGAGCATCACGCTAGTACCACAAATGGACTCTAAGAGTCCAAGCTCGATTGGACAACTGTTTTTACATTGCCAATAAAATGGTCACGGTGAAGGCCTAGTACTAGTGCTTTCTATCAGGCCTCGCATATTTTTGGATGCCTTTTCTTGACAAGCTGCAACGTGACAGCCTCGTGTAGTTCTCTAACACAGCCTCAAGCTCACAAGTTGGCCTTGCAGCTCGCCCTTAAATTCTAGGGATCGCTGAGCACTTACCATATCATTTCCCTTGCACTGGCAGGCCTTCAGTGTACAAGTACTGCAGTTTCAGCTCCCTAAGTGTGTATTGCTTGCGATCTCACTCCATTTTGCGCTCATGTAATACATTTCACAGCGGGATTAGCAGTGGTTATCTTGCATTCACTAACCGAGGCTATCGAGTCGCATACTCCTCCATCCACATCAGTCTTTCAGCTGTGTTTGTGACAAACCTTGCAAAAAGCCTTCGAAACAGATTCCAGCAGCGGGGGATGATGTCTGACCTTGATGAGGCCATCGAGCTCCATCGCGCTGCATTACTCCTCCATCCCCCCAGTCATTCGCTTCGATCCAACTCTCTGAATAATCTTGCAATCAGCCTTCGAGACAGATTCAAGCAGCGGGGCATGATGTCTGACCTCGATGAGGCCATCGAGCTCCATCGGGATGCATTACACCTCCGTCCCCACAGTCATTCAGATCGATCCAACTCTCTGAACAATCTTGCAATCAGCCTTCAAGACAGATTCCTGCAGCGGGGCATGATGTCTGACCTTGATGAGGCCATCGAGCTCCATCGGGATGCATTACTCCTCCGTCCCTCTGGTCATTCAGATCGATCTATGTCTCTGAACAATCTTGCAATCAGCCTTCAGAACAGATTCCTGCAGCATGGGGTCATGTCTGACCTTGATGAGGCCATCGAGTTGGATCGGGAGGCATTATTCCTCCGTCCCCCCGGTCATTCACATCGATCGTCGTCTCTGAACAACCTTGCACTCAGCCTTCAAGACAGATTTCACCAGCGTGGGATCATGTCAGACCTCGATGAGGCCATCGAGCTGCATCGGGATGCATTACTCCACTGTCCCCCCGGTTATTCAGGTCGATCCACGTCTCTGAACAATCTTGCAATCAGCCTTCGACACAGATTCCTGCAGCGGGGCATGATATCTGACCTTGATGAGGCCATCGAGCTCCATCGCGCTGCATTACTCCTCCGTCCCCCCGGTCATTCACATCGATCCTCGTCTCTGAACAATCTTGGAAACAGCCTTCAAGACAGATTTGAGCAGCGGGGCATGATGTCTGACCTTGATGAGGCCATAGAGCTCCATCGCGCTGCATTACTTCTTTGTCCCCCCCGTCACTCACATCGATCCTCGTCTCTGAACAATCTTGCAAACAGCCTTCAAGACAGATTCGAGCAGCGGGGCATGATGTCTGACCTTGATGAGGCCATCGAGCTCTATCGAGTTGGATTACTCCTCCGTCCCCCCGGTCATGCAGATCGATCTTCTTCTCTGAGCAATCTTGCAAACAGCCTTCAAGACAGATTCCGGAAACGGGGCGTCCAGTCTGACCTTGAAGAAGCATTCAGCTTGTACTCTCAACTCTCCTACCTATCGCATGCAGTATCTCGCAGACGTCTTAATGCTGCCAAGTCATGGGCGGCCTCCGCCGACATCTTCAATCACCCATCTGTATTGCTTGCTTATAAGATTGCACTGAACTCCTTGGATCAGCAAGTTGCTCTCCTGTCGTCGTCTTCGCATCATTTCGACGTCATCAGAGAGGATGTTTCTTCTCTCGCCACAGATGCTTTTTCATGCAGTGTTCGTCGTGGTGCGCTGACGACTGCGGTGGAGTTGGTGGAGCAAGGTCGTGCAGTATTCTGGACCCAGTTGGCACGCTTCAGCACATCACTCGATGAACTTTCTGTTTCAGGTGACGCCGGCATGGTCTTGGCAGAGGAGTTCAAACGGTTGAGTTTTTGCCTTCGTAACGCGTTCGATCAGTCTGAAGACCAGTCTCCGCAAATCCGACAACTGACAATGCAATGGGATGAAGTTGTCTCGCGCGTTCGCATGCTCTCCGACTTTTCGCGTTTTCTCCTACCTCCACTATTTTCTGACCTCCAGAAGGCGGCTGAAGATGGCCCAGTGATAATCGTCAATGCTGGTCAGCACAGCTGCGACGCCTTGATCATCCGTAGTGCCGGAGATCCTGTCCATGTTCCGCTTGACATTAAACAAGTCGAGGTGTTCGAATTCTCCTCAGAGTTCCAAACACTCGCAGAGCAATTTGGATCTTCTGATTATCAACTTACGCTTGTCGGCATACTTCGCAAGCTTTGGAATGATGTCGTTGACCCCGTAGTCCGAGCTCTCAGGGAGTCTGAAGTTCGCCCTGGTTCGCGTATCTGGTGGTGTCCCACTGCTGAGTTCACGCTGCTTCCCCTCCATGCAGCAGGACCATACGAGAAGGGGAGAGACAATTTGTCCGACATTTACATATCCTCTTACACCCCCACTGTGGCGACTCTCGTTCGTGCAAGACAGCAGATTTCTCGAGATGCGTCTTCGCAACATTTCGTTGCCATCGGCCAAGGCAACCCGGTTGAAGGGAAGGAGCTCAAATGTGTCACTCCTGAGCTAGCCGTCGTCGCTCGCCACGTTACTCCCGTCATCTCCTTCACATCCCTCGAGGATGGCGACGCGACAGTCGAGGGTGCACTCGATGCACTCGACCGTAATCAATGGCTCCATCTTGCCTGCCATGGAATGCCGCATCGGACGCAGCCGTTTGAGTCTTCCTTCGCCATGCACGACGGGCCTTTAATGATCAAGGCTATCATCCGATCCAACTCGCAGAACCCACAGTTTGCATTCTTATCAGCCTGCCACACTACCGTTGGCGATAAAAAGAGCCCGGATGAGTCGATCCATCTTGCTGCGGCCATGCAATTCTGCGGATTTCGCAGTGTAATCGGTTCCATGTGGTCTGTTGACGACGAGGTTGCACGCGAAGTCGTATCTGCTTTTTACCGCAAGTTGATTGGTGGTTCAAAAAGACTGGACTGCACAGGGGCTGCAGTAGCGCTGCACAAGGCTGTGAGATCGTTGCGCAAGAAGAATATTCCGTTGGAACAGCAGATTGTATTTGTTCACATAGGTGTGTAGTTAAGAGACTCGATTCGCTATATTATTCTATTTGCTGGATTTCTAGTTGTTTTCATTCCCTCCCTCTGCCGTTGTTTACTTATTTCTGCATCATACTTTCTTGTTCTGTACTGTACTAGTGCCACACTCTGCGTTCCGTTGAATAAATCCAATCTACTCCTGCATCGTCGCAGTTCCAAGTCGTTAGGCGCGGCCGTAGTATATGATTCAAGCGGTGTTACCTGGGAACTATCCTTGCTGCCCCAGTGGTGTATGTATCTGCTCATTTGTTCGGTGCTACTGGTTGTGACTTGTAGACACTATCATGCTGTATCATGCCGAATCTTATGTGATGACATCAGACATCAAAATTTTGAAGAAAAGTGTACAAGAATGCGAGCAAGATCCACTATAATCAAAAACATAGCTCAAGCATGTATACAGCAGAGCACTGAAGAAAGCCATGTGCGAAAGAATATTACTTTGAGAACGAGAGTACTTACAGACTAAGCTACAAGGGTTGCACTCCAACGTTTTGAATAATGTCAATATCATTGATGTGTCATGGACGATAAAGCCATAGATCTGCCGCATCGTAACGAAAATCGCGTATCCGTCCCCTTGGACCGCCTTGCTATTGTCGTCGACGACTCGGATGCGCATTCGTAACCACCCATAGGCGTCCCAAGTCGATGTCCAGAGTTATAGATACACCCAGCATTGAGCTAAACGACTCGAGGTGAGTCAACTATAGCTCGTCAACTAATCAAAGTTAGGAAACCAAATCAACGAACGTCGAACGAAATCTTGGCCTCCAGATCAGACAACAGAAAACGTTGTGCAATGAAGTGACAAAGTTCAGACCATATCAGCATAATCGCAGGTCAGATGTATAGGTAAAACGACTGGGCAAATGTATGCATGCAAATTGGATCATCATATGAGAATGTCTGAGCCGCTTTCTATTATTCCAGGCTCAGCCGCTGCCGGGATGAATAAGGTTTGTCTGAGTTTGAAATCTTGCTCATGCGTTACGGTCTCGTCCATATTTCCTGCACCCTCAGACAATTACTAAATTGCTTCAAATATGTAGTGCGAAAACCTGTTCACTGGGTCTTACAATCCCGCCGTACAGGACTCACCCTAGTGTCGGACCTGGAGTCACGGAAAGGCCATATGCGCACTGGGCAGTATCTTGTAATTACTTCTGGCAACCCGCATATCTTACAACCACCATGTACGCCTCTGGCATGCCAACCTGCACGCCCCTATCTGTCTTAGACTCGAAATGAGCCATCGAATGATCATATCATGATTTACTGTCCACCTGCAGGTAGGTGTAAGTTGTGTTCGATGCCAATCTTTTTTCATTGTCGTTGAAGTTTCTTGCTTTGCAGGGGCTGGATACGGCATCTGGCTTAATGGTCATTGGGCAATTTCACCTCTTAGTACCATCATCCCGCACGAATTACTTACAGGATTAGGATATGGACTAGTATACATAAAGACGGATAAGTTGAGCTGCGACGAAGTGGGCGGTCAGTCCTAGTCCAGTTCTGAGGGAGGTCGTTGGCTATGTCCGCAGTAGTACATCTTCCCTGCTTCAGTACTGGACTAAGCGCCTAACTCTCTTTTCTGACAATATGCCCACTTTCTTCTTTGAGCCCTCGGCGTTGTGTCCGGTAGTCTTTCTATCCCTCGAGCTTGAAATCCTGTTTCTCTCCGCTGACCCAACACAATTCTGCGGTCTTCTGATATGCCCCCTTTCGTCGAGACTCGTGCCGTTGTTGTTCTGCGCTAAACGTACATTCATCTAAGTGTCTAAAAGTTCTTATCACCAGTGCACCATCCTCTCTATCCATAGCTGACTCCGAGTTTCTGGGTCAGAAATGCCACTCCATGTGAAAACTTGAGCAGGCGATGTTCTAACTCAAAATCTCAGCGCACTTTTGGCGCCCAACCGGCCGGGTTCGAGTCACTGATTGTGATGTGAAATATTTGGGCGTGCCGTGTAGAAGCTGGACAACAATCAGAGTGATTTGAATACTAATTTCGATGAGATGACATCCCAAGGCGGCTCTAGCAGAGAAAACGAAAGGGGTATATATATACATGACATACAGATGGGATGGGGCAAAGGACTCTAGACTTCAGATACCAGTGGTGTCGCAGCCGAAGAAAGAGGATTGTCCGTCGATAATGGGATGGGCGATGGATATATAATTACAAATTCAAACTTGGAGGAACAACCATGTAACGAAAGGGGACTGATGTTTTGGTTTTGATGAAATAGAAATACAACGTGGTAGCAATCAGTCCAGGGTGAACAGATCGTCGAGCGATGATTGAATCTCGGAGACAACCTCACAGCATATGGCTTCTGTTCGAACGCCAGGAGGCTCCCAATCGTCCAGATCTTCCACCGATGATTGATTCTCGGGGACAACCTCGCAGCGTATAGCTTTGGTTCGAACGAATGGCCTTCGAAGCTGAGGAGCCTCCCAGTTCTTGCTCGGCAGGTACTCCCGAGAAACTGGTGGGGGCATATTCGCAGCTGGTGACTTCACATAACGTGCGAGCTCCTGGATTCTCCGCTTGTTCTTCGCCAAAGCATCCGGTGCTAAAAAATATTGGTCAATATAGGTCCCCTGAATACTTATCGCAGCAGCTTCACGTACGTAACATAACGTCCGACGCCGCATATGATTTCCGTGGCGACAACGCAATAGCAGCATGTCCTGCAGCCTGGATGGCGGTTTCACAAGGGGTTAGTGCGTCATTTGGCACTAGTAACTCCTCGATGCCCAGTTGGGCACGAGTGTCAACTCCCCCGAACCGTATAGTGAAATTAGTCTTTAGAACAGACAAGAGAGAAGTAATTCGATCTGTACAAACGGTGAATAAGGAAATCCAACGAAATAACAACTGATGCTTACCCCCAATGTCGGCAGGAAACGCGGGCCTGCGGCGTCTGATCCAAAGAAGAAACCTGAAGTACGCCGACTTGTACGGCAAAAGTTCCTCTGAACAAAGAACGAAGAGGTACAGGGCCACTCCCTCGCGTCTCAATGTCATACGTGCGCCCTTAAATACCGAAAGCATTAGTATTGGAAGAGTTTGCGAAATTTCAAACTATACTTACTTCAGTCAGAGCGATGATCTGCACGGGAAAATAATCGTCAGTTGACTATAAAAGATGATTTAATTGTGAGGGCAAGACCTTTCGACCGTAGCGCTGCAATTCGTGATCTCCTAAGGAACTGAATTTCATAAGGTCATTGATACCGTCGAGAAAACGGCTTAGAGAGCCCAGACGATCAGCCAAATCATTGACGACTGCTGGACAATCGAGTGCAGGGATGTGGTTGTTCATGATGTGAGGTGCGAACAGTTCGAAAGATGGTAAGAGGTAGAACGAAGAGAACCACTGACAACACGGGATATGAAGTGCTTATTGTTTACCTGGGTGACAAACAGACACGCTTTCCACTGGCCATAGAAGTGACTCAAAATGTGGATTTTGTGGACGGTGGAGAGTGGAGAGTGGAGAGTGGGCTGCTGAATGCGAGCCATAGCCTGCACAAACCACAGTTTTGACAAGGATCCTGTGTGAAGGAAGGCTCCAAGAGCTTACCACGCTTGAACGCGTTAGTTGGATATGCAACCGTGTCATGAACGAGGGGGCAAAGGTTCTAATTGCTTGCGGAGAAACGCAAGGACAATCCGACAGTGATCGTTAACTTTGCATGGCTTCATTGCGTGCCTTCATACATATGCATCGGATATATCAGGTATGAGAGAGTTTCAAACTGCGTCAAACAATCACCTCGTGAGTTTATACCCCTTCCATAAGCCTCCGGAGAATGAGGGCAGTCTGCTTCCTCGTCGCACTCACGTTACCCTGCTTGTACGCCCTCGCAACAAACGAATCCCCGAATCGCGCTTCATCAGCCGTTACTTCTTCAGCATCATCATCCTCAGATTCATTAGCCGTGTTGGCGTTGCCCACGAATTTTGAGAAATCGAGCCTTTTCAGTTTAAGCTCTTCGCTTGATTCGAGACCTTGCAAAAGTTTCTCTGCGATGCCTTCATCTGCCTTGACTATCCAAAGTTGCTCCCGCCTTCCCTTGCCTGTCTTGTTCCGAAAAGTAGTGAGTATCCCGTGAACACTAAGATCTCTTTCGTCGAACAAATCTTGAATTTCTTTTATAGGATAACTCGATGATGTAAAGAATGCGGAAAGCCGACGTGGAACGGTGGCAAGACCCACTCTTATCGTATTGAAAGATTGGGTCGCATCCTCGGATGCAGGCCTGCTGAATGAGTACTCTTTGTAGTCTCTCCGCAGCATGTCCCGCGTGCTGAGATGGAATACAGAGAGTTTCTTCTCCCCTAACGTTTCGGACAGAGACTGGACAGAAGGGAGGTGGATGATTGTCTAGTTATTTGATGATGCGAAGACTTCTTCCTTGTGCGCCACAAGGAAATTGGGAATTAAAAACGCAGCTGCCTCCCTGCCAACACCCAGAGCTTTGCCCCATCTTTCAGGCCTCGAGTATCGATTAAAATAGCACTTAGCAAGAGCGTGGACATTTCTGGGGGTATGGAAAGGTTGGAAGACGATTGATACAATCTTGTAACAAGAGACGAGCAACTTCCGGCCGGTTCGACTATCCTGGGATTAGTTGTACTAGTATCCTTGTATTGTCCTTCATCTTCGTGATGATCTATCACTGCAACAACCCTGGCTGTCGGAGATGCGTGTCTGGTGTCAAGGACGTCATAATCCACAAGTGCAAACTGGGACACTTGTGATGGAATAGGATCACCAGAACAATAAAGTTCTTCAAAAGGGTGGTCGCCAATACTCGCAACTTCACTTGAGGCAAAAGGTGCTAGGCCCGTTTCAGAAGTGGTGGTTTCTATTACGATGTCAATCATATACGACGTGAAACGCTTATTGATCCGTACTCACCTACATGAGAATGCATGTCAATTTCTTTGAGCGTCACGACAATGTCTTCTGGAAGGACGCGTTTGTTTGGAAATAGCTCAATATGTCTCCTGCCAAGTTCCAACGTCACGGTATGTAAATCCTGGGAAGTCAAAAAGGGCTGGAACAAATGATGAACGCATTTACTTTGGTTGAATGATGAAACATGCCTACATCTAGAGGTCATACGAACCAATACTGTGGATCCAATGCATACTCTAGGAGCGACAGGTTCGAAACAAATGCTCTCCATGGAAAGAAGTTACTGATGTGACTGTTGCGCTCTACATCTCGAACATTATTCATAAGGTCAGGAGATTCGTAATCATCGAACCAGAAAATGATACGTCTGTCGTGGTCGACAAAGTAATGGCCCCAGTTTTTGTTCCCCTCCGCAATGTGAACTCGACGAATGGATCCAAGAGGATATTTGCCTTCCGCGTGCCTTCGTACGCCGTCTCAACAGCTTTGTTGATCTCGACACTGATTTTAGGATCTCGAACATTGGCATCAGTGAAAATCCTCTGGTGTGTGATTTGAGTGAAGTCATGTACTGGGAGCAGGCGGCGGACACACTTTAGATGGCTGATAGAAGAACAAGGCGCCTTCCGGGTGCGTGAGCGGCCCCCATCCTTCTGCTGCAGCAAGCTCCCTACGGGGAGTATTTTAATCTCATCACTGTCTCTTTCACTGGTATGCTTACCCTGAACAGTCCAAAAGACCTTTCTTAACCTTGAATGACTTTCAACACTATTTCTGTGAGTATGGATTAAAACAGCAGCTCACTCGACATAGTGTAATTTGCGTACATGGGAACATGCCTGTCGTATCGTTTGACCTTTGGGCCGGGCACAATGGGAGTTAGAGAGATATAAACGATCTGTTCTAGCATCGTGGAAGACGATGACCTCGCGACAGCCACGGGGATGCTGGGCTCGGGTATAGAAACTGGCGTGAACGGCACAGCAGAGCTCCCGAGAGAATCACCGGTTCGCTCGCCTCTTCCTGAAGTTTCCTTCTCCTTTCCTCTCTCTCCAAGAACTCTTCCACGCCTGACTTTCCTTCTATTTGTGAAGCATAAGCTGCAGGAAGTGATTGAGGCCCAACATCTGAATGCGAGTCATCATCGTAAGGAGTTTGTGAGTGAGGTAATGATGGTCCTACATAGTGTCGGTTTGGATGCCGCCGGTGCATTCGATTCGCTGTTTGAGGGCAACAAAGGCTCAGCTGCGCGGGAGGCAGTAAGGTTGGGTGGCAGAGCCGGTGTCACTCGTCTTCGTCAGAATCTCCGGATGACCAACGGGTGGAAGGAGATGCGCCGGAATATGTGGGCCTATGAAAGACGTGCGCGCACGTGAGGCCCATCGGTCGCGTATAACTTTAAGTGCTCCATGCAGAGGCCCGATGCATGCATTTTTTGTTAGTACACACTGTGGCCGAAGCACAACATTTTATTTTTAGAATGGTGACCTTCGTTATCATGATGACGTGTTGTGAACCGCACGGTTTTGTGCAATCCAACGAACGACAAATCTGTGCTGAGTTTACCGTCCGTCGATCGAAGTACAGGTGTACAAATTGTAAACTACTTAATGCTGTCGGGTTTCTACATAGCCGAAATAAAATTACTAATCGCGCTGCCGCAGACGCTTTGTCAGTCTCGACGCTCGAGCCGGGACTCTCTAATCCAACAATCCGATCAATCACGCGTCCACACTAATCAGGCAGTCATCTGACTAGTACGTACGTGTCGAAGGAAGACAGTATTACATGACTCACATTAGTGATGTTTCAGCTCGGCTTAGGCTCGCCATGCTGATTTGCTGTGATGCCAACACAATGTACATAGATAGCTGCAGGTAAGCACAAATGAGGGGCAGCATGGAGAGACAAGCAAAGGTGAGTGATGGCCTGCGGAAACAAGTATGTAGACAAGTGAAAATTAAACCTTAAATTTCAGAGCGCAGCCTAAGACATGTTAAGCACAGATGTGCGCAAGCACGTAAAGTGAAAGGCGCAGCGCGCAAGTAGTGACTGACAGATAGATATGTGGATACTTGTCAATGATGTACATACAGAGATACGTGAAAAAAGATGCGCGTAGATTGCACGAACGACCTGGAGCACAAACTAATGCAAATGAGTCTGGGACATAATCACCAGGTGCGAACGACAGCAAAGGCAAGGGCAAACAAGCGCAGATAAGCAGGGACAGTTGCAGATGTGCGCAAGTATGCAGATATGAGCAAGAGTGAGCCGAGATGTGTGCCAACGTGCACAAACATGTGAAGGGGAAGCGATGGAAGAGCATAAAAAACTTGTCAGCAGTGTAAAAACGACATGAATACACACCTTTTCGTGATCAACAGCCTTGAATTCCCTCGTCCATCCGCATTGCAGTAGCACGTGCCAAGCTGCAGCTTGAGCTGCTGGACTGCCAGAAATTTAAATACTCACCATGAGACAACCGATGCAAACGTTGACTATCATGTAATGTCACGATGTCCGAGACAGAAATGATGCTACCGGTAGACCAGCAACACCGGTGGAGCTGATATAGCCAAGATGCGATATATAGCACTCGGAGGGTAATGTTATATAATCCTCCGTGAGTACAGGTGGTGTGGCCCATGCGAAACTGTAGCTGCGAAGGCCATCAGTAGCGTAGTCAGCCAATTCAACATCGTTCAATTCAATAAGTCTCATGGACCAGTGCCAGCTTTAAAACTCCGCACATACCAAAAACAGTACGTGCTTCTAAGAAGTCCTCACGAACGCGTCGCGTCCTGACAAACAAACCAGAAACAAGGAACGAGGACAGGCTGTACCGTATGTTAGGCTCGTGAGTCGTGACTGGTTTGACCTATACACTAGTACTACGGATAATTTGAGCAGCGAACTGTTATGCATGTTTTGAAGTGATGTATACTTATCATAGGTGAGGCTCGTATTGAACCATCCTGCTCCAGCAGCTTGCACAAAATTTGTGCTATGTCTTGCGCTCTCACCTGAAATACCACCTGCCCCAAATCTCGGAAACATCTTTCCCGCGAGACGGTCGCAAGAATTCTCCTAATAATTTGCCCTCCCTCGCAATCATGTCAGCAACAGAGTTGACAGCCCACACATCACAGGCACATCGGGACGACATTGCCAGATAAACAAGATATTTTCGCCTCTATGTGCTCCGAGGGGATGATACAACGCGTTCATGCGATAGGACTTTTTAGACGCACGCCTTGTCACACTGACTTGCATTCCCTTCTCAGACAAGGCCACTGGTCCACAAGACTAGTGTTGTTGCCGCCCCATCTGTCGAAAATAGCCCAAGATACTTCGTATAAAAGCCCAACATTTTCCTTGTCAATTCTTCGTCTCACTATCGAATCATCACACTGCTCGCAACCTACATCTTATACAATGCCCTTTTCCACCGATGGAGTGTATACTATCCGAAACGTTGGCAGAGACCTCTTGCTTGATCTAAGGGACTTCCATACCACTGAAGGCAACACCATTCAAGTCTGGCACAACAATAGCAGCGTGGCTCAACAGGTATCTATATGCGTTTGCACCCACCTTTTGACTAGTTCTTACGCATCACATCTACCAGTGGGTGGTCAAGCAACAATACGGGCCAGTGTCCTCCAACAAGACTGTCACCATTCAGTCCAGCATCAACGGCAGCAATGGAAATGGATTCTTTGCTGCTGCGACCCAGGTATGCTAGACCGACATTCATTCATTTGCTTGTTGGTTGATGTAGACTTGCGCAGGATTCGGATGAACCAGTCGTTTACACCAGGCAGGCGTTTATCGTCGATCTTGTTCCACGCGAGGATGATACTTATACGTGAGAATCTGACTCAGTGCTTAGCATCTTATTTTTGCTAATTTAACGACTCAAATGTACAGCATTAGCTACACTCTCGGGGACCCGAACCTTGTGATATCCATTCCAAGTGCGACGCACTATGAAGTAAGTTGGTGGATTTTTTCAAACCCTTTTGCTCATAACGTTCACAGGCGAAACTCGAGAATCACGTCTCAGGAACTTCTCGCCAGCAGTGGGAATTTACCCGTGTTGCTGATCTCCAACCAGTTGTCTAGTTTTTGCCACTAGGTACCACCGTGAGCTTGCGGAGGCATGCCGACGCTGAGCTATAGAATGTGTTTTTGCATATATGTACTACGTTTTGTTCTGTCTCTTTTGTTGCATATGCGTGCGTTGATGAATAGGATTGCTTTGGTCTGACTCTCTTAGGGATATAAGTGAGGTAGAATAGAGCTATCGGCAAATCATTTGAGGAGGGTACGTGGATCCAGCCCAGATATCGCAAATAAGCAAAGCGCAGCATATCTGCACCTCCCATTATCGTTTCACCCATTTACATGTGCTAGTATGTCTTCAGGGAGTCATTTTCAATCACGCTCCCTGAGGCATAAACGCACACATTTTGCCGATCACCTGCTACGGGAGTGTCTAGACTGCTTTGCAGTAATTTTGCGCAGATCAGAAGGGTTACAAGTAATGGGAATAACAAATGGAGCCAGCCGAACAGAACGTTAGGGTGAGCAGCGAGAAATAAGTACTGTGAGCAACGTCGTACTGTACAATGTCTATGTCAGATGTCCGCGAATGGTGATAGGTGACCCAGAGAACGGGATGCAAAAGGATTACGATGATGGCCAGGAGTCCGCTGTAGAAGGGGGGTTATGTAAGTTCTTGAATAATGTCAATTTTTACCTCGAATGCATGCATGTGCAGCATCCGTTCCATCATCATGATGTGGGACATTGTGGACCCGGAAGTCCTCATCATGAATGTTGCAAGAGTCCTGTAGATGTGGTGATATCTTGAGACTCAGCCGCCTTCGCTGCGAGATCACACCTGAGGCCTGAAGCTTTGAAGACCTGAAAGGTCCATTTTTCGATTACTTACATTTTCAGATCGACAACATAGTTTTATCATACGGGGAGAGTATGAGAAAAGATATATAAAACTGACACATACGAAAAGGTTCGTTCGGTCGGGTATGGCTTGATTGTGCTCATCGTCCGACGTCACTCATCTCTGGGTACGTCCGTTCTCTCAGACTCCAACATGAACATACATAAACCAGATGTTCGCGGAGGATCGTAGAAGATAAGTTGTTAAAGGGCTGAAGGACAGGCGTGTTCTGTAGGAGCAGGTTGTCCGAATTGAATTCACCTTTGAAATGAGTAAGAATTAAGCGAGAGGTGTCACATAGCTTAAGGTGCTTCAGCGTAGGTGCCTCGAAGGGAGCGTGAAAAAAATTATAGCTGATGGGGCTGTCAGCCGCGTTGAAGACTACCATGACTGGAACCATGATTGGGAAGCACACAAGGAAACCCGCGTGAACTTTGAGAGCAAAGTCAAGTTATCTGCTGCCTGTTCTTCGTTTTGGCCAGCTAGAAAAAGAAAGCGCATGCAGGGTGGCAAAACGATTGAATGGTAAAAGGATAGCACTTCAGTACCATACTTCATTTTGTCCGGGGCTGTCTGTAAACGGTTCATGAGCAACCACGCAACTTGGAGAGTAGGGACTCGCAAGGCATCAAGCTTCTTGCACTAGGAAGTCAGAACTGGGGATGTTTTGCAAATGACTTCATCAGTTCGGAGTACAATGTTCTATTTTTAGAATGGTGACCCATTTCACTTCCGCCGAGTCGACCTCCATTACAATGTTTTGTGAACCGACGGTCCTGTGCCACGATCAATCCAGCGGGTCATCGGGAACGACATGAAGATCTATCTTCAGGTGGAGTCGAAATGTCTTGGAACACGCGCGTCCACTACTAGCTTGTCACCAGGGTGGTCATCAGGTTCCTATACTATGGGGAGACCGCAATACGTGACTCGCACAGGTCCGATTTATCCGCGCAGGTGTTCAATCTGTGTTTGTATGAGTATAATCATGAACTCTAATCTCACTGTACTAGTCGCTCAGCACAGCACGTCACCACCTCTCTGTTCTGGAATACTTAGGTTGCAAAGTAGCGGGGTACCAGAATCGTGACTATCAACAAACCGGACCATTTCAATGGCGATTATTATTGCCGCATGCACTCTTATCATTATCTTAGCCAGCGTCTGGATAGTGAAACAACGCTATCAGGCTGCAAGGCGGTTGCCGTTACCGCCTGGACCGCCTGGACGTTGGCTATTAGGAAATGTGATGCCAAAGTCATAGTAAGTCTTTGTCGAGGGATATCAACATAGTCTCTAACCCCTCATGTAGTGCACCGTTTCAATTCGCGAAATGGACAGAACAATACGGACCTGTGTTCTCGCTCAAACAAGGCCATAGGATTTTCGTAATTATAGGACGTCATCAGGTAAGTACAAAGCAATTCATCGTTTAGCCAGGCACGAAATGAGTCTTGTCATAGGCTGCGGTAGATATCATGGAAAAAGAGGGAGCAAATCTTGCCGACCGCCCACGTTCTATTGCGGCGCACGAGACGTTGTCTGGCGGGTTGGGAGTGTTATTTCAGGGCTCTGGTGAGAGATTGCGCCGGCTGCGCAGGTAGGTATCTTGTCTCTACCATGTGCGATCAGCGAGACTGAATGTAAAGCAGGGTCTTGCATGCAGGCCTGCAACCCAAGGTTGCGGAGACCTACGAGCCCATGCAGATCAGGCATGCGAAGAATTTGGTTCTAGATGTCTTGAATGATCCAAAAAACCACCAAGGTCATGCCATGCGGTACGAAGTCTAGCTCTTGCTTGCGCGGTACACGTGGTAATCCGGGGATTTTAGTTATTCAGCTTCGGTGGTCATGTCCTTCACCTATGGAAAAATTACTCCGACTTCATATACAGATCCTGAAGTTGTTGCCATCAATAAGGCTCTTGCGCGTTTTGGTCAAGTTATCCAGCCGGGTGCATACCTTGTGGATACGTATCCAATCCTACGATTCGTCCCTGGCTACCTGAGTCAGCTGAAGGCATGGCACAAAGAAGACCTTGCTCTCTGTAACAGGCACTTGGACACAGTGCGAAGGCAGATGGTTCGTGATTTTGTTGTGATGATAGATATGCTCGCTCACCACTGTGAAGTGTGAGGGGACGGCAAGGCCATCCTTTGCGAGGTTCATGTTAGAGCACCAGAAACAGTACCAACTCGAAGATCAGGAACTGGAATACCTTGCAGGAGGGATATTTGGGGCCGCTTCTGATACGGTAGGTTCTTACATTGCATCGCGTCATAAGTTGACAATTGTTGTAGACTGCGTCCGCAATCACATTTATGATAATGGCTGCTGCCTGTCACAGGGATGCGCAGGCTCGCGTACACGAGGAACTCGATAACGTCGTGGGGCGTACTCGGCGTAAGTTATGCATTTTCTTTGTTCGTCTACTGACTGAGATAGCTACTGATTAGTGCCGACGTTTGCTGATCAGGAAATGCTGCCGCAGGTCACCGCGTTCATGTTCGAGAGTCTCAGGTGGAGACCTGTCACTCTTGGAGGTACGTCTTATTTGAGTTGTGATCACACGATAATGAACGACCACCTTTCACTGCAGGCTTGGCGCATCGTGCGACTAAGGACATCGTTTGGAAGAACTACCTGATTCCGGCAGGTGCGACTGTGATTGGCAACCATTGGTAAGTAGGCAATCATTTTCATTCTCTGACCTTTGTGTCTGACGCTCGTATTTCAGGGCTATTGCAAACGATCCTGAAGTCTTCCCGGAACCACACAGGTTCAATCCTCAGCGTTGGATTGACGATGCGGGTCGTGTGCGCGGTGATCTCAGGTTTTTCACTTTTGGCTTTGGCCGTCGGTGAGTGGCATCGTTCATCTCTCGACCCGTTCTCATTCCTTACTTGAAAATGTCAGAGTATGTCCTGGTCAACATGTCGCGAATCGGTCAATCTTCATCACCACGGCTCTTATTCTGTGGGCTTTCCGCCTTACGGAGAACCCTCTAGCGAAGATTGACACGCTTGCATTCTCGGACAGTGCAAACATACATGCTGCTCCATTTGAGATATGTCTTGCGAAGAGGATCGATGAGAATGTGGTCAGGGAACTGTGCGCACCGGGCAAATAAAAAGTGTTTATTCTAGAAACTTGAATCTTTGTGCAAAGGAGTTCGTCCTGCGTTCGGGAATCTTTTTCCGTTATTTGTCCGACTCGGACTCCTTGTTACACCTGACTCCACATATCCTCAAACAGGCATACTATGAACGAACTGGTTTTGCCTGGTGTCACCACGCATCAAGTATATCTCGATACACCGCAATATTCTCCAAGTTGCGTGGCTGATCACAAACCGTTTACAGATAGCCCCCGGACAAAATGAAATGTGTTACTGAAGTCCTATCCCTTTACCATTCAATCGTTTCGCCACCCTGCATGCGCTTTCTTTTTCTAGCTGGCCAAATCGGAAAACAGGCAGTAGATAATTTGAATTTGCTCTCAAAGTTGACACGGTTTTCATTGTGTGCTTCCCAGTCTCATGGTTTCGGTCACGGTAGTGTTTAATGCGGCTGACAGTCCCATTAGCCATAATTTTTCACCTTCACTTCGAGGCACCTCTGAAGCACCTGAAGCTGTGAGACGTCTCTCGCTCAGATCTTACTCGGCACTTCAAAGCCGAATTCAATTTGGACAAGATGTTCCCGAACATGCCTGTCCTTCAACCCTTTAACAATTTTCTTTCACGATCCTCCGCGAACGTCTGGTTTATGCATGTTAGTGTTGGAGTCTCGAGAGAATGGACGTACCTGGAGATGAGCGACGTTGGATGACGAGCGCAATCAAGCTATCCTCGAGTCCAAGAGGCACCCATAAAGTACTATATTCACTGTGATACCACTATAATTCTTGCACAAAAACATGTACTATGGTATTTCTTAATCATAAATCATATTTAGAGTAAATCTTTAAGCTTCTAGCTACAATTTGCACTAACTTTCAAGGCTCTATGTGTATCAATTTGCATTACCGGGTCATCGATAGTAGGGCCCGACTTACTAATCGCGCTGCCGCAGACGCTTTGTCAGTCTCGACGCCGCTCGAGCCGGTACTCTCTAATCCAACAATCCGATCAATCACGCGTCCACACTAATCAGGCAGTCATCGGACTAGTACGTACGTGTCGAAGGAAGACAGTATTACATGACTCACATGTCCGATGGATCCGTGCAGGTGTCGAACTTGACAGTGCAATCATGCACTGTAATCTCAGCGTACCCGTCGCACATCACAACATGTTGCCGCTCGATTCTGGAGTACTTAACATGATGCAAAGGCCTGGGTTGTGATAACTATCAGTAAGCTCAATCATTCAAAGTTTCAATGGCGATTCTCATTGCATGCACCCTTATTGTCTTGGCCACCGTCTGGATTGTGAAACAACGATATCAGGTCGCAAGGCGGTTGCCATTACCACCTGGACCACCTGGACGCTGGCTATTAGGAAATGTGATGCCAAAGTCATAGTGAGTCTTTGTCGAGGGATATCAGCATGCTCTCTATCTAACCACCCACGCAGTGCGCCGTTTCAATTCGCGAAATGGACAGAACAATACGGACCTGTGTTCTCGCTCAAACAAGGCCATAGGATTTTCGTGATTATAGGACGTCATCAGGTAAGCATCAAGCAATCCATCGGCTAGCCAGGCATGAAATAGGTCTCGTCATAGGCTGCAGTGGATATCATGGAAAAAGAGGGAGCAAATCTTGCCGACCGCCCAAGTTCTATTGCAGTCCAAGACACATTATCTGGTGGGTTGAGAATGATTCTCGAAGGCAGTGGTGAGAAATTGCGCCGGCTGCGCAGGTAGGTATCTTGTCTCTACCAGGTGCAGTCAGGGAGACTAAATGTAAAGCAGGGCCTTGCATGCAGGCTTGCAACCCAAGGTTGCGGAGACCTACGAGCCCATCCAGACCAGACATTCGAAGAATCTGGTTCTGGATATCTTAAATGATCCAAAGAACCACCAAGGTCATGCCATGCGGTACGAACTCTTGCTCTTACTCCCGCGGTACAGGTGGTAACACGAGGATTTTAGTTATTCAGCTTCTGTGGTCATGTCCTTCACATATGGAAAAACTACTCCGACTTCATACACAGACCCTGAAATCGTTGCCGTCAATCAGTCTCTTGTGCGTTTTGGTCAAGCTATCCAGCCAGGAGCATACCTTGTGGATACGTATCCAATTCTGCGCTTCGTCCCTGGCTACCTGAGTCAGCTGAAGGCATGGCACCAGGAAGAACTCGCTCTTTTTAACGGGCAGTTGGACGCGGTGCGAAAACAAATGGTTCGTGGTTTTACTGCGATGACAAATTTCCTCACTCATGACTGTGAAGCGTGAGGGGACTGCGAGGCCATCATTTGCGAGGTTCATTTTAGAACACCAGAAACAATATCAGCTCGAAGACAAGCAACTGGGATACATTGCGGGAGGAATGTTTGCCGCCGGTTCTGATACGGTAAGCTCTTACATTGCATCGCGTCCTCATATGACAATTGTTGTAGACTGCGTCCGCGATCACAATCATGATGATGGCCGCTGCCATTCACCCAGATGCACAGGCTCGCGTACAGGAGGAACTTGACGACGTCGTGGGGCGTACACGGTGTAGGTTGCGCCTATACTATGTTAATCTACTTACTGAAATAACTCCTGACTAGTACCGACATTTGATGATCAGGAAATGCTGCCGCAGGTTACCGCATTCATGCTCGAGAGTCTCAGGTGGAGGCCTGTCACTCTTGGAGGTGTGTTCTATTTGAGCTGTGATGACGTGATAATGAACGACCACCTTGCAATACAGGCTTTGCGCATCGTGCGACTAAGGACATCATTTGGAACAACTACCTGATTCCTGCAGGTGCGATCGTGATTGGCAACCATTGGTCAGTAGGCAATCGTTTTCGTCCTCTTATCTTTGGGTCTGACACTCGTGCTTCAGGGCTATCGCAAATGATCCTGAGGTCTTCCCAGAACCACACAAGTTCAATCCTCAGCGTTGGATCGACGATGCAGGTCGTGTGCGCAATGATCTCAAGTTTTTCACTTTTGGCTTTGGCCGTCGGTGAGTGGCATCGCTCATGTCTCGACTCGTTCTCATGCCTTAAAAATGTCAGTGTGTGTCCTGGTCAACATGTCGCCACTCGGTCCATCTTCATCAATACGGCTCTTATTCTCTGGGCTTTCCGCCTTTCTGAGAATCCTGCAGCAAAGATTGACACGCTTGCATTCTCGGACACTGCAACCATACATGCTGCTCCGTTTGAGGTATGTTTGGAGAAGAGGATCGATGAGAATGTGATCAGGGAACTGTGCGCACCGGGGGAATGAAAGGCGTTTATCTAGGAACTTGAAAGTTATAATACACGGTAACGTAGAGATTGAATTCACGGAAAGGTTGTGTCCCTTGAATGGCCTTCCCAATGCTCTGTTTTGCACGTCCTAGACTCGGATTCACAGGGCTTTATCCTTTGAAGGAGTGACAATCTATCGAGTGTCGTTGAATTCAAGAACGCGACTGCCGTCAATGTACTCGTATCATGTGTGATGGCGCTGGCGTCCCTCGCCTTCAGAGACGCTTCTTGTGATGCAATCCTGACGTCACGATGGGCAGCCAATAGCGTATTACTATGATGCTGTCTATCACCCGCGATTTCATTTGTGCTGCTTTACTTCTCCCAAAAGCTTTTGTCCTCGCAGGCTGTCATGAGTTCTTGTTGAACATATAGTTCGTGCAACACGCGATTTGTGGGATGCATCTTGTTCGATAGCGACTCAGTTGTAGTGACCCATGACGAAGTTTCGGTGGATCTCTTAGTACAATTGAAGCCTCCACTTACGCTCGCCGTAGTGTGTTCACAAGTGTCGATTAATCAACAAAAACGTGAAATCAAAAAAGAAAATGGTCGAAAAAGTTCCTTGAAAAATCGCAAGACTGCAAGGTTACAAAGGGTGGAGACAAATCGAACAGAGCAGCAGCGCTACTACAATCATTGTTTATCATAAACCTGAGTAACATGCGCGCAATCACCCTGCATCGCTTTTCACTTGACTACCATCGTACAGTACGATCCGAGTTGTATTGAATTGTCATGCATCTTGTAATTCCCACTGCAAGTTGCGTAGTAGCCTATCGGTACTCCCAAATTTGACCAGGGCTTCGAGAGTGGTTTGGGATGGTGTTTCCTTCTGCCGAGAGACAAGCCCACGCAGCAGCTGGCTCGCAACTTCGGGATGTTGGCTCGAGAATGGAAATGTGGTTTTGCTTATTCCAGAAGCGTAGATCCGCAGACATCGGTTTGTTTCGGTGTGATTTAGCTCCTTCTCCGGGAACGTAGCGTTAAACTTCGGTTTCACATTCAGGTCGAGAACAAGAGCGATGTAGGGGATATTCGATAGGCACTGGATTGAATCATGTGTGCAAGTGACCAACCCTAAGTCATGCTCATGGCAATTCTTGCCCTTTTTGTCGGAAATAAACATCTGTGAGACGCGATTGAGATCATCAGAGTCGAGGGCAGAATCATCAAAATAGATAGGAATCATCTTGTCGACGAGCGGCTGCAGATGACAACATTGGACCGCGCTTGTGCGATGCCAGTGTCGCAAAGTCTCATAGGGAAGCCCAGATCACTTGGATCACGAAGGTTCATGGACAAAACAATGACACTTTTGTTCCGGAGCTAAATTCGAAGCTTTAGCCACCTGATACGAACATGGAACGCTGACCTCGATCATTAGTCTTGATTTTCCTGTACCAGAACTTTGGACGATCGAACAGAACTTAGCATAGTATGGCCTATGCATGCCACCCGTGAACTTCATGTCGTTATTTTCAGGTACTCGTAGAACCCGTCCACAGCCTTGCCAACGTACGGTCTGCCGAATGAATCGTAGAGGAAGTCTGACCGGTGCTCATCTAGGATACAACTGACCTGAGATGTGACTGTAGATGTGACAAGATAGAAGTCTCTCGCCGTGAGACGGCCGCACGGTATCGCTAGCTTGGTGTATTTGAGATATTTCTGCGTTTCCAGCGACTGTCAGCATAGGGACGTCTATGGAAATGACATGAGCACTCACTGAGATCAGCTATGTGATAGAACGAGCGCGTCTGACAGGCGTGGCGGATGATTTCCCGTAGTTGAGGGTGTTTCTGCAGTGTTTCCTCCTGTGCCATGTCCAGGTCAAGATGTCCTTCAAGTGTTTACGTTTGAGCAATCTACTGGCTGCCAAAAGAGTTCTTTCCATGATCGAGACAAGCATGTAGTCCAAGAGATACGATGTGGTGTCCTCTTTATCTTCACTGATAATCTTCAGGATGGGGGACTGGTCTTGGCCCTTAAGTAAGACTCTACTATCGATCTCATCACGTTGTTGCAATGTGAGCGGCAGGAGTGCTATGGGAAGATCCTGTGATGTTGATGAACCTGACATGGGCGACAGAGCGTGTCAATGTAAAGTGATTAAGACTCTGAAGCTGTCCTGTTCGAAGGGATTGGAAGACGATTCAAGCGGCGCGTCCGACGTCTGAGACATCGTGGTATTATGTAATAGTCCGCGCTTCTGTACCACATCCTAGGAGTATCATTCAAAGGGAGAGCGAACGCGATTGCCATTTAATTCAGGTTGTCTGCTGCCTGTTCTTCGTTTTGGCCAGCTAGAAAAAGAAAGCGCATGCGGGGTGGCGAAATGATAGGATTTCAGTACCATACCTCAGTTTGCCCGGGAGCTGTCTGTAAACGGTTCACTATCAGCCACGCAAATTGGAGAGTATTGCGGTGTATCGAGAGATACTTGATGCGTTGTAACACCAAGGGGATCAAGTTCATTATTATAATCATGCCTGTTTGAAGTCATACAAAGTTAGGTGTAACAAGAAATTTGAGTCGGACAGACAACGAAAAGACTCTAGAACGCAACGGGAAGAGTTCCTTTGCACAAAGATAAGTTTCTGGAATAGACGCTTGTTATTTGTCCGGTGCGCATAGTTCCCTGAGCACATTCTCATCGACCCTCTTCGCAAAACATATCTCAAACGGAGCAGCACGTATGTTTGCAGTGTCCGAGAATGCAAGCGTGTCAATTTTCGCTGCAGGATTCTCCGAAAGGCGGAAAGCCCATAGCATAAGAGCCGTGGTGATAAAGACCGACCGATTCGCGACATATTGACCAGGACACACTCTGGTCACGCATAAGAAATGGTCGAGAGATGAACGATACCACTCACCGGCGGCCAAAGCCAAAAGTGAAAAATCGGAGATCACTGCGCACACGACCTGCATCGTCGATCCAACGCTGAGGATTAAATTTGTGTGGTTCCGGGAAGACTTCCGGATCGTTTGCGATAGCCCTGAAATACGAGCGTCAGACGTAAAGGTGAGAGGAAGAAAATGATTGCCTACTGACCAATGGTTCCCAATAACAGTCGCACCTGCCGGAATCAGGTAGTCTCTCCAAATCATGTCCTTCGTCGCGCGATGCGCAAAGCCTGTAGTGAAAGGTGGTCGTTCATCATCGCGTCACCAAACTCAAATAAGACGTACCTCCAATACTGACAGGTCTCCACCTGAGACTCTCGAGGATGAACGCGGTAACCTGCGGCAGCATTTCCTGATCAGCAAACGTCGGCACTAATCAGGAGTCATTTGAGTCAGTTGATGCACAAAGAAAAGGGATAACCTACGCCGCGTACGCCCCACGACGTTATCGAGTTCCTCTTGTACGCGAGCCTGCGCATCTGTATGAGTGGCAGCAGCCATCATTATGATTGTGATTGTGAACGCAGTCTACAACAGTTGTCGACTTAAGACGCGATGGAATGTAAGAGCTTACCGTTTCAGAACCGGCCGCAAACATCGTTCCTGCAATGTATGCCAGGTCCTTGTCTTCGAGCTGGTACTGTTTCTGGTGCTCTACGATGAACCTCGCGAAGGATGACCTCGTATTCCCCTCACGCTTCACAGTGGTGAGCAAGGACATATATTATCAGAAGAAAATCATGAACCATTTGTCTTCGCACCGCGTCTAACTGCCTGTTATAGAGAGCATGTTCTTCTTTGTGCCATGCCTTCAGCTGACTCAGGTAGCCAGGGACGAAACGCAGGATTGGATACGTCTCCACGAGGTATGCTCCCGGCTGGATAGCTCGACTAAAACGCGCAAGAGCCTTATTGACGGCAACAACTTCAGGATCTGCATATGAAGTGGGAGTAATTTTGCCATAGGTGAAGGACATGACCACCGAAGCTGAATAACTTAAGTACTCGGATTACCACCTGTACCGCGCAAGCAAGAGCAAGAGTTCGTACCGCATGGCATGACCTTGGTGGTTCTTTGGATCATTTAAGATATCTAGAACCAAATTCTTGGCATGCCTGGTCTGGATGGGCTCGTAGGTTGCCGCAACCTTGGGTTGCAAGCCTGCATGCAAGACCCTGCTTTAAATTCAGTCTCACTGATTGCACCTGGTAGCAAGATGTGTACCTGTGCAGCCGGCGCAATCTTTCACCAGTGCCCTCGAGGAGCAATCCAAACCCGTCAGTCAACGTCTCTTGCGCTGCAATAGAACGCGGACGGTCGGCAACATTTGCTCCCTCTTTTTCCATGATATCCACTGCAGCCTGTGACGTGATCTGCTTCATCCCTGGCTAGACAATGTGTTGTATTATGCTGACCTGATGACGTCCTATAATCACGAAAATCATATGGCCTTGTTTGAGCGAGAACACGGGTCCATATTGTTCTGTCCATCTCGCGAATTGAAACGGGGCACTGCGTGAGGGGTTAGATAGAGATCTCATTGGTGTCCCTTGAAAAAGACTTACTGTGACTTTGGCATCATGTTTCCAAATAGCCAACGCCCAGGCGGTCCAGGGGGTAATGGCAACCGCCTTGCAGCCTAATATCGTCGTTTCACTGTCCAGATACTGGCTAAGATAACGATAAGGGTGCATGCAATGATGATCGCCATTGAAATGGTCCGGCTAGTCACGATTCTGACACCCCGCTACTTTGCAACCTAAGTATTCCAGAACAGAGAGGTAGTGATGTGCTATGATGAGCGGCGGGTACAGTGAGATTAGAGTGCATGATTACACTGACTTATACTTATACACACACAAATGGAACACCTGCGGCCATGCGCGGATGAAGCCAATCACGTATTGCAGTCTTCCTATAGTATAGGCCAAGCACTTGGTGCCTGATGTGACTGCCCTGGCGATAAGTTAGTATTACTTGGACGTGCGAGTGCGAACACATTTCGACTCCACCTTAAGATCAGGGCAAATATTCTATGACCCGTTGAATTTGTCGTGGCACAGGACAGTCGACCATTAATAAGTTTACAAAACATTGTAATGGAGGTCAACAAGGCGGAAGTGTACAGTGGGGCACCATTCTAAAAATAGAAGTTTGTACGCCAAACTTATAACCGAGACACACCGGTGGTTCTAGTGCCATACATCTGATCCTCGGTTCGGACCCGAACTCTTCGAGGACACCGGGAAATGGAATTTTTTGAGTCCGTCCGGCTGGGTGCGTCCAAGTGCAGATCCGTCCGCCGGGGTCACGTTTGATGCGCTGTTCTTTATCTCTTGGACTCGAGGATGCACATCGGGGTGAACGATATTTAAAAGAGGTTTATATGTTGTACAAAATGTGAAAACAATATTTGATATTTAAACTAACATAAAGATGGGTGCACGACTTCAAATTTTGGTGGTGTTTTGTGCGTCATCCAAAATATCAAATATTCACAACCATATTCCCACAGACAATATGTCAACAAATATAATAAATATAATCAGATTTTCCATGTCTGCTTCAATTTAAAGTTTGATTCTTACATAAAACTTTGGAGAAAACTTGAAGTTTTGCCAAAGCTTGACATTTAAATCGAGTTTTAATGTCATGTCATCTGTAAAACTTCAAGTTTTCTCCAAAGTTTTACATGGAAATTGAACTTTAAGTTGAAGCAGACATGAAAAATCTGACTATATTTCTTATGTTTGTTGACATATTGTCTGTGGGAATATGGTTGTGAATATTTGATATTTTGGATTACACACAAAACACCACCAAAATTTGAAGTCGTGCACCCATCTTTATGTTAGTTTAAATATTAAATATTGTCTTCACATTTTGTACAACATATAAACCTCTTTTAAATATCGTTCACCCCGATGTGATGGCTTGATTGCGCTCGTCGTCCGACGTCACTCATCTCCAGGTGCATCCGTCCTCCCAGACTCCAACACGAACATGCATAAACCAGGTGTTCGCGGAGGATCGTGAAAGAAAATTGTTAAAGGGTTGAAGGACAGGCATGTTCGGGAAGATCAAGTCGTCCAAATTGAATTCGGCTTTGAAGTGCTGAGTGAGATCTGAACGAGAGATGTCACATAGCTTAAGGTGCTTCAGAGGCGCCTCAAAGTGAAGGTAAAACATTATGGCTGATGGGCCGCGTTAAAGACTACCGTGAGACTGGGAAGCACACAATGAAAACCGTGTCAACTTTGAGAGCAAATTCAAATTGTCTACTGCCTGTTTTTTGATTCGGCCAGCTAGAAAAAGAAAGCGCATGCGGGGTGGCGAAATGATTGAATTGTAAAATGATAGGACTTCAGGACCATGCTTCATTTTGTCCGAGGGCTGTATGTAAACGGCGCCATGATCAGCCACGCAACTTGGAGAGTATCGCAGTGTATCCAGAGATGCTTGATGCGTGGTAACACCAAGGGGTGCAAGTTCATTATTATAATTGTGCCTGTTTGAAGATATACAAAGTTAGGTGTAACGGCAAGTTTGAGTCGGATAGACAACGAAAAGACTCCAGAACGCAAGGCAAACTCTTTTGCAGGAACAATCAAGTTTCTGGAATAAACTTATTTGCCCGGTGCGCATAGTTCCCTGACCACATTCTCATCGATCCTCTTTACAAAACATATCTCAAATGGAGCAGCATGTATGTTTGCAGTGTCCGAGAATGCAGACGTGTCAATCTTCGCTGCCGGATTCTCCGAAAGGCGGAAAGCCCACAGAATGAGAGCTGTGTTGATGAAAACCGACCGATTCGCGACATGTTGACCGGGACATACTCTGATATTTTCAAGTAAGGCATAAAAAATGGTCAAGAGATGAATGATACCACTTACCGGCGGCCAAAGCCAAAAGTAAAAAATCGGAGATCACTGCGCACACGACCTGCATCATCGATCCAACGCTGGGGGTTAAACCTGTGTGGTTCCGGGAAGACTTCCGGATCGTTTGCGATAGCCCTGAAACATGAGCATCAGACACAAAGGTGAGAGGATGAAAATGATTGCGTACTGACCAATGATTGCCAATAACAGTCGCACCTGCAGGAATCAGGTAGTTTTTCCAAATCATGTCCTTAATCGTGCAATGCGCAAAGCCTGTAGTGCAAGGTGGTCATTCATTATCGCATCTTCACATCTCAAATAAGACGTACCTCCAATGCTGACAGGTCTCCACCTGAGACTCTCGAGCATGAACGCAGTGACCTGCGGCAACATTTCCTGATCAGCAAATGTCGGCACTGAACAGGAGTTATTTGAGTCAGTTGATGCACAAAGAAAAGGCATAACGTACGCCGCGTACGCCCCACGATGCTATCGAGTTCCTCTTGTACGCGAGCCTGCGCATCTGTATGAGTGGCAGCAGCCATCATCATGAATGTGATTGCGGACGCAGTCTACAACGGTTGGCGAGCGAAGACGCGATGCAATGAAAGAACTTACCGTATCAGAACCGGCCCCAAATATCGCACCTGCAAGGTATGCCACTTCCTCATCTCCGAGCTGGTACTGTTTCTGGTGCTCTAACATGAATCTCGCAAAGGATGGCCTTGCAGTCCCCTCACGCTTCACAGTGGTGAGGATATATATCATCAAAACAAAATCACGAACCATTTGTCTTCGCACCGCGTCTAACTGCCCGTCATAGAAAGTAAGTTCTTCTTTGTGCCATGCCTTCAGCTGACTGAGGTAGCCTGGTACGAAACGCAGGATGGGATACGCATCCACAAGGTATGCTCCCGGCCTCATAGCTTGGCCTGTACGCGTAGAAAACCTATTGATGTCAACAACTTCAGGATCTGTATATGAAGTTGAAGTAATCTTTCCATAGGTGAAGGACATGATCACGGAAGCTGAAAAACTGAAATCCTCGGATTACCACCTGTACCGCGACTAAGAGCTGGTGTTCGTACCGCATGGCATGTCTCTGGTGGTTCTTTGGATCATTCAAGATATCTAGAACCACATTCTTCGCATGCCTGGTCTGCATGGGCTCATAGGTCTCCGCAACCTTAGGTTGCAAGTTTGCATGCAAGACCCTGCTTTACACTTAGTCTCACTGATCGCACCTGGTAGAGAAAGATGCGTACCTGCGGAGCCGGCGCAACCTTTCACCAGTGCCCTCAAGGAGCACTCTGAACCCGCCAGACAACGTCTCGTGCACTGCAATAGAACGTGGGCGGTCGGCAAGATTTGCTCCCTCTTTTTCCATGATATCCACTGCAGCCTGTGACGCGATCCGCTTCATACCTGGCTAGACTAAGACAATGTATTGTTTGATGCTGACCTGATGACGTCCTATAACTACGAAAATCCTATGGCCTTGTTTGAGCGAGAACACAGGTCCGTATTGTTCTGTCCACCTCGCGAATTGAAACGGCACACTGCGTGAGGGGTTAGATAGAGATCGTGCTGGTGTACCTTGAAAATGACTTACGATGACTTTGGCATCGCATTGCCTAATAGCCAACGTCCAGGTGGTCCAGGGGGTAACGGCAACCGCCTTGCGGCCTGGTATCGTTGTTTCACTATCCAGACGCTGGCTAAGATAATGATAAAGGTGCATGCGGGGATGATAATCGCCATTGAAATGGTCTGGCTTGTTGATAGTCACGATTCAGACACCTCGCTACTTTGCAACACGTCAAGTACCCCAGAACAGAGAGGTGGTGACTTACTGTGATGTGCAAGTCAGTGCGACGGGTACGGTGAGATTAGTGTGGATGATTACGCTGACTTATATTTATACAAACACGGATTGTACACCTGCGCGGATAAATCCGATGGACCTGTGCGAGTCACGTATTGCGGTCTTCCTATGGTATAAGAACCTGATGCTGACCATCCTGGCGATATGTTAGTAGTGGACGCGCGTGTTACAAGACATTTCGACTCCACCTGAAGATTTGAGGTAGATCTTCATGTCGTTCTCGATGACCCGTTAGATTGATCATGGTACAGGACTGTCGGTTCACAAAACATTGCAATGGAAGTCGACTCGGCGGAAGTTAAGTGGGTCACCATTCTAAAATAGAAATTTGTACTCCGAGCTGATAACCTAATTACTAGCATGTGCGAAACACTCCAGTTCTCACTTACTAGTGCAAGATGCTTGATGCCTTACGATTCCCTACGGCCCAGTGATTCAGAGCTTTCCGACTGGTGGAGATCGTGGTAGCAATGAGAGGCAATGAGGCGAAACACACAGAGGTTCTGATGCTGTACAGATTGATAGATTGTGTCAGACAGATTAGGGTTTCTGAATTCTCGTACTGTGACAAATATGCACAAACACGTGTTACGCGGTTTCTCTGAAAATCTTTATGCAAACGACTGTGATGGTAAGTAGGCGTAGCTACTTACTTAGTGCAAAGTTCTGTTTTTGGAATGGTGACCCCGCCGACCCGTTCACCTTCATTCCAATGTTTTGTAAGCCCGATGGACGACGGTCCTGTGCCGCGACTGGACATCCAACGGGTTATCGAGAACGACATGAAGATCTACCTTGATCTTCAGGTGGGGTCCAAATGTCTTGGCACTCGCGCATCCAAGTACTACTAACTTATTGCTACTAGGGTGGTCACATCAGTTTCTCATACCATGATAGGAAGATCGCATCGTCATTCACACAGATCTGAATACTCCGCACAGGTCTTCAATCTGTGTTTGTATGACTTTGCTCTCAAAGTTGATACGTGTTTCATGGTGTGCTTCCCAGTCTCATGGTTCCGGTCACGGTAGTCTTAACGCGTCTGACAGCCCCATCAACTATACTTTCTCTCCCTTCAGTTCGAAGCACCTACGCTGAAGCACCTCAAGCTATGTGACATCCCTGGCTTGATTCTTATTCGGCACTTCAAAGGTGAATTCAATTCGCGCAGTCTGCTCCTGCGGAACATCCTTGTCCTTCAATCCTGTAACGACTTATCTTCTACGATCCTCCGCAAACATCTGGTTTATGTACGTTCATGTTGGAGTCTGAGAGAACGCACGTACCCGGAGATGAGTGACGTCGGACGACGGGCACAGTCAAGCCATCCCCGACCGAACCAACCTTTTCGCGTGTCTCAGTTTTATATATCTTTTCTCCTACTCCCCCCGTATGTTAAAACTATGTTGTCGATCCGGAAATGTAAGTAATCGAAAAATGGACCTTTCAGGTCTTCAAAGCTTCAGGCCTCAGGTGTGATCTCGCGGCGAGAGCGGCTGAGTCTGAAGATATCACCACATCTACAGGACTCTTGCAATATTCGTGATGAGGATTTCCGGGTCCACAATGCCCTATATCATGATGGTGGAACGGATGCTGCATGCATGCGTTCGAGGTAAAAATGGTCATTATTCAAGAACCTACAATCCTAGACCCATTTTCTCATATGACGAGATATCATTGGCTCAAAAATCCCTTGCAACACCTGCAACGACATGCGGGACCTTCCACGAGCCTAGAAACTTGTGCTCCCGCTTTACCTGTCTCTTCACAGGTGCTGGTAGTGAGATTGGAGGGGATGGAAGGAGAGAATCGCCTAAACTTTTCTGCTTCATCTTCGTTGGGCATGGTGACTTGTTAGCTTTAATCGAACTGTGCGCGTGATTTATGAACGGAGTGCTTACTAGTATATACAGACCGCGGGTGCTCTGATGTGGTTGTGTTGCTGAGAACGAGAAAAATGTCTGCTTGGTTGCAAGTAGGGCCCTGATGATGATCCCGACCTGTGCAAGAGTGAGCCGAGGTGAGCTGCTATTCCACATTAGTAGAAGTGAATGCGACGCACCAAAGTGAAAGTTGAATCCCTAAATTGTAGGAGCCCGCAAGGGGATGCATCGAGGTGAGGCTACATGAGACAGTTAGTAGCAAAAGTAGTAAGAAGGCATCCGTGTGGGCATAAGTGCGGGCATCCGCATCAATGCGGGAGTTCGCGTCAGTGCAAGCGCCTGCGTCAACGCAAGTATCCGCGTCCACGGAAGTGCGGGAATCTACATGCGCACGGCAGCAGGTCGTTGCAAGGACGGTGAACACGCTCGCCACTGGTAGAAGGTGTCATAGTGACTGGGTGGATGATTCCTCCCCATATCAGGTTTTGCGGTGAGGAACCTGACGAGAGTTCACAACGGTGAACTTCCTACACGAGTGAGCTTGAGAGAGTCGGTGTGCCAGTGCTACTCGTGGCCAGCTTCCACACCAGAACCTGCCTTTGTTGCACACAACGATCTGGGCCGTTGGAGCTTACCGGAGTTCGTGGCAGAAAAGAAAATCGGAAAGGAGGACAGGGCACCGGAGCTTGCTAGAATTAACCTGCCAATGGGCGCTGTAGGGTACGTAGTAGGCAAAGAAGAGAACCCACATGCTGCACAGCCACTGCACGAAGCTCTCTGTTACATAACTCCACACTCCGCTTGCGAACTAATTTCAAATATCGTTTGCAAGGACTTGTCGTGTACACCTCAGCATTGCACGAGGTTGCCCCATGGTACACAACCATATCAATATCAATATCGCCCATCGGGCTTCTGGCCAACACTGTGCAGTCAGACTGTCGGACTCATAGAAAGCATGGTATGTGATATGAGTCGGAGACTCATTGAGATTCACGTATACTGGCATGAGGACCCATGGTTCTTCAAGTTCAAGGGTGAATGAAGGAATTGTCTATCTTTTAGTCGCAAGGCCTGACTGGAAGCTTGCGCAAACAGATGGCGAACAAAGACTTGGACTCAGCACAACAGCTCACCATCAAACTAGTCTAATGATAGACGCAACATCTCTGGCAAAAAGTTCAGCTAGCGTGACGAGCGTAGCCAGATTATGATCATAGGCCCGAGCAAGTACTACAAGCTGCCACGCTTGCGACAGTCAACTAATTTCAAATATGAATCGAAACCCTAAAGTGCCAACACACTTCGTACGCCTCATGGTACACAGCTCTCCTATATTGATAATATTGCCCATTGCCCAAGTGCTAAATCTAGATGCCGGCTTAGGGTTGTGTACTTGCCGGGTTCACACCCTGCAATGATTATAAGGCTACACCAACGCTTCTCCGTGACTCACATTTACTACTACTTCCCCCCTCATGGATCCCTCAAGGATAAGAGAGAAAATCGGTCGCTTTCGTATTCTCGTTATAGGAAGAGCGAACGCAGGAAAAACCACCATCCTGCAGAGAGTTTGCAACACACGGGATAATCCAGAAATATACGACGGCGCCGGGAAAAAGGTGGGCATCACAATGCTAGTAGGAGTATGGTACTGACCCATCGACATTAGATTGACCTTACAGTTTTAATGGCATCTAGAGAGGTAAGGTGTGCTCCTAGTCGATGCCATGAACTGACGTGCTCTCAGCGCGGACTGCACGACATCGATAACGAAATGGTGTTCAAGAGTAACCCGGGATTCGTCTTCCATGATTCACGCGGTTTTGAGGCAGGCGGCGCATCCGAATTTGAAAAAGTCAAGGAATTCATCGCGAGCCGCTCCAAGGAACAGAAAATAACAAATCAACTACATGCTATCTGGTAATTACAACCCATCAATCGCGGCGATGTGCTATCTCACAGATTCAACATAGGTACTGCATTCCCATGGACGAAGCAAGCAGGTCGTTCACTGCAGGTGAAAATAAATTTTTCTCTCAATGCGACACAGGAAGCAGTAAGCTTTCGCATTCCACCCACCTTGACGTTCAGCTGATACGCAGAATCACCATCCTCAGTTCCAGTGATCGTATTGTTCACCAAATTTGATGCCCTATACGACGTCGAATACGCCAAGCTAAAGAAGAAAGGAAGATCTCGGAAAGACGCCAAGGAACTGGCCCCGAAACGAGCCGAAGAGTCATTCCCTAACGGGCCACAATTGAAGTTTCTCAAGGATGTGCGGTGGCCTCCAAAATGTTATGTGTGCCTTCCTAGTAAGCCGGTTCGTGGTCGAGTCGCGATACATGATGACCTTTGATCTATTAGACATGGAGAAGGATGATGCAGATTGCAAGACACTCATCGAGCGCACGGCTGGAGCTCTGGATAATGAAGTGCTTCAGCAATTATTCGTCTCGACCCAGCAAACCAACTTGGAGATCTGCATGAAATATGCAGTTGAGCGGTAACTATCCATGGTCTCATTCACCTGCCGCAAGCGTTAACGACTGATTGCACAGAACACTCTCAAACCATTTTGACTCTGCAGAGACAACAACATCTGAGGGTTATCGGAGAATGATGGGGTCACTGGGCACCTGGTTTCCACACATTCGTGTAAGACTATCGTAAAGTTCGAACATTGCTCTCATTTACGTTGGGCGTTTACTTGCAGGCAGTACGTGTGTCAATCCTTGTTCGAACTCGAGCCATGCTGATCCAAGTCGTTGCCAACCGTTCGCAGGATGTGAGTGTGTCGATCCTCGTTCGACCAACAGCCATGCTGATCCAAGTCGTTGCCCACCGTTCACAGGCGGTGAGTGTGTCGATCCTCGTTCGAGCAACAGCCATGCTGATCCAAGTCGTTGCCCACCGTTCGCAGGCGGTGAGTGTGTCGATCCTAGTTCAAGCAACGGCCATGCTGATCCAAGTCATCGTTGCTGATCCGTTGATAGCATGTGAGTGTGTCGATCCTCGTTAGAGCAACAGCCATTCTGATCCAAGTCGTTGCCCACTGTTCGCAGTATGTGAGTGTGTAGATCCTCGTTCGAGCAACAGCCATGCTGATTCAAGTCATCGCTGCTGATCCGTTGATAGCATGTGAGTCCATTGACTCTTTGTTGAGTTCAAGCATTCCTGACTAACGCAATTGATCATCCATTGGCAGGAGGTCAGTACATTGATCCTCCAGCGACTTTCAGCTACTGATCCAAGATATCGTCTATTCGTTGACAGCTTGTGAGTATCATTATCCTTTGTCGACCTCCTGCGTTTCTTACCGATGCAATCGCTGATTTATTGTTAGGATGTGGGTGTATTGATTCTACGTCGTCCTCACTGACCGACCACAACTTTACCGCTCCGTTGACAGATTGTGAGTTTCTCGATCTACCATCGAACGCGAGCCATGCTGACTGAAGACATCGACCATCCATTCACAGGATGTAAGCGCATTGATCCACAGTCGAATTGGGGCCCCACTGACCATTGAAACTGCTCATCCCTGTTGACAGTTCGTGAGTGTGTTCATCTGCCATTGAGCTCGAGCCTTGCTCACCCACTACATTGCTGATCTGTTGATAGCTCGTGAGTCTCGATCCTCATCCTCAATCGAGCTCTAGCTTTCTTCGCCGATGGCATTGCTCATCCATTGCCAGAAAGTCAGTGTGCTGATCCTCCAACGAGTTCGAAGTTTGCTTACCACTAAAATCGTGCATCCTTCAATAGAGAGTGGGTCTCAAGCCTTGCTAACGAACGTCATCGCTGATCCATCGATAGGAGGAGCTTCGAGTCGATCACTGTGTAGAGATACAGTCTAGGTTACTCTCTGCGGTATGTCTAATTGGTTACAGATTGTGCACACATTTCTTATGTTGCGACTCTGTCAGGCCTCCCACTCATCACCTTTGGATAATATCGTTCAGCTCATTTCTGGTGAATTTTGAAGCTACGCTGCGATGAATTATTATTGACCATCAAGCTTGTGTCATTATCTTCGAACACTCTTTCTACATTTTCGACAAGCGGCGCTATCTTCAGGATAAGGAGTCTGATCCCTTGTTTCATGTCGCTCTCGAGCAGTACATGGCATCTCCCGCATGCAGCTACTGTCAGGGAAGCTGTGAGTGCTGCCATCCCGGCATATGAAGAAGCTGTGGCTACTGCCGCCCACGCATATGAAGAAGCTGTGAGGACTGCCATCTATCCATATCAAGGGAAACTGCCTTCTTGGATAACAAAGCTGCCATTTGGATCTTTCAAAAGGAAGGCAAAAGAAAAAGAATCTTTATGCTCTCGGGCGGAGGCGCAGTTAATTGAAGCTGTTCTTGAAATCGCTCTAAATCATCGTCTGCGTATGTTTCACCATCACGTTGAGGCAGCACTCCAGCTGATCCGCTTGTTTTCAGCTAGACCTTAATGCTGCGCAGTGCAACACACCATCATGATCAATAATGCTCCGGTTCGGAGAGGAGCGGAGGTGCCTGGGCTGTGAAGGTTGCTTGAAATGTTGTCGAGGTAGATTCAGGATGTGGAACTGTATTTGTATTATCATGCGATATAGCGCTTTGTCTGGTATGGGGTATACATGTTTAGAGAATCATGTCAATCACCCTCAGCCAAGACCGTGGCGAGCGCTTGATGTGCTTCTCAAGTATCCATGGTACGATCGGAATCTGCTGACACACTTTACATGACTGATAGAACAACGAGGCGCTTTCCGGGTGCATGAGCGGCTCCTATCCTTCTACTGCAGCAAGCTCCCTACGTGGAGTATTTTAATCTTATCATTGGCTCTTTCACCGGCTTGCTTACTCTGAACAGTCCAAAAGATCTTTCTTCACCTTGAATGACTTGTACTCACTAATACTTCCGTGAGTATGGATTAAAACAGCGGCTCACTCGATATACTCAGCATAATTTGCGTGCAAGGGAACATGTCTATCGTATCGTTTAACCTGTGGGCCGGGCACAACGGGAGTCAGAGATATGCCAACGATCTGTCCTAGCATCGTGAAAGACGATGACATCGCGACAGTCACGGGGATGCTGAGCTCGGGCATATAAATTGGTGTGAACGGCACAGCAGAGCTCCCGGAAGATTGCATACCATGAGTTGTGACGTTGATATTTGTCCCTTCGTAGGGCCATATGAAGGTTCATTCCAGGTTGGGATTCTTGGGTTTGCAAAGCTGCCTCAGGTAGTAATGGCACTGCAAGGCTCACAGAAGGCGTCGGCTCGGGTTGGCTGGCCACTGACTGAGAGCTCAATGCTAAACCGGGCCGCTCGCGAAAATCTTCTTCCTTTCCATTCACGACAGATTGACTCGGAGTGTCGGATCAGTCGCATGAGAATAGAGAGAAGAGTCCTGTATGGTTGACATGCAGTTGTTTCGATAATGACCCTCAACCAGGAGATGGAGATACGAGTGTATAGTTCCCGCATGATGACGGAGGTAAACGGGACCAACTCGTGCAAAGGCTATAGGTTTTCGCTCAAGAATATCATCACCAAATCAGACACCGCGTGATATAGGGTTCATTGTTGACACGTGCCGCATCAGGTGCTTCGGAGGTGCCTCGAAGTGAAGGTAGAAAAAGTATAGCTGATGGGGCTGTCAGCCGCGTTGAAGACTACCGTGACAGGAACCATGACTGGGGAGCACACAATGAAACTCACGACAACTTTGAGAGCAAAGTCAAGTTGTCTGCTGCCTGTTCTTCGTTTTGGCCAGCTAGAAAAAGAAAGCGCATGGGTGGCGGCGGAATAATTAAATGGTAAAAGATAGCACTTCAGTACCATACCTCATTTTGTCCAGGGACTGTCTGTAAACGGTTCACGATCAGCCACGCAACTTGAAGAGTATCGCAGTGTATCGAGAAATATTTGATGTGTGATAGCTAGCACCAAGGGAAGCCAGTTGATGATTACAATTGTGCCTGTCTGAAGATATACAAATTTAGGTGTAACGGTGGATTTCAGTTGGACAGACAACGAAAGGACTCCAAAACGCAAGACCAACTCCTTTGCACGAAGATTCAAGTTTCTAGAATAAACGCCTCTTATTTACCCGGTGCGCATAGTTCCCTGATCACGTTCTCATCGATCCTCTTCGCAAAACATATCTCAAACGGAGCAATATGTACGTTTGTAGTGTCCGAGAATGCAAGCGTGTCGATCTTCGCCGCAGGATTCTCCGAAAGGCGGAAAGCCCACAGAGTAAGAGCCGTGTTGATGAAGACAGACCGATTCGCAACATGTTGACCGGCACACACTCTGACATTGTTAAGTAAGGCATAAGAAATGGTCGAGAGATGAACGATGCTACTCACCGACGGCCAAAGCCAAAAGGGAAAAACCGGAGATCACCGCGCACACGACCTGCATCGTCGATCCAACGCTGAGGATTAAACGTCTGTGGTTCTGGAAATACTTCAGGATCGTTTGCGATAGCCCTGGAACACGAGCGTCAGACCCCAAAGTTAGAGGACGAAAATGACTGCCTACTGACCAATGGTTGCCAATAACAGTCGCACCTGCAGGAATCAGGTAGTTGTTCCAAATCATGTCCTTGATCGCGCGATGCGCAATGCCTGTAGTGCAAAGTGGTCATTCAATATCGCGGCATCACAACTCAAATAAGACGGACCTCCGAGAGTGACAGGTCTCCACCTGAGACTCTCCAGCATGAACGCAGTGACCTGCGGCAGCATTGCCTGATCAGAAAACGTCGGCACTGATCAGGAGTTATTTGAGTCAGTTGATGCACAAAGAAAAGGGAAACCTACGCCGCGTACGCCCCACGACGTTGTCGAGTTCCTCTTGTACGCGAGCCTGCGCATCTGCATGAGTGGCAGCGGCCATCATCATAAATGTGATCGCGGACGCAGTCTACAAAAATTGTCGAGCGAAGACGCGAAGCAATGCAAGAACTTACCGTATCGGCACCGGCCCCAAATATCACTCCGGCAAGGAATGCCATTTCCTTATCTCCGAGCTGGTACTGTGTCTGATGCTCTATCATGAACCTCGCAAAGGATGGCTGTACAGTCCCCTCGCGCTTCACAGTGGTGAGCGAGCATATCTATCATCACGAGGAAATCACGAACCATCTGTCTTCGCACCGCGTCTAATTGCCCGGTATAGAAAGCAAGTTCTTCTTTGTGCCATGCCTTCAGCCGACTCAGGTAGCCTGGGACGAAACGCAGGATGGGATACGCATCCACAAGATATGCTCCCGGCTTCATAGCTTGACCAAAACGCGCAGAAAACTTATGGATGGCAACGACTTCAGGATCTGTATATGAAGTCGAAGTAATCTTCCCATAAGTGAAGGACATGATCACGGAAGCTGCAAAACTGAAATCCTCGTATTATCACCTGTAGCGCGACTAAGAAATGGTGTTCGTACCGCATGGCATGTTTCTGGTGGTTCGTTGGATCATTTAAGATATCTAGAACCACATTCTTCGCATGCCCGGTCTGCATGGGCTCGTAGGTCACCGCGACCTTAGGTTGCAAGTTTGCATGCAAGACCCTGCTTTACATTTAGTCTCACTGATCGCACCTAGTAAAGACAGGACGCGTACCTGCGCATCCGGCGCAATCTCTCAGTACTGCCTTCAAGGATAACTCTGAACCCGCCAGACAACGTCTCGTGCACCGAAACAGAACGTGGGCGGTCGGCGACATTCGCTCCCTCTTTTTCCATGATATCTACTGCAGCCTGTGACGTGATCTACTTCAGGCCTGGCTAGACAATGAATTATTTGATGCTGACCTGATGACGCCCTATAACCACCACAATCTTATTGCCTTGTTTGAGCGAGAACACAGGTCCGTATTGTTCTGTCCATCTCGCGAATTGAAACGGCGCACTGCGCGAGGGGTTAGACAGAGATCATGTTGGTATCCCTCGACAATGACTTACTATGACTTTGGCATCGTATTTCCTAATAGCCAACGTCCAGGTGGTCTAGGGGGTAATGGCAACCGCCTTGCGGCCTGATATCGCTGTTGCACTATCCAGACGCTGGCTAAGATAATAATGAGGGTGCATGCGGGAATGATAATCGCCATTGAAATGGTCTGGCTTGTTGTTAGGCACGATTCAGACACCCCACTACTTTGCAACACGTTCAGTACTCTAGAACAGAGAGGTAGTGACTTACTGTGATGAGCGACGAGTAGGGTGAGATTAGAGCCCATGATTACACTGATTTATACTTATACAGACACGAATCGAACACCTGCGCGGATTGATCGTGCTACCTGTGTGAGTGCGGTCTTCGCATAGTAGGATAGGAAGCACTCTGGTGTAGTGGACGCGCGAGTGCCAAGACATTTCGACGCGGCGGCGGAAGTATAGTGGGTCACTATTCTAAAAATATCTACACCCCGAACTTATAAATAGCGACGCCTAATCACTCTACCTAAACAGTCACCCGGCTCATAAATAGGTTACGCATAGTTAGGGCTACTTTGACTCGGAACCACCCCAAATACATGCAACACTTGGGTGGCGAGTTAATTGCGATCGATGTCCACGTATGTATTGTTATGTTTTACAAATGACAGTAGTATACATACTTACGAGTGTTAATGTGGTGCAACATGGTACATATGTAGATGTGACTAATAATGATGAATTACATGTCGTCCAGCTGGCTGCCTGCAGCCAGCCAGTGGGATGTCATAATACGGGCGTAGAACAAAATCGTGTGATGGGGTAACAGAAGGCCATCCAAATCGCGAAACCATCACCATCGTACAGCCTTGAGGTTTCTCAGTTCCCTCTGAACATCTCTGATATCAGATCGATTCCACCCGCCAACCCAATCGCTTTTTGTCTGAGTCTCCGGGAGAACTTCAGGCCTTGGAGCGAAAGGTATATTTCGTGGGCTCGTGACGGACATACTGCGTCGTTTCCCATTGGGCACGCCTTCTTTAGAAGGTAATTGAGTGGGCAGCACTTGTGCTGTGACTAGTTCAGGAGGCACGTTCTCGCCTAGATGACGGGCAAGTTTTGCCATCCGCTTTCTCCGCAATTCTGCCGCGTCGAAACTTGGTGTACGAGGCGTAGGGGGGAAATAAGCAGACGTACGAGCTGAGGAAGGTGTGTGCGGTAGTGATGTAGTACGGTGGTGATCAGTGGGCGATACAGGGATGGTGTTCATGCGAAGGTACAATGGTCTGGGTTTATCTGCCGACTTTCTGCCACGCACGGGCAGGCCTGGCGGTGTCACCGAGAGGGAGTCTGTGCTCCGCATGCTCAAAGGTAGCGAGACGAGCGAGGCGGATGGGGAGTGGAAGGATGCCGTTGAGGCTGAGCTAAATGATGTCACAGAGGGAGAGCCCTTGTGGTGATGGGTGAATATGGAACCCTGGCGCTTCAGTGCTTTTCCCGTTACTGTTTTTTTGTTAACACCGATGGGGAGGAGTGCGATAGGAACGTCTGCCTCGAGGAGGTAGGGTGTGGTACCCATAACTGCCTCCAATTTACGGGCAGAACGTATGAGACGCATGCGCTGTTGTGAGTCAAGAACATTTGTAGTAGGTGGGGGACATGGATACATGATCGTCGAGATCGCGGTAGAAGACATTGCGCAGCAGGAGATTACTAGAGAAGACAAGGAGTCTTAAAGTGAGCGGTTTAGGAGCACGCGGTAACCAATGTGACAATAAGATTCACAAAAACGAAACAAGAAAAACCAAGTACACAGTACTTGTCTTGAAAGACGGACACGAAGGGAGTGAAATTGAGAGGTCAGTTGATATAAGCCGAAAGACAATTCAAGCAAGAACCTTGTTACATAACAATAAGCAGCGCGCTGCCAGCATGAGGCCATGTCAAACACAGTACTTATGTAAAGAAGAACAAAAAGAATTGTCCAAACTATTGTTCCGTATTAGGAACCAAATACAACGCATTCCCTTTTCGTCACTAGGTCTAAGTACATTTGGAAGGGCAGCTTCCATGCCATTCAGCCGCCAGCGAACTCTTTGCAATACAGCTCATATCAATATGCTGCGATACGATATCCTCCAACACATGCAGATCTTTTTTCGCTGTCGCCAGTTCAAGATAGTCCAAAATACGTGGACCATGTTCCTTCGCAAGGTTTTCCACCCTTCGCTCCAAAAAGAGCTTCAGGTGGTCACAATCAGACGAAGCAAGACACAAGTGGGTAAGCACAGGGGCCGGGCTGCTGGTTTCTGGATCGTCGGAATACATATTGAGTGCATCGAGGAAACACTGCTCCGGGTCGATGAGAGCGAGGTGTCGAAGTCGCAAGCATTTCTGTAACATGCGGTAAGCCAGAAAAACAGGAGCCTCGTGCAAATTTTTCAGAGGGTCGTTGTCTTGCCGGAAGAGATCGGAGACCAAAGGTGGTAGACTAAAATTTTCAAGTGCGAGCGTTTCAATTTGTTCGAGTAGTGAACACACATAAACCAGATGTTCGAGGAGGATCGTAGAAGAAAACTCGTTAAAGGGTTGAAGGGCAGGCATGTTCTGGATGATCAGGCTGTTCGAGTCGAATCCGTCTTTGAAGTGCCGAGTAAGAATTGAGCGAGAGACATCACATAACTTGAGGTGCTTCAGCGCAGGCGCCTCGAAGTGAAGGAAAATAATTATGGCTTCCCACTGGGATAGATAACCGAGCGTAAGATCTGTGAGCCTCGGCAAGTTCGTCGGCAACTCGTCCGCGTTACAGGGTAGCCTCCCAAACCGCTGAATGGCGCCTTGGATCTCGAGCTTTTCCAGAGTCTCTGCGTTCAATGTAAGGACGTATTTCAGCACATCCATCGAAGGTCGGTCATGCAAGGTCATGAAATTAATCGATAGGGATGTCAGACGCGTTAAAGACCACCGAGACCATGAGACTGGGAACCCGGACAATGAAACCCGTGTCAACTTCGGGAGCAAATCCAAGTTGTCCGCCTGTCTGTGTCTGTTCCTCCTTTTGGCCAGCCAGAAAAAGAAAGCGCACGTGTGGTGGCAAAATAATTGAATGGTAAAAGGATATGACTTCAGTGCCAAACTTTATTTTGTAGGTCTCCAGATTCTCCATGGGGACTGTCTGTAAACGATTCGTGACCAGCCGCGCGATTAGGAGAGTATCGCAGTGTATCGAGAGATATTTGATGCGTGGAAACACCAGGCGGAGCCAATCCATTATTATAACCGTGCCTGTTTGAAGATATACGAAGTTGGGTGTAACGAGGAGTTTGAGTCGGACAGACAACGGAAAGACTCTAGAACGCGAGGCGAACTCCTTTGCACGAAGAAGAGATGTATTTACGATAGCGCGCCCTCCGTCAATATTATACATGTTATCGGTCGTGATGGTGATGTCCGACCACAACGAGGAGCAGCTGAAAGCGACGTCGCGCCATGTATAGCAAACTTGCGATGCTGTGACCGCAAAATCGATACGTTCTTGGGAGTCGCGACAGGACACGCCCAACTTGAATATGTGCAGGATGATCTCGTTAGGCAAGGTATTGATTGGACTCTTGCGCACGGGCTGTAGTTTGCTAGCCCGATTTATGACGTTAAAGGGTGTATTGTTTGGCAAGCCAAGCGCTTCCGTGTACTGAGCCGCGGCGGGTGGTGCATTATTTGGAGCGAGCACTGCAGTTTGCATGTTACCAAGGATCTTTCTAGGTAGCAAGTTGAAGTCAAGAAGAATACAGAAGCTGCGAGTATTCGAAAGTGATTGGCCTGTTGAGAAGAGAGCGGTTACAAGAAAAATAATGGCCAACGAAGTCCAACTTAAATACCGTCAAGGCAAGTCCAAGAAGCCACAATGAGTCAATGACATTGTCCAGTCTATAGCGACAAAGGCTAGGTCGTGGTTGCACATGCTTTGTTGCACATTCATTGATGGGGGCGTGTTGAATAGAGTGCAGAACTTGTTCCCTGTGTCTACCGGCCGGGACTAAGGCCTCCGATGTGTTGAGCTGAGCGTGCGTAGACAGCTACTTGTAAGGTCGGAGTACAAAGTTCTATTTTTAGAATGATGACCCACTTTACTTCAGCCGAGTGGCCCGAGTTGACCTCCATTACAATATTTGTAAACCTAACGGTCGACGGTCCTTGTGGCACGAGCAATCCAATGGGTCATCGAGAACGACATGGAGATCTACCTTGATATTCAGGTGGAGTCTAAATGTCTTGAAACACGCGCGTCCACTATTAACTTATCGCCAGGGACCAGGGTGGTCAGGCATCAGGTTCTTACTATAGGAAGACCGCAATACGTGATTCGCACAGGTCCGATTTATCCGCAGGCGTTCAATCACTGTTTGTATAAGTATAGGTGAGCGTAATCATGCACACTAACCTCACCGTACCCGTCGCTCATCACAGTAAGTCGCCACTTCTCTGTTCTGGAGTACTTGTACTTAACGTGTTGCAAAGTAGCGGGGTGTCTGAATCGTGACTATCAGCAAGCTCGACCATTTCAATGGCGATTATCATTGCCGCATGCACCCTCATCATCATCTTAGCCAGCATCTGGATCGTGAAACAACGATACCAGGCCGCAAGACGGTTGCCGTTACCCCCTGGACCACCTGGACGTTGGCTATTAGGAAATGTGATGCCAAAGTCATAGTACGTCATTGCCGAGGGATACCAACATGATCTCTGTCTAACCCCTCACGCAGTGCGCCGTTTCAATTCGCGAGATGGACAGAACAATACGGACCTGTGTTCTCGCTCAAACAAGGCCATAGGATTTTCGTAGTTATAGGACGTCATCAGGTCAGCATAAAACAATACATTGTCTAGCCAGGCATGAGGTGGATCACGTCACAGGCTGCAGTGGATATCATGGAAAGAGAGGGAGCAAATGTTGCCGACCGCCCACGTTCTATTGCAGTGCACGAGACGTTGTCTGGCGGATTCAGAGTAGTCCTTGAAGGCAGTACTGAGAGATTGCGCCGGATGCGCAGGTACGCGTCCTGTCTCTCCTAGGTGCGATCAGTGAGACTAAATGCAAAGCAGGGTCTTGCATGCAAACTTGCAACCTAAGGTCGCGGTGACCTATGAGCCCATGCAGACCAGGCATGCGAAGAATGTAGTTCTAGATATCTTAAATGATCCAACGAACCACCAGAAACATGCCATGCGGTATGAACATCAGCTCTTAGTCGCGGTACAGGTGATAATCCGATGATTTCAGTTATTCAGCTTCCGTGATCATGTCCTTCACCTATGGAAAAATCACTTCGACTTCATATACAGATCCTGAAGTCGTTGCCATCAACAGGCTTTCTGCGCGTTTTGGCCAAGCTATGAAGCCGGGAGCATATCTTGTGGATGCGTATCCAATCCTGCGTTTCGTCCCAGGCTACCTGAGTCAGCTGAAGGCATGGCACAAAGAAGAACTTGCTTTCTATATCGGGCAGTTAGACGCGGTGCAAAGACAAATGGTTCGTGATTTTCTCGTGATGATAGATATGCTCGCTCACCACTGTGAAGCGTGAGGGGACTGCAAGGCCATCGTTTGCGAGGTTCATGATAGAGCACCAGACACAGTACCAGCTCGGAGATAAGGAAGTGGCATTCCTCGCAGGAGCGATATTTGGGGCCGGTGCTGATACGGTAAGTTCTTGCATTGCGTCGCGTCTTCGCTCGACAATTTTTGTAGACTGCATCCGCAATCACATTTATGATGATGGCTGCTGCCACTCATGCAGATGCGCAGACTCGCGTACAAGAGGAGCTCGATAACGTCGTGGGGCGTACGCGGCGTAGGTTTCCCTTTTCTTTGTGCATCAACTGACTCAAATAACTCCTGACCAGTGCCGACGTTTTCTGATCAGGCAATGCTGCCGCAGGTCACTGCGTTCATGCTGGAGAGTCTTAGGTGGAGACCTGTCACTCTCGGAGGTACGTGTTATTTGAGCTGTGATGACGTGATATTGAACGCCCACCTTGCACTACAGGCTTTGCCCATCGCGCAATCAAGGACATAATTTGGAATAACTACCTGATTCCTGCAGGTGCGACTGTGATTGGCAACCATTGGTCAGTACGCAAACATTTTTGTCCTCTAACTTTTGGGTCTGACGCTCGTGTTCTAGGGCTATCGCAAACGATCCTGAAGTGTTTCCAGAACCACAGACGTTTAATCCCCAGCGTTGGATCGACGATGCAGGTCGTGTGCGCGGTGATCTCCGGTTTTTCCCTTTTGGCTTTGGCCGTCGGTTTGTATCGTTCATCTCTCGATCATTTCTTATGCCTTACTCAACAATGTCAGAGTGTGTCCCGGTCAACATGTTGCGAATCGGTCTGTCTTCATCAACACGGCTCTTACTCTGTGGGCTTTCCGCCTTTCGGAGAATCCTGCGGCGAAGATCGACACGCTTGCATTTTCAGACACTGCAAACGTACATGCTGCCCCGTTTGAGATATGTTTTGCGAAGAGGATCGATGAGAACGTGATCAGGGAACTATGCGCACCAAGCAAATAAGAGGTGTTTATTCTAGAAACTTGAATCTTCGTGCAGAGGAGTTTGTCTTGCGCTTTGGAGTCTTTTCGTTGTCCGCCCGACTCAAACTCATAGTCCCACCTAACTTTGTATATCTTCAAACAGGTACCATTGTGATCATGAACTTGTACCCCTTAGTGTTACCACGCATCAAGTAGATACACTGCGATACTCTCCAGGTTGTGTGGCTCATCGTGAACCGTTTACAGACAGACCCCGGACAAAATGAAGTATGGTACTGAAGTGCTATCCTTTTACCATTTAATTATTCCTCCATCACCTGGCATGCGGTTTCTTTTTCTAATAGCTGGCCAACTCGAAAAGCAGACTTTTGCTCTCAAAGTTGACACGGGTTTCATTGTGTGCTTCCCAGTCATGGTTCCGGTTGCGGTAGTCTTCAACGCGACTGACAGCCCCATCAGCTATAATTTTTTTTTTACCTTCACTTCGAGGGCACAATCCTGATGCGGCACGTGTCAACAATGAGCCATAAATCACGTGGTGTCTGATTTGGGTCTCGAGCAAAAACCTATAGCTCTTGCACGAGTCCGTTTACCTCTGTCGTCATGCGGGAAGGATACATTCGCATGTTCATCTCCTGGTTGAGGGCCATGATCAAAACAACTGCATTTCAATCATACAGGACTTTTCTCTCTATCCTCATGCGCCTGATCCGGCATTGTCAATCTGTCGTGAATGTAAAGGAAGGGGATTTTCGCGAGCGGCCCGGTTTAGCATTGAGCTCTCAGTCAGTGGCCAGCAAACCCGAGCCCGCGCCTTCTGTGAGCCTTGCAGTACCATCAATACCTGAGGCAGCTTTGCAAACCCAAGAATCCCAACCCGGAATGAACCTTCATATGCCAATTCCGGAGCCCTACGAAGGGACAAATATCAACGTCACAACTCATGGTATACAATCTCCCGGGAGTTCTGCTGTGCCGTTCACGCCAATCTATATGCCCGAGCCCAACGTCCCCGTGGCGGTCGCGATGTCATCGTCTTCCACGATGCCAGGACAGATAGTTGATATCTCTCTAACTCCCATTGTGCCCGGCCCACAGGTCAAACGATACGACAGGCGTGTTCTCATGTATGCAAATTATACTATGTCGAGTGAGCTGCTGTTTTAATCCGTACTCACAGAAATGGTGATCGCAAGTCATTTAAGGTTGAGAAAGGTCTTTTGGACTGTTCAGAGTAAGCATGCTGGTGAAAGAGCCAGTGATGAGATTAAAACACTCCCCGTAGGGAGCTTGCTGCATTAGAAGGATGGGAGCCGCTCACGCACCCGGAAGGCGCCTTGTTCTTCTATCAGTCCCGTAAAGTGTGTCCGCCGCCTGCTCCCAGTATATGACTTTATTCAAGTCACACCAGAGAGTTTTCACTGATGCCAATGTTCGAGATCCTGAAATTAATATCGAAATAAACAAAGCTGTTGAGACGGCGCGCAAAGGTGCGCGGAAGGCAGACATCGTCTTGGATCCATCCGTCGAGCTCGCATTGGAGCTTATCACGGAGGCGAACAAAAAAAATTGGGGCTATTACTTTGTCGACCACGACAGACGTGTCATTTTCTGGTTCGAAGACTACGAATCTCCTCACCTTATGAATAATGTTCGAGGTGTAGAGCGCAAAAGCCACATCAGTGAGTTCTTTTCACGGGAAGCTTTCGTTTCGAGCTCATGTAATTGTGTCGCTACTAGAGTATGCATTGGACTCACAGTATTGGTTCGTATGATTTAGATGTACGCACGTTCCATCACTCGACCAAAGTAAATGCGCTCACCATTTGTTACAGCCCCTTTTACTTTCCAGGGTTTACATACCGTGACATTGGCAGGAGGCATATTGAGCTGTTTCCAAACAAACGCATCCTTCCAGAAGACATTGTCGTGACGCTCAAAGAAATTGTCATGCATGCTCATGCAGGTGAGTGAAGATCAATAAGCGTTTCACGTCGTACATGATTGACATCGTAATAGAAAACATCACTTCTGAAACGTGCCTAGCACCTTTTGCCTCTAGTGAAGTTGCAAGTATGCTAGGCCTTGTGGATCATCTCAAGGGTGAATTGTGACCTGATGCAGGAAAGTTGTTGTTGATCGCCTTTTCAGGTAGTACTAACAAGGAGCGTGAGCACTCCGTGTGGATTGCTGGTAAGTGTGATCATGGAATGTCAGCTGATTGCTCCTGATACGTTTGCTGATTTCAGCTCGATTGATGAGGCTTTTCTGTGAGTTTCGTCTAGTAGTCTGCGATTTCCATTTCCATTTCCTGATTGCTTTACTAGGCAACGCAAAGTTTGTGAATTTCTGTGGACAACCAGGTGCCCGACTTGACGTAGATCAATCGCTATATGGAGAACATGACACCCGCTCGAATAAACCCATCCTTTATATCATGAATGTTATTCTGTTTGGATCTCCAGTTGCTCAAAGCAGGGCAATTCACAGGATATGGGTCGATGAAACCATCGTTCAACCGCGATGGAAGGATTTTATAGATAGGATGACCACCGAATGGAATGGATATACAATATTTGTGAGTTGCGTTTTCGTTTAAAATTCTCATGCAATAAACGACCATCTCAGTCTACTGTGATGCTCGCTGTTGATATTAGTTTTCTCGCGGTCCCAGCTATCGCGACTCAAACGGCCGCGATCGCTCTAACATATCTGTCTTGCATCTGCGCCCTGGGCTCTTTAGTGGTCTCGCTGGTCTTGGCTGGCCAAGTTAATGACAGTCGGCGAGGTTCTGCTGCAGACGTAGTAAGTTTTTTTTTGTTTGATCATATCACCTACATTGATTATGTCCACAGGCCTCTTTCATGGTAGGAATATCACAGTCTATGTTCGGCCTCGAAAGCCTTGCCCTGATGCTCAGCCTACCGTTTGCACTCCTGATTTGGGGGTCAGTCTCCGGGTTACATTTCACAGATTAGTGGCTCAACCTTTTTACAGAATGGCGTTCTTTGCTGGAGCATTGTCCACCCTGATCTTCCGCACTTCTAATGTTGTCGTCATTTCAATTGCATCTCCAGTCTGGGTCGCCGTATTCGTCCTGGCGATGTGGCCCGTACTTACCGCCAATAATATTCACATTTCTCGCCTAAGGTCCTGGATCATAGAACAAGCTTCATCTCAGGCTGTGGAGCCCATCTTTGGTGTCTAATCTGTGTTGTCTGATTACAGAGATTTTCTGTGGCGCGACACGCATACAGTTGGTACATGGTGTTTTGCGAGTTGATTTGTATGATACACATTTCCTCTTGAATAACCCCACACAGAACTCACCAGCTGTGGATCTGGGATTGACGTTCCTAGCGCAAGTGGGAACGCACTTATGGAGTACATCCTAGGAGGAATGAAGCATCGTTTGGACGGAAAGACATATTCAACTGGATAAACCCAACGTCACGTACCCTATTGCTTTGAACAGTTTTCCCATTTGTTCACCGGTTCACTGAGGTAGTGATGAGATGGTGGCGTGAAGACAGCCTCGTGTCCTGGCCCCTGGGCGTCTATTGAAATGAGGCAGCTGGGTGCAGTCACACACATTTCCATCCGCAAAATACACGCACCTCTGAAGAAAGACGCTGGCAAACCTTCAAAAGTCACTTTGACTGCACCCAGCGCCATCAACTTCCAGTAAAATGTCGGAGCCCATTCCAATCACTACACCCCTGCGAGAGTTCGGAGGTCATAAAGAAGACGTAACAGTGGTCGCAGTGTTCCCCGATAAACGCCGGATGGTTACTGGCTCGAATGACAGAACTCTTCGTTTGTGGGACTTGAAGACAGGTATTGTATTGGAGAAGATGGAGGGGCATAGCTGGCAGGTGTTTGTATTGGTGGTATCACGAGATGGGCGATTGATAGCAAGCGGTGCTCTGCAGGGAGAGGTCATCGTTTGGCGCGGAGAAACTGGCGAATCACTCACCAAGATCGAAACCCACTCTAACTATATCTACTCGCTGGATTTTTCTCCCGATGGAACAGTGCTGGCCACTAGTGCATATCACGACAAAATGATAAAACTGTGGAACACCAAAACCTGGGAGCAACAAGGAGACCTAATCGAATGTCGTTATGTCCGCTGCGTACAATATTCGCCCTCTGGAGAACTTCTTGCCATCGCAACAAAAGACAATATACAAATTTATAATACAGGCACCAGGGAATATCGCGTCGCATTCTTCAAAGCTCACATATACAATTTGTCACTCGCATGGACGCCAGATGGTACACGCCTTCTCACAGGTGGCAGTGCTGTTGATCCTACCATACGCGAATGGGATACGACAACCTGGCAGCAGGTTGGCGATCCCTGGACCGGTCACACTGACTCTATCGGTGCTATTGATATCGCTGTTCATCCCACTGGCACACTCATCGCATCCGCATCCTATGACAATCATGTCCGTATCTGGCGGCTCTCAAACCGACAAACCGTTGCCATCTTCAAGCACTCATATACGCCGTTCTGTGTCACTTTCTCCGTGAACGGCAGGCACATCTTCAGCGGAGGTCAGGATAAGATGATCTCGGAGTGGGCAGTACCCAAGGACATCAATTCAAATATCGATGCAAATACCCATGCTGCCTACGCCCGTCGCTTGAAGGCATGTTTCCGTTCTTGACTCATATACCATAATTCGAGCATGTTTCGTACAGATCTTAACCATCACGACAGCCCGCGATGCATGCATAGATGGAGACTTATCTACTGCTGAAGACCTACTCACGCAAGATATCATCACCGATGTCAATAACCATACTTTCTATGCTCATCGCTCATTCGTGATGGCCCGACAAAACAACTGGAACCCCGCCCTTCAGGATGCAATCAAAGTGAGTCATACGCATTGATTATGGCCCCCTCGTAACAGGTTAACTCGACGGCGACATAGTCCATCAGCATTCGGCCCTCATTAATAGGCTACATCTCCAAGGGTATCGCCCTCTGCGGAAAAGGCCGCGTCCAGGATGCGAGGGCGGCATTTGATGTTGCATCAATGTACACTGATCAAGATTCACAAATCCTTCATTTCCTGCTCTTGATCAAAGTATGTTACATTTGCCTCACGCACTCTCTGCTTCATCGCGTATTTCAGGCCATCGCCCTCTTCAATGCAGATCAACATGACGAGGCAAACCTGCTCCTCAAAGAACTAGTTACTGGTTGTCCGAATGCTGATACTATCGGGTGTTGTGTCGTGCAAGTAAGTAGCATCCGCACTTGGTCATCGACACTGATCTTTGCAACTCGCACATCAGGCATATTGGCATGTTCAACTTGGAATCAAGGCTTTGGATGGCGCACGTCACGAAGAAGCCGCTGACCATTTCACCGCCGTTCTCAACTCCAGCGCTTTCTCATGGAGTTCACCTATTCATTTTATGTACGAGGACTTTGTGGTGGTGCGTGAATGCACATTCGAAATCCTTCTCATAACTGAGTCCCTTGTCCAGCTCTTTGGCTGGGATCTCAAATCATTGTGGCTCACTGCGAATCAGAAACGTTGTTGTGCACTCTTTCGGGCAGGCAAACTTCAAGATGCCGTTAAATCATACCGATACATGATGGACAACATCGATGAAACAACGAAGGCCAGCTGCCTTGAATGGTCCAACGGCAAGTCTGGAGTTCGTAATGTCGCGTAGGCTACAATCCTCACCCCCATTTCACTCAGCTTTCACGGAAAAATGCAGCGCGCTCTTTGTTACCGACGGGGACGCTGCCTTCGCTGCAAGCGATTTTGACAAGGCGATTGACTTATATTCGGCCGCGATCGACCTGACTTCTCCATCCGATGCTGTCTTGGCATATCGTAGTAAGGCAAAGTTGGAGAAAGAGCTGTGGGAGGATGCACTTCTCGACGCGCAAGAGGTGCGATGACATTTATTGTTTCTTCACTTATGCTTATTGTGGCGATACACAGGTCATACAACTCAACCCTTCATCTCATATTGGATACAAGTTGAAGCATGCAGCCTTTCATGGTGCACAACGCTATGATGAAGCTATTGCGGCCTTCGAAACGATGCTCTCAAAATTGGATGATACCCCTGACAGGGAGACACAAAGTAAGCCCCAGAGAGCTTGTGCGTCAGCATGCTTTGACTGTTTTTGCAGAGTTGCGCCAGCAGTATCTTCTCCGCCCACACAAAGTGGGCCTTGCTATTCAAGAGGTCGTCGATAATCATCTTCAAAATACTCCGCTGCGTGTAATCGACACCACCACCGGTTTCTTGTGCGATCGAGAGACGCAGATACGCACCTTCAAAATGAGCGTAGAGTACAAGGAGCTTATATCATCAACAATCACACATCAAGATATCCAAACGATGCGCATCAAAGAAGTGGTGATGACATTCTTCCAATACGTCATGCTATCCCACAGGTGGGAAGTCGGGGAGCCGCTGCTGCAGGATATCCAGGGTAAGGATGTGTATAAGTTGTATCCATCCGGCGGTATCGCGAAGTTGCAGTCCTTCTGCGAAACTGCTCGGGATTTGACGTATCGCTGGGCATGGAGCGATACATGTTGTATTAACAAGGACATCGATGCTGAGCACCAAAAGTCGATTAAGTCGATGTTCGACTGGTATCATCACTCCGCGCTCACAGTCGTATACCTCTCGGATGTTCCGGCTTTGTCAAAGTCTGGTGCTCTGGAAAAGAGCGCTTGGAACACCCGCGGATGGACGGTACAAGAATTCCTCGCTCCCGAAATCATTATCTTCTTTCAGAATGATTGGACTCCTTATCTCGACGATCGCACTTCCAATCACAAGAATTCCATCGCGATCATGCAGGAGTTGGAGAAGGCGACGGGCATAGATCGACAAGCTGTCGTACCCTTCCGTCCCGGAATGAAAAACTCCCGAGAGAAACTTCAGTGGGCATCAACACGTACTACCACATTGCCAGAAGACATCGCATACTCGTTATTCGGTGTCTTTGGTATCCGCCTAAATGTTGATTATAGCGAGAAGAAGCAGAACGCACTCGGGCGGCTCCTGCAGGAAATCATATCCCGGTCTGGCGATATTACTGCCTTGGACTGGGTCGGAAAGGCATCAGAGTTCAACAGCTGTCTACCAGCCGACATCACTTCATACAAAGCTCCACCATGCAAGGTGCCATCCGAGTCTCTATCCGAAGAAAAGATCCAGTCATCGGTCTCCTCACTGCGAGGTGTCGTGGATGTAGAGTTGGCTTTGCAATTATATAAGACACTTGACTCCCTGAAAGCTCCCAGTTTCGAGCACCGCCGGTTGCATCTGCCTTGCATTGTATTTCCGGTCAGAGAAGCCAGGCGGAAGTCAGGTCATGACCGAAATACATATACGTATGAACTCAAGTCAGACGGACTTTGCAACCTGCAGATCACGACAGAAGATAGGTTCACTCCGTTCTCGCCGACAAGGCCGCTGCTTGTCTGGCAGACGATGTTGCTCGTTCGTCCATGGAGTCGCCATCTCCTCGGGCTGGATGACACTGCAAACGATACGGAGAGCGTGGACAATTGGTCCGTGTTCGAATCTTTGTTGCACGATTCTCCCGCTGCACAAACTGGGTCGATTTATTCGGACTCTTACTCGCAAGCATTGCGGTTGATTGTCAACCTTGGACAGCCGTTTAGTGTATTTCTGCTAGAGCGGCAGCACGAAGGAGAATTTAAGAGGATCGCATCTGATCATGATATTATTGCACAGGTTAAAGACATAGATTCTATTAACTACTTGATGGACATTAGGATACTAGATTTACTGTAGCTGTATGCATGGATCCTTTCTGTAGTACTTCTCGCACCTTTTTCGGGAGTGTTTATTGTTACGCCACCTCCTCGAGTGGACTAGTCTTACTAAGGATGCAATTTCCATGATGCTGGACGCGTCAAATGCAGTGTGACTAGCTGGCTGTGTCAAAATAGCTTAAGTCTGCTAATGCGGTCCCTTATTGTTCTTACTTCACATAAACTGCAAGTGCTGGTGATGCCTCGTGACACTTGTGTCCTGGGTCACCGGTAGGGATTGTAATTTCGATGCGAGCCTCAACGATATTCTGAATACCAGCTCAAATCCTTGAAATAGAAGTGGAAGGCACTTTCCAAAACAAAGCCAGGCAATTGGATAAAGACTCTGACCTTCAGACACTTATATGGCACTTTGAGGATACTCCAAAATCACATCCTTCTATGCATTCCATAGATCTGAGCTGAAACTATTCCCACAGTCTCAGTAGGCATGACCAAACACATATACGCATGAACGCCAAGGAAAGGACTTGATACACGCGGCCTCGACCAAACTATATCCAAACACCTTAACCAGCACAAGTTCCCGCAATCTAAACACTCTGCGCTTCACTAAGACACGTCAGCTCCACTGCGGAATACCATCTACGTTGTATTGCATTACATTGCCTAACGCTAAGGTCTTGCTAAAGACGACGGATCAGCGGAATTGCTGCCACAACATCACAGCTAAACGTACGCAGGCGATGCTCTAAAGTGATTTCAACAATCGTCTCGATCAACTCCATCTTTTGGGAGTCACCAATAGCTTGTTTTCTCTTCTGGAAGCGTCCAAACGATGGCTTGACTTTCGAAGTAGACGAATATTCTTCGCATATCTGGACGGCAACGCTCACAGCTTTCCTAACAGCAGTTGCATGCGGAGAGGCAATGTACTGCTCCAGAGAGACGTAAAAAGAGGGAATAGATTTTTGCTGGTCCTGAAGATAGCGCAGCTTGTCGAAGACGTAGAAAGAGTGTTCAAGGATAATCACAACAGCTAAATGGTCAATAATGAGCAGATTCATCGCAACGTAACCTCAAAATTCACCAGAGATGAGCTGAACAATGTTTTCCAAGGGCGATGAGCCATATGCCTGGCAGATTTGCAACATGAGAAACGTGTGTACAATGCGTAACCAATTAGACATACCACAGAGAGCAACCTAGACTGTATCTCTACACGGTGATGATCGCGAAGCTCATCCTTTTGGTGGATCAGCGATATCGTTGGCGAACAAGGTTCTAGACTCACGTTCTATTGATGGATCAGCGATGTCGTTCGCTGACAAGGCTCCAGACTCACGTTCTATTGAAGGATGCGCGATTTCAGTGGTAAGTAATCTCGAACTCGACCGAGGATCAGCACACTGACTTTCTGTCAATGGATGAGCAATGGCATCGGTGAGTAAAGCTCGAACTCGATAGCAGCTGAATACACTCACAAACTGTCAATAGGGATCAGCAATTCTAATGGTCAGTGATGCTCCAATTCGACTGTGGATCGATGCGCTTACGTCCTGTGAATGGATGGACGATGTCTTTTGTCAGTATGGCTCGAGCTCGATGGTGGATCGAGCAACTCACAATCTGTTGATGGAGCGGCAATGTGCTCTGTCAGTGAGGGCAATGTAAGATCAACACACCCACATCCTAACAAAAAATCAACAATTACATCGGTGAGGAAGGCAGGTGATCGACAGAAAATGATCACACTCACAAGCTGTCAACAGATCGACGAATACTTCGGTCAGTAGCTCAAGGTCGGTAGAGGGTCAATACACCGACCTCTTGCCGATAGATCTTCAATTGCGTTGGTCAGGAATGCTCGAACTCGAAGAAAAACAATGCGCTCACGATCTGTCAACGGATCGGCAAGGGATGGCTTAATTCAGGAAAGTTAGAACTCAATAGAGGATCGATAAACTCACAAGCTGCGAATGGTGGGCAACGACTTCGATCAGCATGGTTCAAGCTCGAAGGAGGATCGACACACTCACATCCTGTGAATGGTGGACAACGACTTCGATCAGCATGGCTCAAGCTGGAATGAGGATCGACACACTCACATCCTGCAAACGGTGGGCAACGACTTGAATTAGCATGACTCGAGCTCGAATGAGGATCAACACACTCACAAGCTGCGAACGGTAGGCAACGACTTCAATCAGCACGACTCGAGCTCGAACGAGGATCAACACACTCACGGGCTGCGAACGGTGGGCAACGACTTCGATCAGCATGGCTCGAGCTCGAAGGAGGATAGACACACTCACACTCACACCCTGAGAATGGTGGGCAACGACTTCGATCAGCACAGCTCGCGCTCGAAGGAGGATTAACAGACGTACTACCTGCAAGTAAACGTTCAGCGTAAATGAGAGCAACCTTTCAACTTTTCGATAGTCTTACCAAAATATGGGGAAACCAGGCGGCCAATGTCCCTATTATCTTCTGATGACCCTCAGCCATTGTTGTCTCTGCAGAGGCAAAATGTCCCGGGAGTGTTCTGGACAATATCAGTCGCTAACGCTTGCGGTAGGTAGATGAGATCACGGGCGGTCACCTCTCAACTGCACGTCTCATGCAGACCTCCAAGTTGGTCTGTTGGGTCGTGACGAACAATCGCTTCAGTACTTCATCATCCAAAGTTGCAGCCGTCTGTTCGATCAGTGCGCCGCAATCTGCATCATCTTGGTTCATATCTGATGGAACAATGATCATCGTGTATCGCAACTAGACCATGAACTGGCTTACTGGAAAGGCATACGTGACATGGTGGAGGTTTTCGGACATCGTTGAGAAACTTCAATTGCGGTCCGTTTGCAAATGACTCTTCGGCGTGTTTGGGGGCCAGTGTTGCAGCGTCTTTCCGAGATTTTCCTTCCATTTTCAGTTGTGTGTATGCGGCGTCGTATAGGGCATCAAACTTTGTGAACAAAACGATCACAGGTACTTCTGCGCATTAGTCGAACGTCGATGAGGGTGGGATGCAAAAGCTTACTGCTTGCTGTGTCGCACTCTGAGAAAAACTTTTCTTCGCCTGCAGTGAACGACCTGCGTGCCTCGTCCATTGGGATACAAAACCTATGTTGAAACCGTGAGATAGCGCATGTCGCGATCGATCGGTAGCAATTACCATATAACATGAAGTCGATTTGCTATTTTTGTTTCCTTGGAACGGTCAGCGATAAATGCCTGGACCTTGTCAAATTCAGATTGGCCGCCTGCTTCAAACCCGCGTGAATCGTGAAACACGAAGCCTGGCTGGCTTCGAAACACCATTTCGTCATCAATGTCGTGCAGTCCGCGCTGAGAACACGTCAGTTCATGTCATCGACTAAGAGCACAACTCACCCCTCTGGATCCCATTAAATCGATCTGATGTCGATGGGTCAGTACCATCCTCCTACTAGCATTGCGATGCCCACCTTTTTCCCGGCGCTGTTGTATATTTCTGGGTTGTCCCGTGTGTTGCAAACTCTCTGCAAGATGGTAGTTTTTCCTGCATTCGCTCTTCCTACAACGAGGATTCGAAAGCGACCGAATTTCTCTCTTATCTTTGAAGGATCCATGGAAAGTCGTGATGGAGAAGCGTTGGTGTAGCCTTATAATCATTGCAGTGTGTGAATCCGGCAAATACCCAATCCATAGCCGTGTACCATGCGTCCTTAAGTGCCTCGAAGTAGAATTTCTATGTTAGCCCTGGTTTCCGTACTAAATCTAGATACACGTAACGCTCAACACAGCAAGTCGTGTTTATCACTGGACCGCTCTTCCCTGAATCATCAAATCAACTTGGCTAATTCTTTTCACGCTCGACCTCCCCTTGGTACTCAATTCTTGTCGTCAAGTAGTATCATCAACCTGCTGAGTATTTCAGTGAGCCGAAACCGAATATAGAGTCTGTTGAAGTACGGATTGGTAAATTACATTCGTCAATCGAACGCAAAGCAGGAAAGAGTCTGCGACGGACGTTTTCTCCACCTATGCAAGTACTCGACGTCTGACTCCAATACATGTTCTCACCTGTGTTTTTTTGCCGCAGGATGCTTTCCCATGGGGATTCATTTTCCTTACATACGCGGTACAAGGGATGGTTTGGGGCGAAGACCAAACACGAAGACATCTTCCGCGCGTATCATGGCGAGCAATAATCATCCCATTCTCACCTTGATCACTCACAAACTCAACCTCGCATTCATAGAATCCATCAAGCTTCATAAAGAAATCAGGATCGTCGTCAACCTTTCCAGGAAGACAACAACCGAGGTAAGGATTCATGTCTGGCATCCAACCCGTCTAATTCGTAGATTAGCAGGCCGAGCGGTCTGTCCCTTCTGGCCAAAGCCCCGGGCTTCTCCCTACCACTTCCGGAATATCCCAGGGCTGTCCTCGGTGAGTCAGGATGATCATAAAGTGCCGTTTTTGAGGTTGATACTCCCAAGATTCCGAATTCTGGTGATAGGAAAGGTATATGGCTTTCTCCAATCTCAGGCCAGTGTTGACGACGTGCGTTTAATAGACTGGCGTCGGCAAGTCATCGCTGATCGGCAGCGCATTTAGAGTGGGAAAAGAGGTGAGCTAAACACGACGCTTCAACACACAACTACTCATACTAGTACTGTCAATAGATCGTTGCGCACAATAAGCCAGGCGACGCCAACATCGACGATGAGGTCATCTCATCTCAGAACGACAGGTTTGTTCTCCACAATAGCAAAGGTTTCGAACCAGGGGACCAAGACAACCTCAAAATAGTCCGAGATTTCGTCGGCCCCGATCTAGCGGCGCGCGCAACTGGAAGAAGCAAAGGAGATGGTTTTGTTGGGGGGTAGGATTAATGTTCATTCTCAGACCGTCGTTGAACTGATCCATGTATAGGGTGGTTAAATAAATGGACGATGCGTTTACACGCTTGTCACACATCGATGGGCCTTCGCTCGAGCTAATGGAGTCCGCACGCTCCCAAATATTCAGATATTCTTCAGCCCAATCGAATAGAGCAAGCGCTGTTGCCTGACCTCGCGGGTGCGCTAGGCAAAGCTAGAGAGCTTTCTAAATGCACAGCATGCACCGAATCAGCGGCTTCTCCAAGGAGATTGATAGAGATAGATTGCCTGGTAGACTCGGTGCGTTCTGTTCTTGTGTCTTTAGACGGCAACAACTCAGACGGTATGCTTCGCTCGATATCAGTGTCCACCATCCAGACTCTATCGGCATGAACTACGTTATTGACTTATACCCTCGGAGGAACGCATCTATAAGCAGAGGGGCACCCAAGTTTGCAGGGGATCACCCAGAATGATAGTGTCGGTACGCATCTAACACGTTATCTGTCTATTCACTGTCTAAATGATTCATCAAGTTCGGGATATTGCTCAGCGCCCATAATACAGGCTGGCCTACAAGGAGGTCGTACGAGAACAAAAGTTCATGTGAAGTATATTGTGACTTCCCGTAGGATAGAATATGATTTCACGCTTTTGAAGGTGTGCTGTATGTCGGGTGTCATCAACTAGGGTTCGCGTTGAGATAAATGCATGGTGTCCTGGTGTTTATTATGCCCCTCACCAGCAGCGATGGCTTCCTGTCAATGGTATCTGTAAGAAGACTTAAGGTCGTTGAGATGGCGTCATAGAGATGAGAAGTTTTGTGAAAGTCATACATGTTGAGTTGGCGGACGAATGAGGGAAAGTTTGAATCAGTGTCTTAGGACTTCACTTGCAAAACACAGCCAACACGTCAAAACATTCAAACCGTAGCCTTCTTTAAAGTACATACGTCACGCGCGCGGCGCGCTTAAACTCCAGGGCAATTGTTTTACAAGTCAGACGACATACAAAGAGATCTATATGTTAGCAATAGTACGTGCGAATCATATATCCTAAAAACCATATGGCTCCAGCCGTCTGATGCACTTCGGCTGTGGTCTCCTCCATTCCCCACTGTTTGGGTCTGGCCATAATGAAGCATTATCCCGTTGAGCTTGAGGTGGTGCACCGGGAGTCGGGAAAAACCCTATGGGCCAAGTAGGCAAGTAGCACATCTCCTACACGATGAGGTCAGTCATTTCGCAAACAAGTAACTCGACTTTGTTACCTCGAAACTACAGGCCGGTCGACACTTCACCCACACGCTCCAATCTAACCAGGAGCGCAACTGTGTCACATCCTCCTTCCATTCGCCCACGAGAGTGCGTATGTGATCAGCTTCAGGGCGTAGTTCTGTAGGATAAAGGGGATCGACTCCAAGAATCATTCCAGAAGCCCACATCTTCGTGACGACGCGGCATATTTCATGCGTAGTTTCCCGCACCGCCTGCAGGAGCAAGCGTTCGGAGGGCATCAGTGTCGTTCCACGATACACTATGGACGCCGTGTGCGACGTAGCACATTCCCGAAAAACTGGGACAGCCCACGAATTTGTCGCGTTGGCAGTGAAGGAGTTATTGGGAGGTAAAGCTGCAAACACAGTGTAGGGAAGAAGCACGGTTCGCAGCTGTCTCTGAATTTGTTGTGAGTGGTTAAAGATTGACTCATCGTCCAACGTCAGGTTCAAAAGGTGGTGCATAAACTCGAGGCGGCTGGCATATCGATCAACAACCACCCGCAAGACCGTTTTCCAGTCAATACCGCTGGTTGTCACGGATGATCGTGCTAACGCTTGAGCTAGCCTGTCTCGGACACGTTCTATATCCTCCGATGAGATTCCTGCTACTCGATGATCCCAGCGCTCCACGCCTACACGGCGCGGCACCAAGGAAGGAACAAGAGCGGTGTCGTAGAAAGAGACGAGCCCAGAAAAATCAAGCATAATTCGAGTTTCTCCTGGATAATGATCGTGCCATGAAGAAGAATGCATTAATTCAAAAGCGTAATGCACTTGTGTCCGAGAATAAATCAGACCTACGTCAAAACATACACATGGTCGGTCGCTCACTAGTATTGGGGTCCTCGGGCATATCTGTATGTCCTGCCTTGAGCCGAGTGCTTTCGAGATTCGAGAACGAAACGGCCTCCATGTGAGAAGTGAAGTTGCAGATCATGATCTCACTGTAACTATTGTTAATAAAAAAATTCCCAAGGAACTACATATGAGTTCGCACAAATTCATTTGCATCCTATAATTTGCAAATCAGCATCGGTATTGACGCATCTTAACATAACGAACCTCACAAAGCCATTCACCCCATATCTATCACCCCATTTACACAGATCCTTTATGCGCTGCTCTTCATTTCCCACCCACTCGGGTTTCATTTCCGACCATGCCACGAGATCTTGGGTGTCCATGGTGCCTTCAAGAAGTTTCGCAGCACTGCTTCCGTCAAAATAGAGCACTTTCATCGGTCTAGTGACTGTAAGAGTGAGGTGCCAGCATCCTTTTTCGATTGACCCTTGACAGAAAAGCATGGAGTGTTCTGGCTCTACAGCCACCCAATCCAAAGCAGTCGGTAAATGGGGACCGGTGGCTCCATGGTAGAGAAGAGTGCCCACGGGGATGATTCCTGGGACTATCGTATGACCTGCAGGACATATATCATCAATCATGACTCATCTGCGCGGTGCTCAGTATTTCCAGACCTACCGATACGATGACGTGTATTTGGCCAGGCTTGAAGCAGAGAATTGACCGTTTCGAACACTAGATGTCCTGTCGCATTCACCGCAGGTCCTTCATCAAGGTCCCACTGTCCAAGATCGGTTTCGAGCCCCGGGTAGAAGGATAGAGGCGGATGGCTCGACAGAGGTATCTGTGCAGTCAGAACCCGTTCAAAGGCAAGAAAAAGCCAAACGGCTCTCCTTGTAGACAGCATTCCGACAAAGGGCCAAGGACCTCGTAACCTTAGTTATATACTGGGCGCTGCATCTTCCGTAAAGGCACCATCCGGGTTTGATTTCCTTCAACTTGAAACTGATCGGTAAATTTGGTAGCGGTTGAGGCCCGAGGTGGTGCGCAGTTTTCAAAGTTCATTCTTCTATAATTCAAGATTGTCTTCCAGCAACATCAGATTTTCAACGATAGGAATAATGATAGAAAATGAATGCAATATTTCGTTGTGCGCAGCAGGTACTTAGCTACCGCTGTCAGACTAAGCCTTGAACTTGAAGGAAGTAATGACCGGTCACCGGGTTCGGAGTTGCAAAATTATTATGCGGTCATCGAATGTTGATGTCCGGGTTAGCCTAGGCCGGCTGAGTGTACTTAGGTAAATTTGTGATGGCATTCCAAGTGTGTTCGGATGAGACCACTACATAGATAGCGAGTCCAACTTGGTCAGGGCCTCAAGCCTCAAGTTCAACATTGTAGTTCCGCGACCATCAAATCTCGTCTTCCTGGCACTACTGTAGTACTGGTCCTTTGTTGTATTGATGGGCTGATTCAAGTCATCTACAACCTGAGACATATAGTAGCTGCTCACGCTGATTTGGCTCGACGTGTTCTCGGAACAGCAATACATAGATAGGTAACAATAAGCGGGTCACGATCCATCTATCCCATCATACCAATTCAAGATATGATATCTTTCTACTATCACCGCAAGTAGACGCTGTGGCTTCTGTTTCATCGACACTAACACAACTACCAGTTTGGACAGGTCGAGCGGGATGCACTGTCACTTCATTGTCTGCATGATCAAAATGTTCTCCTTTGAGTCTCTCGTCTTGTGACGATGGAAAGTACCGCTCCGAGAGGTAGACGCTGTGTCTGACATTGGAATTGAAAGAAATGGTGCTATCTCTTTTGGCCTGCAGGTAGTATCGCGAGTTCAGGAGTGCGATGAACGAGTTGACATATACTTAACACCATATCATTGGTCAGCACGATCGTCGGATAATGCTTTGATCTTACATTTAGCCAATAAACATTCAAAACTGAGAAAGATGTAGTTCTTCGGCATCACTGCGCACTGTAGGTGACTCTCAGAGACGCGAGGGACAGCACAGGAACTGGAACCTCACTGTAATGATGGCTGTCATCGAACATACACTGCACGAAATATGAGTTAAGATACGGAACAGGATGTAAGGAGAATCACCTCGTAAGACAGCCAGTTTCGATTATTAAACCGATGAGTTTTTGTATAGAAGAATCGGTGCTAAGACGCTGTGTTGGCTTATCAGATTCCGACAGCGAACGGCCCAGCTCTTACATAAAGAACCCTGTACGTGAGGTAGCGAGGAGATAGCATAGTAATGATGCATTAAGAACATCACCACAACTAATCACGGTCAAGGCCATGTATGTCGCCCATTCGACTCTAATCAAGTCAGAGAACAGGTGACACTGAAATCTACTCGCAATCAACACTTCGTGGAGTAAGAGAGTCCATTGTTCTACTCACAGCGCCCAAAGAAGGGCTATCACCGGGTTAACATTCAAAGTAAAAAGGATGAGCCAACAAGAGCAATTTCGAACTCTTACGGATGGATAAACCTGAATGGCATGATTCACGATTGAGAAATATTTCAGGGTGATAAACTCACTTGAACTTAGGACCGCGAATATGCCCTAATAGTGCAACATTATCAAATTCCAAAATGAAGACGTGAACGTCTATAAAAAGCCCACCGCTGTAATCGGGAGAACTCTTGATCGGCCCTTGCTAACTAGGTCCATAAATTGTGTATCCACTCCATAGATAAGAGAACAAATACCTGTCCATATACGATGGGCATACAGGCTATAAAATGAGGAAGTATTACATTGTATGTGATACTGCATATCATACGTACAGTTGTACCCCATGGATGATGGGGACCTGTAGGGTGCGTACTTGAGGCGGATACAAAGTTCAGGAAACACGACCTACATCAAATATTATCTGAAGCTGCACGAGTTTATCAATATGATAACAGAAGCTACATGAAAGAACTCACTTTGAAACTCCATACAATTTCTGTGAGTGCACCAATGTTCGCGAAGTGGGTCACTAAATAATAGTAGATGCAATGAACGATGAAGATCAGGTGAAAAGCATCAAGTATCCTGTAAAAGTTCATGGTGTGGCATGAATGTCAGCGCTCGACAAGTCAAACTCGAAGGAAGACTTACCACAATAAGAGGACCTGTTGATATAGCGTGAAATGCAGAACTGAAAAGAAGGTAGCATGGACGCACGACTAGCTTGAAGAATGTCCTGCCTGTGTCCCTATGCGTCTGAAAGTAGATGAAAGCTTGAACGTTGGTTAAACCAAAAAGACTGATAAGACACACAGATGGTGTCAATTTCGTCCGAAAAGCAAGCGGATAGTTCGAACTTCACTCACATCGCTGCAATAATGGCCCCAATGAAAAGTGCTCCATACGTGCTCCCGAGCTCAACTTGTGTAACGGGGCCTTGCGTTGAGGAAAACACCATGATTATGGATTGCCAGAACCAATTTCGCTGGCAACACAGTATGTAAATATCACTTGGGGAATAACTCGGGAGCTCACCATGCAGATGGCAAAACTTCCCATAGAATTGGCACCCGTGACGCAGCAGTATCTGAAAAATGACACATCGGAGCTTCTAGCACCACGACAAACGAGACGAGATAAGATTCTGAGGTGCATAAGTTCAAGTTCAGGCAAGTGTTCCTCGTGTGATGATAGTCATACCAGAGAACTTACCACTATATCGGATCACTGGTCACGAAATGTCATGCCTTTGGTGCGACCCTGCAGCTTCAAGCTGCTTGCACCCACATGAAACTTAAGGCCAGACTTTAAACCAGTCAGTGGGTGTAGAGAGCCTTAATCTTCACTGTGTAAATGGCAGTGCTGCCACTCCGATACATCCGATAAGTGCTGTAAGTCACCTCACTATGCAGAATGACCATTGACTACATTGATGTACAACTTTTTGTTGCGCTCGGATACATCAATTCTACGGCTACTGGTGGCAGGTGCTGGAAGATTGAGGGCGAAGAGATGTGCTGGGTGGTGCAGGTAGATGGCAAGAGAGGTATACATGCAGGAGCGTCTCAGGAGACAAGAGATTGCAATTGTTGTGTCGTGGTCCGTGGAGTCCGAGTGTATATTTAGCCACAACAGAAGAATTTCGGCAACACCCGGGAAGGTTCAGGAAGTGCTATAGTTGCCGTTTCTTCTTCTTCAGTATGCTCCCATGTGTCTCCATGCTCTGATGTCACCACTAGACCGAGTTCCACCTCGGTCACCTGCAGATTTGCATCCAATGCAATCACTTATATAACATTCGATGCACACACCATCTCCCCGCCATGGCTGGCATCCCCTCGGATATGGACACTTAAATGTTAGCGGTGGTGGAAGGTATTTCATACGGTGAGTGTCGCAACGCGTTTGTCGTGGAGCATGGACATAATTCCCTACTTTTACATGCACCAATTCGTATTATACTCAATATAATCGCATCTCAAAGGCTGACGCCTTTGGACGACCGCAGCAGAGCAGAGCTCGGAATGCTGGTCGCAAACAAGTGATCAGCGATGATGTAATGATTGCCTGACGCTGAGTGATGATGAGTAGATATTACACCATCCGTTGTCTTTTTTTTTCCGTTTGGTTGTTTCCTCCATTTATATGACAACATCCTTTCTTGGGGTACTATTGGTATTGGTACACAATACATGATCGACAATACGCGTCCATAGGTCTGGAATCCAACTTCGACATTCTCCAAGTTGAATTTTAGTTTAATACTTACCCTAAATGTCCTGTGTAACAGCCTCGTGCCTTTCAAGGTCGGACCTGCAGCCAGACAAGCGCCCGCTTATCTTTTCAACTCAACTGCAAAATTCAACCACGAGCCATCTATCGACTTTGAATACGATCGCAATCAACCGTCCATTCTATCTCAAGCATCCTGTGATATCTCTGTCGCTTGATCGTTCCACCATCACCACTTAAACGCTTTTGATTTCAAACGAAGTTACAACTTAGACATCGTCGCAATCGACTCCTCAATCAACGCCGTATGTCGTCCCCTCTGAGATGTCCATCCCCATCGTGATCTCTAATTACACTGTTGAACTGAAGTAGTGCTTCCCCGACTTGACCTATTCCAACTCCCATTTCGTGTCGCACTCTGTCATCAACCTCTGTCGATAAGCGACCAAGATCGATGTAAATATCTCCTTCCCTTATCGCCTCCCCCGCTCTCTGACCCGACGGACAGAGCTTCTAGCAATGACCGAAGTAACTTGGAAGGAGCTGTCCCAGGTTGCTGTCCTGGGTGCTCAATATGACTCCCCTGAACGCCAGCCCCATCCAAAATGTTTGGAAGGGACCCGAGTGAACCTTCGCACATTCATCCGTGAATTGTTGGACAAGCGAGAGACAAGTCAGATCATTTGGTTGCATGGCACTGCGGGCGTCGGAAAATCTGCCGTGGCATTTACTGTGGCCGAGGAGATGAAAGGTCTGATGATGACGGAGACGACGACAATCGAAACAAGGCTTGCGGGAACATTCTTTTTCTCGCGCAATCACACCCAGCGCAGCACAGCTGGTCATTTCTTTGTGACCCTTGCTTACCAACTTGGGATCAATTTCCCCAGCGTCAAGACCGACGTGAGCAGAGCTATCCGCGAGAATCCTGCGGTTCTAGGCTCCAGTCAGTCTCTTCGCGCACAGATGATTGCGTTATTTCGCCAACCTCTCCGGCACCTGCAATATCGTCTGCGCGAGTTTCCGCCTCCGGTGCTTGTTGTTGATGCCCTCGATGAATGCCAACCTGAAACGGTCGCCGATCTGATTTCCCTCCTCGGGGAGGCTCTTCGTGATCCTGAACTCCCCGTGTTCCACATTCTGCTCACGAGTCGCTTGGAGGAGCACATCCGTAAAGCCATTCAAAAAGAAGAGATGCGCACACTGGTGTACGAGATACCGGTGAACACTTCTGGGGAGGGCGTTGCTGGCACTATTTCATTAGACGGCGAAGATGTGGATAATGACATCTGTACATTCTTTCAGCATTCCTTCATGGAGTTGCGAAATCGCCATCCTGATTTCCCTCAGCCCACTGCGGATAAACTTGCGCGGCTGGCGAACCGAGCTGGCAGACGTTTCATCGTGGCATCTACAATGATGAAGTTCGTAGATGACGGATACAACGACCCCCGAGATCGCCTTGAGCTCATGCTCGAGCTGACCAATGAACTGCTACCTGGGACAGAAGTATATGAGCTATACAATCGCATCCTCTCCACCTGTTCGAACCCCAATCGGGCATACCAGCACTTGTCTATTGTTGCTGCCCTCGCAGACCCTCTGCCAATCTCACAGATTTCGAAGCTCCTTGGTCCTGGTCAAGGCAGCGATGCAGAGACCACGCTGAAACAGCTACGTTCTTTCATCGGTATCCCCACTGACAGCAGCGATCTCGTGAAAATCCACCACCCGTCCATTCGAGACTATGCTTCAGACTCCTCGAACTGCCGCCTCCCTGGATTACAACCCATCTTACCACATTCCCTGCTCGCTTATTCATCTTTCCGCTTGATGATTCAAGACATTCCAGCACGCACTGCTCTCATGAACGCGCTCCTAGAATTGAAATCGCAGAATCAGGCTATGCAACCCCATGACCCCCGGAACTTGCAACAGTCATTAGCCTTCATCGTTGAGCCACCAGAGCCGCTGACGGTTCTCATGGGACTATTATGGCTTCGGGGAGCTCGCGGGTCGGGTTTGCGGTCCTGGCTAGGGACTCTGGACGGACGTGCGTGGCTGCAGACACAATGCGGGGAAGACTATCTGCAGACACAAAAGGGGGAAGATTGGCTGCAGACTCAAGCCGGAAGGGATTGGTTGCAGACCCACGCGGGACGAACTTGGTTGCAGACAGAGAGAGGGCGGGGGTGGCTGCAGAGTGGGCCAGGGTGGCTGTGGACTCAAAGACGGGGACAAGTTGCTGGAGACTCTGGCGAGTATATAGCATTGGAGACGTGGAGAGGGAAAGCCTCGCTGAAGACCATCGGTGGGCAAGGCTGGCTACAGACCAAGACCGGGCAAGAATGGTTGCAGACGCAGGAAGGGGGAGAGTGGCTGCAGACCCAGACTGGAGGAGAGTGGCTGCAGAGCCGACGCGGGGAAGAGTGGCTTCAGACCCAGACCGGACAAGTGTGGCTGCAACAGACCCCGAGTGGTCGAGAATGGCTGCAGACCCAGAGGGGACGAGAGTGGCTGCAAACTCAGAGCGGCCAAGAATGGCTACAGACCCTGAGTGGCCGAGAATGGCTGCAAACACATGGCGAGTGGCTGCAGACCACGCCTGGACGAGAGTGGTTACAGGCTCAGAGCGCAAGGGAGTGGCTGAAGACACCCAGCGCGAGAGAGTGGATAGAGACGTCCAATGGGAGGGAGTGGCTGGAGACACCTAGCGGGAGGGAGTGGATAGAGACACACAGCGGGAGGGAGTGGCTGGAGACGCTTAGCGGGAGGGAGTGGCTGAAGACGCTTAGCGGGAGGGAGTGGCTGGAGACGCTCAGTGGGAGGGAGTGGCTGGAAACGCCCAGCGGGAAGGAGTGGCTGGAGACACCCAGCGGAAGGGAGTGGCTGGAGACACCCAGCGGGAAGGAGTGGCTGAAGATGCCTAGTGGGAAGGAGTGGCTGAAGACGCCTAGCGGGAGGGAGTGGCTGGAGACACCCAGCGGGAGGGAGTGGCTGAAGACGCTTAGAGGGAGGGAGTGGCTGAAGACGCCCAGCGGGAGGAGGTGGTCGGAGATACAGGAGTGGCTGGAGACACGCAGGGGGAGGACGTGGCCGGAGACATACATCGCGAAAGAGTGGCCGGAGACATCCAGCGGGAGGGAGCGGCTGGAGACACCCAACGGGAGGAGGTGGTTAGACACACCGAGCGGGAGGGAGTGGCTGGAGACACCCACTGGGAGGGAGTGGTTGGAGACACCGAGCGGGAGGGAGTGGCTAGAAACCCCAAAGGCGAGGGAGTGGCTGAAAACACCGAATGGGAGGGAGTGGCTGCAAACACCAAACGCGAGGGAGTGGCTGAAAACACCGAACGCGAGGGAGTGGCTGAAAACACTGAATGGGAAGGAGTGGCTGCAAACACCAAACGCGAGGGAGTGGCTGAAAACACCGAATGGGAGGGAGTGGCTGCAAACATCAAACGCGAGGGAGTGGCTGAAAACACCCAGCGCGAGGGAGTGGCTGAAAACACCGAATGGGAGGGAGTGGTTGGAGACATCGAGCGGAAGGGAGTGGCTGCAAACACCGAACGCGAAGCAGTGGCTGAAAACACCGAATGGGAGGGAGTGGGTGCAAACACCAAACGCGAGGGAGTGGCTGCAAACACCAAACGCAAGGGAGTGGCTGAAAACACCGAATGGGAGGGAGTGGCTGCAAACACCCAGCGGGAGGGAGTGGCCGGAGACACCCAGCGGGAGGGAGTGGCTGAAAACACCAAACGCGAGGGAGTGGCTGAAAACACCGAATGGGAGGGAGTGGCTGCAAACATCCAATGCGAGGGAGTGGCTGCGAACACTGAATGGGAGGGAGTGGCTGAAAATACTGAACGGGAGGGAGTGGCTGGAGACACCGGGCGGGGGGGAGTGGTTGGAGACACCGAGCGGGAGGGAGTGGCTGCAAACACTAGACGCGAGGGAGTGGCTTAAAACGGGACACGGGATGGTGTGGCTGGAAACACCAAGCGCGAGGGAGTGGCTGAAAACACAGCATGGGATGGCGTGGCTGGAGACACAAAGTGCGATTGAGTGGCTTGAGACACAGAATGGGTACGACCGCCTACAGATCCTAAATGAACTGCAGACTCCAATCAGGCGTGCATGGCTGGACACCTTTTGCGGGCGAGAATGGCTCCTAACCCAGAGTGGGCGAGAGTGGTTGCTGATTCACAGCGCGCAAGAGTGGTTCCTGACCCTAGGAGGGCAAAAATGGCTGGGTACTTTGGACGGACGAGAGTGGCTGCGGACCCCAGGTGGGCTGCAGACTGGACATGGCCACGAATGGCTACAGACAAAAAGTGGGCAAAAGTGGCTGCTGACCCAGAGCGGACGAGAGTGGCTGCCGACCATGGGCGGACGAGAGTGGCTGCAGACCGAGAGAGGACAAGAGTGGCTCCAGACCCCCCATGGTAAAGCATGGCGGTTAACTCCTACAGCGTCTGTCTGGGTGACAATGGAAGACTTTTCGGGCACATTGGAAGCAATCAGCGCAATCATCCCACGATTACCTTTCCCGCCAGCCTTTCAAGTAATCCAGGAGTTCAAGAGCTTACCAGATTTCTTGATGTTTCCGGCATTCCTGGCGTTAAGGCCCCATGATCATTCTATCTCTGCATCCCTACAAGATTGTCCAGACATCGAGGTCATTCATACTATGACCGCGTTCACGATTTTCGCAAATGAATCACGAGATCAAAGTCGATTATCTTCCGACGCCCTGAAGTATGCATGTCAAAACTGGGTCTTCCATCTCTCGCGAGCTCCGGGTCCAACGGACCACAGGCTCAACTGTGTATTCAAGCTCTTCTGGAATCGCTGCCTCCTCTCCTGGCTTGAAAGGCAATGGTGTTTGAAGGGTTTACGGTCCTGCGTCCTTATGTTATCCGAAGGGCAGAGACTCGCAGAGGTGTGTTTTCAATGATTTTCGTGTATTCGGCACCTGACCTACGCACAAAGGAACGCCTCATCGAAGCTACAGGGTCATCTTAGTCCCAGGCCTGAAACTGTCGATTTTATGTACCCAATGCCACGCTGTCTTGTTATCCTGCTGTGTTCATGTCGCTTGTGTATTTTCAGAATTTGCAGTGTTAAAACATTGAACATTGATCGAAGATTGAATACTTTGATGTCGATCGGGTTCCCCTTGTTATCTCGCATCGATGTTTTTCTTTCACATTGCCTATATGTATTTACAGAATTTCGAATGTCAAATATTGGATGCTGGCGCGAAATTCAATGACATGAAAGCTTGAAAAAGTTTACGAAACTTTCGATTTTGTCAACATCTATCCAGTTGGCTGCAAACTCCCCATCTTGGTCATACATCGTAGTAAAACTTAACGTTGGTTAAATCAAAAAGACTGATAAGAAAGATACACAGGTGGTGTCAGTTTCGTCCGAAAAGCAAGCGGATAGTTCGAACTTCACTTACATCATGATCGCTGCAATAATGGCCCCAATGAAAGTGCTTCATATGTGCTCTCGAGCTCAACTTGTGTGACGAGGCCTTGCGTTGAGGAAGACACCATGATTATGGAATTATGGATTGCCCGAACCAATTTCGCTGGCAACACAGTATGTAAACATCACTCGGGGAATAACTCGGGAGCTCACAATACAGATGGCAAATTTTCCCATAGAATTGGCACTCGCGACGTGGCAGTATCCGAAAAATGACACATCAGAGCTTCTAGCACCACGACAAACGGGACGGGATAAGATTGTAAGGTGCATAAGTTCAAGTTCAGGCAAGTATTCCTCGTGTGATGATAGTCATACAGGAGAACTTACCACTGTATCGAATCACTGGTCAGTGGTCACGAAATGTCATGCCCTTCATCAGAGAACCGATGAGTCCTTGATATTGTACCCGTGAGAACTATAGAAGGATACAATTCTGCTCCTGCTAAATAATATCATATATACTGCGAGAAATTGGAGTTGTAGATACATAGCCATTGACACCTGTAAATGTAGAGTGACATGAGCTTTTCACAACGAGGTCATCCCATTCCTCCTTTGCAACAGATGGGGGGTGATAGCTTACTTATGCCAATTATTTTGAGCATTGTCGTTTTGCCTGATTTATATATTGAATTACGACATTATTCAAGACATTATCGTGAAAAGGAGCGTTGGCACTGCTCAACAGATGTATAATGCTATTCAAGTCCACCACGAAGTTGTGACATGGTGCCATCGCAACACGCAAGGTAGGTTAGCGCGCTTCTCTCGACGTCGTTTACTTTTGACTTTTTTCTTCCAGGTTAAGATACTATTCGAGGTTATCCATGACCTTCTCGCGAAAAGTAACTTTGGCACTGCTAAACATATATATATATATGTATAATGTCATTGAAGTCCACCATGAAGTCGTGATATGGCGCCATCGCAACACGACAGGTGTGGTAGCGCACTCTTCTCAAAGTTGCCGTTCATTCTCATTCTTCCTTGTTCTGATAAGCTTTTCATGGCTTTCCAGACACAATGCCGATAACTGCAAAGTTTGGATTTTTATTAGCATTAAAATATATACGTTCACGTATTGCCTAGCATATACACTAATTAGAGAAAGAAAAGTGAAAAGTAAATTTGTGCACAAAACTCGGATGTGATGTGTGAGTTGCACAGAGGAACTAATGACAGTATGAAACGATGATGGGGCTGCGGCCTTTCATACGACATCTTTTTCCAAAAGTCTAGCTGCAAAGACTTAGGCATGCTAGGGACTCTACCCACGACCACCTATCCTTCCGCTCATCTGTGCTCCTGCTTCCTTTTCTGCCTAAATACAGATCGACATTATCGCTGGAAGCCATGTAGAATGAGCTTGGGGCTTATACGGAATTTGACAGTAATGACAACTTACTATTATTCGAGCCTGCTGCATTTCGAAGGCTTCGATGCTGCTGCTGATGGAGGGGTTCAAAGAGTTTTGCTATGTCTTGTAGCAACACGTTAGATATAAAGATTACGAAACAGTAGAACATAAGACTTACTACCCACTTAGTTCAAGCTGACCGTTACGAACACCGCGCTAAAAATTTGTCGTGGACGGTACCGAACTTGGTGTAAGCTTCCATCTCAGATTGAACTGGTATAGGGCGCGGTCAGTTGTAACACACATGCTGCATCTACCCGACTTACTGCATTTTGTACGCCTGAATTGAGTTCCTGTTCGTAGACATATGAGCAAGTATTAGCAACAATGATCGGATCAACCATACCCGACCACCCGTTGGGCTATGATGGACGCTTGGATATGTGTTAGCGGCAGTTTACAAAGAAGCTTTCAAAGATAGCATACTGAGCAGCGTCTACGACGACATGTGTGAGTACAGTCATATGCATTTGAAACAGAACCACATACCGTCTGTAATGAACACTCGACCCTCGCTAAACTTATTCACCACCCAGATATTAGCTCTGGAACAAACTGATAAACATGCATCAACACCGTGATAGAACACAAAACGCACCGGAAGTTGCTCATCCAAACCACCTTGTTGAATGAAATCTCCGTTGGTATTAACAACGCAATAGTCTCGAAAATGAGCTTTTTGCTCGCAGCAATCTTTGCCAAATCTAGTTCATGACCAAAGAAGAAAAATTGTCAACCGTCATTGCCAACTTCATCTGTTGGACGCAATGAGAGGTTGCATATCGTCAATATACATGTCTCCAAGCCTCAACTGAACATACCCTGGTTCATGGAAGTTTCCAAATCGGTGCCAATGCTTCAAGGCTGCATCAGGATAGCTTTCCATGAGATATGTAGAAAACAAGACATACCAGTCTATCGAGGCCAACGCGTCAAGCTGATGTCTCCGGTCACAATCCGAGTATCCTTTCTAATCTCGCCCGAAAATGTGAGGCCAAGTTGCTTGCGCACGATGCCTGCCAAGCCACTTTTAGTCTGGCGCATCCCAACAGATTTAGCTGCATCTCATCTTTAGCACCATCAGCGCCGATGATCGACTCAGTATCAAAAATTTCTGATATGCCATTCTTTGCTAGAATAGCAGTGACGGGAGTTCGGTGCCCATCTCGACAGAACAAGAGAATTTTTCGAGATGGCGTCGCAGAACGACATCTAGGAGCTACTGACCCTTCAATACTAAAAATCGAATGAGCATGAAGGTTTGATCAGGCGACGGTGTTGCGCACGAATGGTATTGCTGGAGTAGGTTCGATATGCGGGACCATCAATGAGTCTTTCAGAACTTCCAACATCCCGGGCTTGTATCCACGCATGACAGGGGCTGGTGTTCCTAGACTGTTGACTTCCGAAATGCCCAGGAAGTTGTAGAGTTCGAGGGAGCGCGGCTAGTACAATATACATAGAGAATGCGTTCAATGAGACCATGGGGAGATATGACAAGTGGATGTGGCACAAACCCATGTTCCAGCACTACACTGTCCGACACGAGGGTAGGGTCTTTATCGATGATGCGAACTAAGACGCCGTTTTGGAGGAGCGTCAACGTTGCTACCAGATTATCGATGATGCAAACTGAGATACCGTTTTGGAGGAGCGTCAGCGCTGCTACCAGACCCACTGGGCCAGCGTCAATCTAACAAGGAATTCAGCTGAGATGTATCGGACATGTGTCATAGGTCGTCACTTACAACTAGCGTGGAGGCTCGGATGAGCGGTATTCGTGGATAGCACTAACACCGGCAGGAGGATTAGTTGGTTTTAATTCTGAAGATTTGGATCAGCATCTCGAAAGAAGCGGCAGGAAGTTGTTATAAGATCATAGGCCCGGGGGTAAGGGCGATCAGGACGGGCACTATGGTAATGGCGTTCAGAGTAGTAGTCTCAGCCGCCGACGTGACGTGCCATCAGACAATTTGTCAAAATGCTACTAGATACTTCACGACAGTTGACTGGATGACTTACTTAGTACTTAGTAGTCACGGTCACCTCCAAGTCATAGTAGTACTACTAATGATGCGGCATCCGAGTTGAAGTGTACAGGCCTGAGGCCCGAGTACGCAGACATCTATTGGAGAAGTATCCGAAGGCACTTGGACTATCTCATATGTTGCGAGTCGCAAGGATAAATTGGGAGGAGGAAGGGGAGAAGGAATGCTTACATCACCAAAAGTCCAAAAACCTGACGCCACCTGATTAGGGATTCTGGTCCCGTGGTTGTCTAGCTCATGTATGGCGAGCACAGATCACCAAATATCACTTTCATATTCACAATCAGGCTGAATCATGCAATAGATGGAGAATGTTCAGGCTGACGAGTACATGATAAGTCAGTTGTCATAATGAAATTTTAATGATGCACTATGATCTACTATGCTATACCACCTGCAGCCCGACTGATGCCTGATATACCTGGAGCTAGCTAATGTAAGGCCACCAGTGACTCGGCAGATGCAGCAAGAACTTAGGCCCACTGGCAAGACATCACCCTATGTTTGATGGCCATGCAATGACGATTGTGGGATAGATACAGAAGCTAGGATAAAACCTATGAGTGCCTGACATGAGTGTGGAGAAGCAAAGTTGGTGTGAGCAAGTTCGCCAGTATAGATTGGAGCAACTCTGTGAATGCAGGTACGAAAGTTGAGGATTGATACACAGGAAAAGCAGATATGATCCTCACCAGTTTATAAGGCGCCATATCCCTCATGTGCAAGAAAATCATCATCTAGCTCCTCGTCAACCCAAACTTCATTCTCTTCATCGTCGCCTGGGTCTTCATGTGCGCTCCCATCACTGTCATGATCATCCACAGCTTCATCCTCCATGTCAGACTCTTCCGGGTCAAGCTGAACGTCTTCTTCCTCATGTGATGGCACAGCACCGTCGTTCCGCAAAAACTCATCCCACTCTCGTGTTACTTTGTGACCAACACCACCTCCTCAGAAGCGCATGAACATATCGCGGTCAACGAAACTGGGTAGACGTATTAGCAGAGTGATATCAATATATAGAGAATACATACTGATTCATGTAGAAATACTTGAAGTCTGTATTGTCATCATCCGTAGCACATCCAAACAAAGGCCCAAGCCGAGTGTCAGTGTGTCCGTGTTCAAATCCAGGAATCAGATGTACACCCCGAATTACTTGGTCAGGGTCTACAAAACCGAAGCCTTCAGGGTCATCATGCTTGAAGAATCCAATGCGGTAGAGTCGTTTGGCTGACCACCCAGCTTTGTATTCAATGTCACGCCCGAACCAACGAACAAAAAGCACATTCATACGAGTTGGGGCCCATACGCTGGTGGCACCCTGAGCACGATACCAGACATCAAGATCAAAAATCTTGACGACGCGGGCATACCAATAAGGGTGTCGGTCATTGTCGTTCTCATGCGAGAGCATCAGGACATCCGCATGTGTTTGAGGATTGATTGAGTCTTGCTCTCTTCGCATATCATAAGTTGTATAGTTGATCCGCAGTACGCTGTGCTCGCGGAGTTGGTTGTTGACAATGATCACCTGATTCCTGTCCTCATCAGAGAAATTGTGCTCGTCACCAGAGTAATCTATGCCACGGAGTCGTGCCAGTAAGTGATCCTTAAGACGTGGAATGAAGTCCTACAAGGCCATGAAGTTAGTAGGGGATGTGAAAATACTTTGGGTACTCACCTTGATTGCCGGGTCGTCATGCTCACCAACCCATGCAAATATATCATGTGAGCATTTCGGATACTTTGATATGTGATAGTGTGCTGAGGGTGATGTGCGTTTGCGCGCTTCTTGCTGCGTTACAGATGCCAGGGTCTTCTGACATTGATTTAGCACCTTTGCAACAAGTCGTTCACGAGCTTCCAGGCGTGTCATCGTTGCAACCATGGTCTTCTTGTTCTTTGATGTCCTTGGGTACCATCTCTTGACATGTCAATGCTCGAGTTCGCCCTAAGCAGGGATATAAGAGAATGATACTAGATAATCAATATGAAACATACTGGCTGTGTAGTATAATTGTCCGTCGTGCCCCTTTGCCTAATTGTGTTAGCATAATCTCCTAGCGCATGAAATTTATATGTCGAGATATTGAGGGACTTGTACTTTGGTCCAGCCTTTCTCTTCCCTGGAGCGGTGGACATTACATTTTGTTTCGCAGCTAATGCAGCCTCTCGACGACTTCGTGCTGCATACTCGTCAGGAAGTTCAGTTGTGAAGTAGTAATTGCATGTAGTCTTGTAGAACTTGCGAATGGATTGACCAAGTATGACGGTGGCAATATCGAAAAAATCCAGTGTGTCGGTGGTATGCATCCGAAGCTTCGCATATGCGTGCCATGACGCTAGGTCAAAGAGAAGGTCAAGGATTATGGTATTGTGAGGCTCGGGCAATAGATTCTCAAATACAGCCATAGCACACTGACAGAAAATTCAGATGATACGCGATATCAATGGTATGGCTACTGACCTGCAGAAGATCCTCGAAGTCTCGAGCGGCCAATTTTTTCATGGCTGAAGCGTTATGGTGAAAGCGGCGAATTGTTCCTCTACCAAATGTAGGGACTCCTCTGTATCTAGAAAGGATATTAGCATACATAATCTGCAAGTGGGCGAGTGCCTTTGGCACCGATGCACCACATCAAAAAATGACTTACCGTTCATTTAGCTTCTGCACTGCCATTCCTCCAGCTGCATGCAAGATTCGCATCAGGTGCGTGAAAAGTGCTTTCCAAGCGCCAATCTCGAACTCATGCAGTTGGTCAATCACAAACAGTGAAAACATGTCGATGCCATGGTCTGCTAGTCGTGCAGAAAATGTGTTCTAATGATAATTATCAGTCAGTGTGAATGTTAATAGGCATATAGTAGCACTTACACGAATTGGCACGTATGATTCTTCGTTAAGAATCGCCTTGACACGACTGCCGTCCACTGGAGCTCCAATTTCGAAGATCAATTTCCGAGCCTCTTCCACTCGTTGCCGTCGTCGTAGGCTATCAGTGCGCTCCTGTGTGACCCGGCGCCTCATGTCTAGTACCATTCCCATCATATGAATGTCGGTCTTCTTAACAAGGCAGCGAGGGCATGGACGCTGCCCCAAAAATTTGATACTAGTGAGCAGTATCCTCGAGTAATGCATCAATATCAGCCAAGTAATGTCAGGTAGGACTCACTTTTCTGGATAATCTGCGGAGTATGAGAAAAACCGAGGGAATACCCTTCGTGTAATCCCATCACTACAGTGAATAACAATACCGTGCTTATATGCTTCCACAAACTTTCCATCAAGAATTAACTCCCAAATTGCGTGAACCAACTCGCGTTTGAGGTGCGTGAACGTGCTACTTGATGCTGGTTCACCAAATATATCCACATAAACGTCTTGTAAATTATGTGGCAGCTGCAGGTAGGTTCAGTAAAATATGTTTGTAAAGAGATGTATACATACATTGGGAATATATGCCAAGTGGTGACACGCACGAGCCGTAGGCTTTCCTCGTGTATATTTGGACTGATTACCGAAGAATAAGTAAAGTGGCCAGAGAGATGCGTCTCCAAAGCTTGCTAAGTGGGTGGCGTCTGACCAGACCATTAGTGAGGCAATGACACGCTCGAGTTTGTCATCAGGATCTCGGGGAAGAGCATTCAGTTCTTTGTAAGCGTTCACCATTTCAGGGGAGGCATAGGATTCAGAGAAAACTTCCAGCGTTCGATTATCTGGGGTATTCCAGTACTGGCGGAATGGAGTCATGTTGAAATGCAGTGACACATCATCCTCGAACACACGCGTGATGATATCAACTAGAGAACGGTGGTAAACGCCAGGGATTGCGAGCTCAGGAGCGTCGGTCTCTGATGGGAACTTAGCCTTCTCGTTGGGTAAGCGGATCTTGACAGTAGACCTTTGCCAGCCGTAATGTTCGTGGAAGGGATTGGATCTACCATCAAGGTAATTGTCTAGCCGTTTTCTCTCGCGTGTGTGATTGAAACCAACTAAGTCAGCCTGCTTAAAACTGGGATCACGAAGGAACTCAGCAAGGCGATTGAGTTCAGTTGCTGATTTTGCATTACTGCCAGAATAGTGCCAGGCCATCAAGAGGGCTGATGACAGATTTGTGAATGCTCCAAACAGATCGTCATCACTGATTTCGGGGGAGGAGACTCCTGGGTGCACTCTGTGAGGGGTAGCGCATGCACCCTCAAGGGTCGGAGCATCTGTGACGCCCTCTAGTGTGCAGTTAGCTTCTGGGGCCAGAGTGGGGCGCATTGGATATATGCTGTACAGACCGAACGTATCCGGTTGTGTTTGGAAGGGTATAGGCTGGGGAGGATCAGGTAGATCAAAGGGTGGTGGTGACGGCTGGGGTGATGAAGCAATGCAGCTTTGGGGAGCTTCGTTCTCATTACCCGACATGCCTGCATGTCGCTGTTGAACAATTGAAGGCATGTGTGCAAGGTGTGTACGTGTGCCCGGAAGATAGTCAACGAATCGACGTGGCATGCGAATAGTGCGTCCAGAACATTTTGATGTGATCGTAGGGGCTGGAGGTACATTTGATGGATCACCAATATTCTGGAATTGGTAAGTGCATTGTAAGATTTGGCTCTAACGATCCAGACAAAACATACCTGATCTACCACGGCTGTATCATCATCCACATCCATCCCGCTATCATCCATTGCCCTTGCTTCACCATCCCTCGCTTCCTGCATCACCTCCTCCTGTTCAATCCGAGGCCGTTTTGACCTCCTTCCATCGTTAGACTTGTGCCGTTTGATGGCACGGTGTAAAATGTCCGAGAGCTTCAGAGCTTTGTTCTGCAAGCAGCGGGAACGATGCCCAGAGAGCGATCTTTGTGTGTGAAAGGTCTTACCACAGGCAAGGCAGGGCTGCTCCATCTTGACCGAAGAGTTGAAAGGCTCAGACTCGGAGCGATGCGACTCGGACAGCGGCTGAGGAACTTCGGCCCACTCGGAGCTATTGAATAAGATTCAATGTTAGTCCTGGGTCGGATCAAAGCTGATAATATTAATATTAAATATATATATCATATGGAAGCGTCAGCCAAGATAAATAATATTTAGCACTTCGCTCTCAATGTGGCAATACCCCCAGCGGCGTTCATAATGCTAGCCTTTCGGATCTCACTCATGACCGATCGCTGGTGGCGGACTGCCTCAACAACGTTACCTGTGCCTGCCTCGCCCTTGGTGCGGACGGAAGCAGCGCCTTATGAGATGCGACGAAGGGCCTTGCCAGTGGAAGTTGGCCAGAAGTCAGGCTGGAAATAAGATAGATAGCCTAGTACAAGAAACGAAGTCAGTACACATAGTAGGTAGTAGGAATCGATATGATAAAAGTTAAAAACTGTCAGGCTTAAATGCTCAGAGTCGCCTCCTAGAGGCGTGTCCTCGCAGCCTGACAGCCTCTGGTCCAAGTCGCCTCCTAGAGGCGTGTTGGACCAGGAAGTGAAGTGCAAATATAATAAAAATAAGAATAAAAAAAAAACTCACCGGGTATCTTCGTGTGCTTTGAGGGCGGGATACAGGAATGGCAGGAAGGCTTGAATGCACGGAGCAAATCCGACCCGGATTTGAACGGAGCGTCGGCGTTGAAATGACACTGAGGGACAGGACGACGTTAGTGTTGGTGATGCAGATGAATTGAAGGGACGATCTCACCTCGCGACCTTGGGTAGCAGCAGTCGCTGGTCAGGACGTAATCTAGATAGAGAGTGAGCAAGAAAGAAAGAAAACGGTCAAAATAGGTGGATGTGGTGGAAGGGGAAGCAGCGCTCCACTACTCAGCCTTGGGGCGGGGATGGGCCATACCGGGCTTCGTAGGGAGGGGAGTTTAAGCAAACCGAAAAGAAAGGACGCTCACCGATACTACAATATCCAGCGCCCTGCTCTGTCCCTCAGCCCACAGGAAACAGCTCGAAGACGAGCTCCTGCATACTCGGAGAGGTGGAAGAGGCTGCAAAAGCTGAAGAGACGCGCAAGCAGGAGGAGGAGGCCGCCGCCGCCAACAAAGAATTGTAGATGTCGAGGATGGAGTTTCTGACGAAGTCCGAAATGTTGCATGTGACTTTTCAGAAGTCCGCCGGCAAATGCCGGTCAAGCAGTAAATGCATCAACATGTACAAATAATGAGGGAATCAGTGTCCGTCCGTCCATGCCGGCCTGTCCCGTCCGTCCCGTCTGTTCTAATCAATTGAGTTTGAGTCTTAGCGGACCGTTTATCACTCCTGCACAACGGGTGCCATCTGCTCAGGTGCAAGTAGAACGGGCCGACCCTGGCCTGACGAAAGCAACTGTCTGGACTACTAAATGTCCATGATCGTAAGTTTTTTTCACCTATATGCACGCATATATTGACTAATATTGCATATTAGCCATACAAAAGATGTCTTTCGCATTGCACCTATCATCGAGGATGCACATGCTCACTTGGACAATGATTCTAATGCAGACGACACACAGTACTCTCTTAGCTAACATGTAAGTGATATTTTTGTGTTTATTTACTGCTAACAGTGACAAGATCCAAAGACATGCAGGACCAGATGCTCCGGACGTTCAAGAAGATCATTACAGGCGCCCCTTACCTTCAAGAACTCGTAAGAGGTTAGATGCCGGGATACAGACCCTGGGTGAAGGTTTAGAACTGTGGCGCGGATACTTCCAGTAAGCTCAGGATCTCTGTGGCGACACACATTTGACCAACATACAATTATCAGGAGTGTTCACCCTACCATTGGAAAGAACATTGATGTGTCGACAGTGGTCATGTAAGCAAGCCTGTCTCACTTAACACTCATGTAAATCTAAATCTCAGGTTCAAGCAGGGTAGCTTTCAGACCGCCGCTCTTGCTGTTCTCAAGCAGAACAATGTTCATGCACTGGACCTCTGCCCAGATTTGCCGCAGTTCAGGCAGGTGAAGAACTTCTTCAAGGGCGTTTCTGTCACGCTCATCCACAGGCTGGCAGGTTTCAGACCGCCGCTCTTGCTGTTCTCAAGCAGAACGACCTTCATGCACTGGACCTCTGCCCAGATTTGCCGCAGTTCAGGCAGTTGAAGAACTTCTTCAAGGGCGTTTCTGTCACGCTCATCCACTGGCCAGGCCTCGAAAATATTTGAGGATTGTATCTTCGACATTACCCATTGTTATCAGCCCAACAGCATGCACCTTCGTTAAAATACTGATTGTTGTTACACTAGTATGGTGAGTTTATATACAACAATTCACATCCCATGGTTTTCAATAGCGTTACAGATTTCATGAAGAACTTCATTTTGCCTGTTGATGATTGTTTCGATCCTACTCATAGCCTCACGCACTCCCACAACTTCCTGCATGACCTTCGCCACCAATCCGCCTTCAAATATTCCGATCTTCCTGCGTTTCTCAGGCGGAAGTTCGATGATAGGTACTGACGTTGCTCGTGCGTTAGTAACGTCACGGCCTAAGTTGCATGGGGTCTGCATGTAAGTTGTGAGTGCATCGGCTGAAAAATTGAGCCAGCACACTCACACCATTATCTTCAGATCTTTTTCGCTTTCGATGAGATTCATCAGTGTCTTCAAGACCATCTTGACTTGGAGCTTCTAGCTGCTGAAATCGGAGTCGTCAAAGCAGCTAACTATAATCCATAGATACATACTGGCTCTGGTTGTTCGTGCTGTTCAGCTCCAAGTTGAAATTCATCTACAAGCTGAAACGCCTGCTCATTGTTAGGAGGCCAGTCATCAGGTTCGAACCCTCCGGATAGCGTATCATGCTTATAGCATCCACATGAATATACTGGAGCACCTTGCCCATGGCCAGGATGCCTAGTGCATCCCTGGTGACTTTCTGGAGTAGACCTGTTTGAATGGTTCTCAAATAAGTCAGCGTTCGCTAAGATTGCCTCAAGCCCATCATTGAAGTCGCTGGGGCGGGAGTCGTTGCTAAGGGTGTCACAGTCAGATGACATGTTTCTTGCTTACTCCGTCAAGTGTAAGGCTTTTAAATTATTGGGACTTAGCCTGACTTGTGCTCCATTTCAGAAATTCTTTTGGGTCATTATTGACCCTGCATTGTAATGCGTCACTCTGTCGGATCCCAAAGTATGTGGAGCATGGTGAGCTGAATTATATCCATATAGATTTATTGATTCATTGCTTAATAACTAGCGTCTGGTCACTCCCCACTTTTTATTGTAAGGTAATGATCCGGATTAGCACCCCACCTCCCTTCCCTGAAAAAAATCCCGTTTCAGGAGCGGCGACCTTACCTGGGACGAAAATGGTTAAGTGTATGACGTACCTGATGGTACCGCAACTATGATAATGCTACTAGTAGTACTAGTGTGGTGGTCAGTGAGCGTTTGATGCAAACGTCTTCCGACATTTTCTCTCATGTCTGCTCACAGATCTTCCAGTGCGGCCACTCGCTTACTGACACCATCCGAATTGGACAGCGGCTCTGAGTCTGAGTTGGCCTCCAGCTTAGATGCCTCGTCGCCACCAACACAAGATCCAAAGGCCAAGTCTAAAGCAAAGCATAACAAGTAAGTGGTCGCACAATAACCTGGTATACTAACTGAGCTGATCTATTATATTCGCAGCACGGTAAATAACCAAAGGTAAGTTGACTTGATGATATGCAAAAGGCACTGCGTCACCTTTTACCAATAGGAAAGGCAGCATCACCGCGAGGGAACAGTGCTTGCACTTTGCACGCTGGATCCCTCGTGCCATCGATATGTTTTGTAGCTTAACTGATACATTCCGTATTGCGATGCTAATGGAAGAGGAAGAGGCTTCTAAGGTGTCGGGTCACTCAGAAGATGAAGATGTCAAGGCGCAGCGAGACCAAGTCCTGTCTTACGTGTATGACTTTAGACATTCCATTATTTTCACTTCCTAACTACCATGTTTACAGGGGTAAAGATGCCCAAGAACGACACATGAGAAATTACTCAAAGATCTTACTTGGAGCCCCATACTTGCGCAAACTTGCGCATGGAAACGTCAAACAACAGACGGAGCTGCACGCTATCCTTACCGAGGTAAGCCTCTGGTGATGTACCCTTGGTGATCTTACCTCTAAACCTAAGAAGATGCAAGTCATTATGGGTCAGGCACGCTCTGACGACGCTAGCCACCTTAAGAATTGTGTAGCGCAGTATGCAGCCCCAGACCCTTCAGACAAGGGGCTGGAACCTCCGATTTACGCTGACAACAAATCCCGCGCATTACTTGGTGTGAACCACCCTCAACTCGCTGCAATGCTGTGCCCTATCAAGCATGCAAAAGCATATCATGAGGACCCTAAAAAGTACGTATGAATTCTATGATTGTTCATCATCTTATTGACGACTTTCAGGGTACAAGCCGAACTTCAGAATGGGGTTATCAGGATTCACTCCGCTGCATGGCCTGCATTTATATATGAAGGTACTCCGCCAGGAAAAGACTTCGACCCAGACAATGTTCAGGAGGGATTTTCAAAGGGCTATTATTTGAAACGGGTAAGCTTACTATTACCTTATCAACAACATCTCATGTAGTATTTAGGTTTTTCGTCACATATTTACATCTCCATCATCTGCGCTCGTTCCAGATGGAGAGATTATTCCGAGTCGTGGATGTAATGCCAAGTTACACGGCATGGAAAAGGTTGAGCCTGAACATATTGCCTATGCATTCGTCCAGGTACGTGCTCTAATATATTTCAATGACTATCTAACAAATGTCATAGAGCCGATTCAGTATTGCCACGCGCGACAAGTGGCATGAAACCGATGGTTGCTATAAGTACAATGAAGCATACACCCGCTTCATCAAGGCAATCAGAGAGGCACCTGATCAAACATGGGCAGAGTCGCTGCTTCAGTGGTGGAACCAGTTGAGTACCATTTTTGCTCTTACCTTGGCATCGCACTAATTTTGTGAAGAACGGTATTTGGTAACAAGCATGGCCTCATCGTGATTGATTTGACCGAGGATGATGAAGACGATGACCTTGTTGTCATGCAGAGACAGCACGAAATGCGCATGGTGGCTGTGCATCAGAAGGTTCGAATCTACTCTATCATTCTCCAATACTAACTGCCTCTAACACTCAGACACGATTGCCCGAGAATGCAGCTGCTACCCCAGCTGCTGCCGTCGCTGAAGACACTGCTGTGCCCCCAACTTCTATGCGACAATCCAAGGCTGCTGACCCACCAATTCCGCCCCTCGCATCTCCATCTGCGACACCTAGTTCCATTGACCCAGAGTCTCTGAAATGAATGTTGGGGGAGTTTCAAGATGACGATCCTCTCACTGAAGATGAGACTGACATGCCTGCTCCATCAAAGCGTGCTAGGAAGGCTTGCAAGACTACCACAACCTCAAAGAAGACACGCAAGGGCAGAAAGTGATGCGTTCAGGTTGGTTCTTACTCCTATTGTGCCTAGTGACTCGTCTGAATGAACAATGCAGTTTTGACATGATTATGCCCTCCTCTCGTTCGTTGCACATCATTACTATCACTCTCAGAGTGTCTCATATTTGCTCAGCATCTTCAATATTAATCCTACTTGCTTTCTGCCGCACTGCGACCATCCTCAGTTCAAGTTGTACTACTTCCCTGGTTATGAGTGTTTTTACATGTTCAACTACTACTGTACGAGCAGAATGATATGTGCTTATATTGTATGACAGATCTGATCAGGCATCAGCAGGAACTAGCATATAGGTGAACGTTCAGCAACTGAGCGCGTCTCGTTCATACAATACCTAGACGATGGAAGTTCAGCAGGACTTAGATGCTGGCCAACAGATGATGGGATGTTCAGGAGATGACTGGTGATTGAGAGTCAAACGAGTTTCTAAGTCTTGCAATATCTAGTTTGGCATGACTTAGACGCAGCCACCAGACAATACGACATCGAGCATCAAACCAGTTTATGGGCTTTACAACATCTAGATAACGAAAGGTGAGCATGACTTAGATATAGCCAGCGTGTGGCGGAAAATTCAGCAGGATGATGGCCAGCGAGCAGAAAGTCAGTTTTAGGAGCAGACATTATCTGGACAAATTCGATCTGGTGGTACCTGGCCTGTCTGATGGATCTGTTCCCCAGTGTTGTCGTATGATATGGCAAGCGCTTGCCATATCTAGATTTGGGACTTTTGGTGATGTAGTACTACGCCCGACTATGTGACAATAACGCGGATTACAAAGAAAGAAATCACTCCATCGGTCCGGGTAGTGTTGATGTCACGGTAGTTGTCACCTCGATGTTACACATAATTGATTATCCAATTAGCATACCATCAACTGCTCGATATTCGAAGATTCAGTGACCGCAGTCAGAAACTTCAATTCATCCAACTTTCACAATGCAAAACTACAGAAATGAACTCAGAGACTGGGTAAACAGGAACGGAAATAGAGAAATGGACGGGGATCATAACCAGGTAGCACGCCGGGGGGTTTTCTATTACTATGTGCAACATTGACCCTGGACATGGGCTCGACGTTACATGTCGACTATTGTCGACTGTACGTCGAGTTATTTTTATCATAATGTGCGATATTGACTCGAGACCTGGACTTGGCGTTGCATGCCGACCATCGTCGACTGCATGCTGGGGATTGCATGTTGAATACTGTCGACTGCACGTTGGGGGGTTATCTCTATTATCATGTGGTAGTAGAGACTATTAATAAATAAATATGAAATGTTATATCTGGCTCCCTAGCTAGAGCCGGGTATCATTGTAGTCAAACTATCAGAGCGACTTGACAAACGCCAGACTCCGGAACTGAATGACATATATATGATTGCAGAACACCCATTATGGGGCTGCTGCCACCGTCACGTTAACTGATGATGATGATATTGAAAATGCCACCTACCACCAGGAGACATTGAAGCTCAGGCAGTAAGAGGATCAACTGAGAGTGACATTAACTCGGCAGACTGTAAGGTCGCACCAGCTAAAAACATGTATGTTATGTCAACCTACACTTGAAAGCTGGTTGAACTAAAACGCAGTACCTATCATGACCGTTAGTATGATTTTAAAAAGAAAGGTCATTAGAGATTTCCTCGAGCATCTCTGCATCAAACTCATCGCCAAGATCTTGGTCATCTCCCAAGTCAAATTCCTCTTCATCACTTTCGTCGTCTGAAACCTCCTCACAAACTTGGTCGACATCCATCTGTTCGTCATTCGAGCCATCATTATCTTCTTCGCGGCACTCACCGTCGTCTCGGCCTTGATCAACATCCATACCTCCTGAGCTCACCGTTGTTGTTGACCGGAGGCCAAGACAGCCTCTGACGACCCTCCGCGAAGCCACTGGGTGGCCTACACCTAAATGCGTATAACGCAAGAACATGTCACGATCAGCAAAGCTAGCTCTAACATATCAGTCACCAATTCACAAGAAGACATGCTGCACTTACATGCCGACATAAAATGCTTCCCAGTCATCCAATTCGTCCTGGGCACGTCCTAACGATTTTCCATGGCGAAGTGAAGTCACACCGCGCTTAGTAGTGAACACAGGGATCAAATGGGCTCCTCGAATCACTTGCCCAGGATCAAGAAATCCAAATGCGTTGTAATCTGACTCCTCCACAAATGCCACCTTGGGAAGGCGAGCACACTGTATGCCTGACTGATAGCCTGACGATATTAATGGCACAAGCCATCTGACGTGCAAGACCTCGAGGTGCTGTTCACGGGCTGAACCATCACCTTCAAGCCACGTGTCCATGTGATAAATACCCAGTACGCGAGCGTACCAGTATGGGTGGGAAGGTGAGGTTTCTCCTGAAAGCACCATAATGTCAGCGTGTGTTCTGGGGTTGATAGTGTCGTATCCGCGCCTCATATCGTAAGTCGTATAGTGTACCTGCATCGTCTGGACAGAGTAGATTGTATTATTAGGAATTATGACCAGGTTACGCTCCTCATCTGTGAATATATGGTCACAACAACTAACGTCCAACTTCTTCAACCTATATAAAATGTGGTCCTTCAGTTTCGGGATGAAGTTCTGAAAGCCATCATGAGCGAACCGGCAGTCAACTGGGCGAAAGTATTAGCGTTACCTTAGTAGCAGTATTGCCATCATGTTCCTGGAGAAACGCGAACAAAGGGACCGGCACATTTCGACTGATCGCAATAAAATGATGATCTTTGGATATTGATGGAGCAGGAGAATCAGCTGGTGATTGGATATTTGAGGAGGAAACACCTGCTGCTTCTGCGACTCGCCGAAGTACACGCCGCCTCCGTTCGTGTTTCACTAGCTGTGCAGGAGTATCCACCTTGCTAGTAAGTGGATAAAATGCTTTCAAGGCTCTGTGCGCCAGCTCCCCCTAGTGAATATAACTTCAGAACCATCCTTGAGATAAGAGATGATGCTTACAATTTGAGTGGTGAAAGAATCTGTCATACCAAAGAGCTTGATGGTTCGTACATAATCACCCATGGCGTGAAACTTGTAGGTGCTCAAATTGAACCTTTTCACCCTCGGTACACTTGGTTCCAAAGCAATGCCATTAGGTCCAACACGCTGCGCCAATTTTTGTTGGCGAGCTGCCCTTTCTTTTGGTAATTCCACTGTATTGAAAACAGCGCAGGTTGAGTCGCAGAAGTTCCGCAACTGCTTAGAGAGTTTTTTGAATGTTTCCTTGAGGAAACTCAGCGTCGAATCTGAATGAATTCTTAACTTGGCGAGTGCATGCCACTGAGTGAACCTATATAAAAGAGACTGTATGATCTTATCATGGCTAGTGGGAAATAGCCCTTCAAAGACAGGTATCGCACACTGATAAGAGGCCATCAGCAAACTGGGTATAGGAGTCAAATAAAGCGAGAAGAAACCTGTAGGATATCTTCGAAGTCTCGCGCCGCCAGCCTCTTCATCTCAGACGTGTTGTTTGCGAACATTCGAATTACCCCGTCACCGAAAGTAGGAACCAGACGAAATCTGTAATGAGATAGACTTAGTGACTTGTCATGGTTACTAGTACTACATAAACTCTGCCTACCTTGCATCTAATGTTGCAACCAGCTGGTTTCCCCCCGGAAGCGCATAAAGGATCCGAACGAGGTGCTTGAATAATGCCTTCCAGGTGCCCAACTCGCACTCATGCATAAAGTCCACTACCAGCATACGAAATGGGTCAAGACCCAGTGCTCCCAGCTTCTCGACAAATGTATTCTGCAAGTCACTTTGAGCAGGTGCGCCAGGGCAACAAACAATTTGCGCTTACCAGAATAGGCACCCATGAACCTTCTCTCAGCGTCTCATCAACCTTCACGCCATCCACGGTGTTACCCCCATTGTAGATATATTCCCGTGCCTTGATAATATTAGCCGAGACGTAGATTCGAATATTGGTGACACGGCTCTTCATGTCTTTCAGGAGGCCTAGAAAAGGAAACATGTTTTTTGGTGTAAGACAACGGGGACACGGGCATGAGCCCATGTCCTTGATGGTGGCAATTAAAACCCTAAAAGTTGTTGAGTAATCTGCCAAGTTTTACGGACAAAACGCACTTTTCAGGGTAATCAGCTGAGTATGTGAATATACGCGGAAATATTCTCCACAACACACCATCGGCACATTTCAACACAATACCATGGCGGTATGCGTGAACAAAATCTTGGTCTAGTAAAACGTCCCAGCATGTGTGAAATAATTCACGTCGACAGTGTGTTTGAAGGGCAGCCATGCCACTTTTGGACATGCGAGGCAAGGCACTGAGCACATCTTTGACTTTATCGGGCAGCTGATGAACAGTTGTTTGAGAGATCATTACAAATATAGGGGGAGAACTCACCGATGGTAAAAATCCCACAAGGTGACAGGCGCCAGACTTTGGTGCCGAGCGAGCGTACTTTGTCAGATTTCTGAAGTACATATACAGGGGCCACGCCTTTGCCATTCCGAAGCTTGCCAGATGCGTGGCATCCGAAAAAAACATGAGACCAGCGATCACGCGTTCCAGTTTACATCCAGGCTCCCTCGGGAGCTTTTGCAGGTCGTCTTGGGCATCCAGCCAAGAGTCAGAAGTATACAGCTCGTCAAACACTCGCTCTTGATGGTTGTCCAATGGATCCCTCCACAGACATCTAAAAGGCGACAGGTGAAATGCACTTGCTTGGATGTCCATGAAAGCTGACCGAATGACTTCAATGAGGGGGCGAAAATGAAATCCAGAAACGGAAAAAGATCTCGCATCGTCCTCCTTCGATTTTGTAGGGATCTTGATGGTGACGCTGGCCTGGATCCAGTCATCTGGAAACTCAATTTTGCTTTTGCCAGGGTCATGATCTAACTCTCACAAACTGCTCCTCACTGAGAAGTCCTCCAAGTGCTTTGGATCAAAATCTTCCGCCAGCATCACCTCTTCAACAAGACGAGCAACTTCAGTCTCCGATTTCTTGTTGCTGCCGGAATTCATCCAAGCCATGAGTCGATAGACGGACATATTAGGGAAAGGATACGGAGGTGGGAGAATGCCTGAATCAGTCTCTTGCACAGCCATTGGGCACATAGTTGAAAGTAGCGAGGACGCGACAAATTTATCTGGCTCGAAGGATGGGCGACGAGGGTAGAGTCGGCAAAGTCCAAGAGAGTTGAAGGTGGTCTGAAATGTATCTCGTAACGTCAATAAAACTCCCTGGATTCTATATTGAGGTGGCTCTGGGTGTCGAGAAGGCGAAACATCGGTATTTTCCAAGTCATTGGTATCCTCATCAGAAAGAGGGACATCCTCAAAACATCTGGGTATTCGTCCCAGAGGGCGCCAAGGTTCTTCTGACAAGCGAAAAGAAAAACAAGTTATCAGTCGACTCAGGTGACTGACTTGGAAGGGTCATGACACACCCAAAACATTGGTATTGAGTACATTGTTGTCAGTATCAGACTGCTGCCGCTCCAGGTCCGAGTTTGACTCGGGTTGCTGGCCATGCTCAGGACCCGCTGAGCCGACACTAGACATGCCAGCCTCAATCCAGTATCTGCTTGATGGTCTGCCAGGGCACGGAACGATGGGTTTAATGCGGACGCTCCCCATATGGAGCCGGATGGGTGATATGCTCTAGAAACACAATTGAGTTGTCATTATGATAACTTCGACCCGCTGCTCCGAATTATATACAAAAGGTTGCTCACCGAAGAGTTGCCTGAGCCTCGGTTTGTTGCTGCTGGCAACGGTCATGCCAGAGTCATAGCTGCCTCTTTTGCCCTCTCGTGTCTTTTCTGGCTGATCATGACGCTGGACAGGCGGTAGGGTTTGCATGTTGCACGGTGCCTACTAAGTCCTCGACTGTCGCTGGCCACTTTCTCCCACGTGCATCCTGGAGCGTTGCAGGATATCACCATATAATCAATAAAGAGCAAAAGAAGAACAAGGCATAGAAGTTTTTTGTGCATTCGTCGGACCAGTGCTACCAGCTCTCAGCGACTCAGGTGCGCGCCAGGCTGACTCGATGATTGGCCCAGGGTGCCAGTGGTGGTGTTAGTAGTAGTAGTAGATCTTGCAAACTCACAGGCAAAGACTTGCCAAGTCAAAGTTGTGAAGCACGTGGTGCCGGGTCATACCGTACTACTAGATTTATAACCTGAACGTTCTCAGTGCTTCCAAGTTCGTTGAAGGGAACTTGTGTGAAGCAGTGCATGAAGTCTAGTTACCAAACTATCAAAATCATTATCGTGTTCTGCAGCACATTCAAGTTATCATTCATCAATATCAATCAGCAAGGATCAAAACCCTCCGTTCCCACTAAAGTGGGAGTCGGGGAATTCAATCATGTCCTGTCACGATACACATTGTAATACATTGAGATGGCTCGCTGAAGCGGCAATACCAGACTTTCGGACGCTCCCCTATTGCCCCGAGTAAATATCAGCAATCAAGGTGTCACGTACTTCGCTCGACAATGCTGTGTAGACATTATACAACCCTTCGTCCACAGCTATCCTGGCTGGGGACAAATCAAAGGCGCTCTGCAAAAAAGTACCTGTGGACAGTTCCTGAAGTGCCCACCGAAACAATGTCCCAACGAAAGCTAGTAACGGCCCAATATTTTGGTTGGTGTCATTGACCTACTGTTGGAAATTGAGGTTGTAGAAGAGGATGTGCTTGATAAAGTATCGCAATGCACTGTGGCCAAATGGTACAACTATCATTTGTCCCCCCACCTGATCCATGAATCCATAAGCATTCAACTTAGAACAATAGGGTGTATGACTTACATTGATCGATCCATTCAGGAAAGCATCGTTATCCAAAAGCTGGTCGATGATACGCACTATCTCAGCCTGGGGTTGAGTGGCCAAAGCCTCGTGTAAATTGTAGCCGTATACAACTGCGATCCTGACAATATCCTGTATTTTTTTCCTCAGGTTCTTGATGGTATGAGCGATAGTTTCAGCATCCTTCGACGCTTCGGACCCATTCGCCCATTGGGTAAGTTCGGCTGGTCGTAATTTCAGTTATCAGAATTTTTGAAAGAATATTGTGACTTACGACTATTATATTCTGCAACAACGGTAGCAAGGCTTTCGAGCACCTTCTTTGTTCTTGCTTTCGTTGAAAGCAAAAAGGAATTGTCAAAAGTTGACCGTTTCAGAATATCTTTCGCCTCCAATTTCACCTGTGGTAGGTCTTCGAGACCGAACCTCCCCGCAAGGGAGGATGAGGATTCTATTGCACTAGTAGTCAACAATCCTATAGTAGGAGGTGGTGGTAGTGACGCTGGAACAGGTGGTAGCGATGCTGAAGCAGGTGGTAGCGATGCTGGAGCAGGTGGTAGCGATGCTGGGGTGGGCAGCAGTGATGGCGGAGCAGGCAGAAGTAGTGATGCTGACATAGTTGGTACATCCGCTGTTAGGTTGTGATCATGCTCCATCATAAGATCACCATCAGCAGCTGCGAAAAGGTGTGCCCTGCGGCTACGGTTGCGAGGAGCATTAAGCCTGGCGGAGAAATTGTAAGGGGAATATCGACTCGATGATTGTAACGGTACAGATGATGACCCGGAAGAGTGTACATCGTGAATATGATCACTCGTGGCTCCGAGTTGTGTCTGTGTAGAATGCTGCAGCGAGGCTACAATGTCCTGGCCCAGGCCCTGACTACGGTGACCACCAGCCATCTCACGGCAAGCCGCAGTGGCAGCACTGCCAGTGGCACCAGGTGTGTCAAACATACTGAGGAGCACCTCCCAATCGCTTGGACTCAGATGCTGCGGCAGTGGACTTGGAGCCTGATCTATAGAAGCACAGGTCGCCTCATACCACAGTTCGAAGTCTAGTAAGTCACAGTCCATGGCAGCTTGAGATGATAGAAAATTGTCGCGGCCGTCATCATCTTCATGGCCACGATCTTCCACTTCCAAGTCGCTCGAAGGAATCATAGCGATATTCAGTCTGAGGGAGGCGATCTTGGGCAGGATTTGGCCTGCAGGGTGCGACTCGGAAGGTAGGCTTTAGTACCAGTACCAGTAGTACTATGAGCACCAGCCTGATGATAACTTAGTATTTAGCACGAGTTCAAGATTAATTATCCGTATACAGCCCTCAACGAGTGTGCGATCGCCCCCCTGAGTCCGAATCCGTGTCTGACCCTCGGCACTGGGGGCCAAGTTCACGGTCGCTGGGGCTGCAACTAAACATGTAATACTGCCTTCTTTATGACTCATAAACGAGGTGTAGTATTATGTACTTACATGCCTGATGGTCTTGTGACATTATGTGGTCAGGCTCCTCCAATGATAACAAGACATTTTTTTTCGAGCACTGCTTCTGATTCTGGTGGGTCTAGCCCCATCGACAGTGAACATTAGTGAACTCTGAAAGGTTCCGAATTGTCGTATCCTCATCACGGCGACCTCGATTTCAGATGCGGGGGAAAAGTCAGTCCGCATCGGCTATTCTTCTAAGTTCGAATGGGAAATAAATTGATACGACATCATAGGGATCACAGCATTAAAGTGACCTTACCAAATACGGAGAGTATTTCAATCTGAACGAGGTTGAGTGACTCATGCGCATCGAGGCATGCTCAATTCTAAAACATCAAGTTCAGTTCGTTTCATTTGACGTTAGTAGACAGTTTCATTTCGGCTCCGTACATTATTTCCGAGGCCGGAAAAAGGACCTGTCTCCCGGTCAAACATACTTGTTAACATTCTCAGAGTCGGCAATGAACTATCATGCTGACAGTGACAAACAACACATTCCCTGCCAGTTCCAGAACCAAGTCCAGGCATCAACAACACGATACACCATACAGGTCACATAACACGCTCGCATCAGCAACAGCGACACGGAGAAACCTATGGGAACACTTACTGGTACAATGCTAATCCGATTCAGTAGGACAAGTTTAGAGCAACAGCCGGCCTCTGGCCCCGTGAATACCATAACAACTGGCAACAAGCGTCGGTAATCAGTGTTGTTCCTATATTCGGAGATGAAACGAACTAAACTTTTTAGAATTGAGCACGCCTTCGACGAAGTGCCACTTAATCATCAATGACTAGATCTTTTCCAATATGGCAGGATAGCCTTTGGGTTTTGTGGTGCCATCTTCTTTACGTTCAAAGTTGTAACTTTAAATTAGGCTGCACGTAATATTCTACACCATGAGCTTGCGTGAGTGTAAGGTAGCTGAGTAAAATACTGTAACAGTGCCAATTGCGCCCCAATTTGCTCCCCGACACCACGTCGAATTGATTTCCGCGATTTGCTCAAGATATCCGGGTCAGTCACCATTTCAAGTTCCGCCGTGCGTCATTCTTCTTCTATATGCTTTTTTCGTCTATTACTTTTGTATATCGTTATACAGGCAATATATATATATGCACTACTATACATTTCAGCCTATTGAATACCTTGGTGAAGAATGTGTGTATCATTCAAGAGCGGTTGTACTTATGATGAGCAAGCACTCGACATTTGATTCCAGTCAATGCCCAAGTCATTGTTTTCAAAAAAAAAAGTCACACTATATGATATATGATATGTAATATATCCAATAAAATAGATCAAATGTATGGGGGTAGTGAGGAGAATGACTCAATGAGATGACGAACGTAGAATCAAGACGCTAACCAGGCAAGAACGAGATATTGCAGGTGGCTGCGCGAGGCACAAGGTATGGAAGGTCGAAGTGAGGTAGGACGGCGGCAGCGCCAGGTTAGCGGTAGCACGAGAAATGTCGTGGTCGGGTGCGCAATATCAGGTTTATGGAAGGGCGAGGAAGGCTTGGTGTTGGCGTACCAGGGTAGTGAAAGGTTGCAGGATGTTGCCCTGGGAGCATGGGTGCTGTCGAAGTATAAGTTGAGGGTCCGAGCAACTGCGCAAAGGCGACAAGGCGCAGGGAGTCGAAGTGGGAATCAGGGGGCTGTAGTATGTCATGACGGCAGCACCGGGTCAGTGCGAGCACGAGGAAGGTCTTGGTTGGATATGTGGGGCAATGGAAGGAACAGCAGGATAATAAAAGGTGGGAAGGGGCCCTGGTTGGGTGTGTTGGCGTACAGTGGGAGGTGACAGAAGGTTTCCCCAGGGTACAGATAATTGGTTGAGGGCGGCCCTGCACCAGATGTTTGGGAGTTGAATGCGGGAGCAACGAGCAACGAGAGTTCCTGCTTAAAACATTGTCAGCAGTAAAAATATGATCTGAGTGCATTGTGCAAGTTTACACATGCGTAGTACAACCGAGGGTGAAGAGGAGGCTGTCATCATGGATGACGACGAGGAAAAAGAAAATAGAATAGAAGTATTTGACTTACGTAACTGCCAACGCAGCGTCCATCCCAGGGCTAAAGAGGCCGGGTGTTCGGACTTTTTGTGGGTATTACTCAACACTCACCGGGCATGAAGCTTGAAGTTCATACTACAACGTAGTCATGTATATGTCAGCATCATGCCGTGCTCTCTAACTGTGGCCTGCCATGACCTCACTCGCAGTCTGCTCTCTACACTCGAACTGGTGGCAGAAGGGGCTGTGCCGATCAGTGAATTCATGGATCCATGATATGGTAGTCATGAAACCTATAATCCGATACAAGGCCTGATAGCATGGTCACTAATCACTGCCTCCAGGAAGCCCTTCGGCAAGCCTCAATGAGAATTGGAACTCTGACCGTCAGATAATCATGTGTGACACAAAGGTTTGAAATTATCTAACGTATTTGTAGGGCTGACACAGCCATTTCCTAATGAGAGGAATATTTCAATCCCATACTGGTATTACCATATCATTGCGGTGGCGGCCCACAGTACTATTTCAGCGGAGATTCTCCAGCAAAATGAGGCGAGTAACTTCTATCCATTCTTGAAATTAATACATCGTTGCTGACCGCAGGTACCCAAACAGGACGGTATTTCAATCCCAAAGCGGCTTAAACTGGGACCTGAGTGCCTATCCTTTTGTTGAACTTTCAGTCCTGGAGTTCTTGTTTCCTGATATTAATCACCCAACGCACAGATGACTGCTGCCGTGTCAAGTATGCTTGCCTGTCTTATTCCTCCAAGCTCTATCAGAGAGCTTAGTCCCGCTCTTGAGGACAGTGTAGAATCTTATCGACTTATGTCTTGCAATGTTAAGACACCTGGCTCCAACTCCCCAAATCTCGCTGAGAGAAAATTGTCCCATCACACGAACGCATCATCCGGGCGTTTCACTCGTCGTCCACCATTATCACCATCATCAGACACCTCTGAGTCGTCAGAAGATGAGCTTCATGCCCTTCCACGCCTCCCTCACCTGAAAAATTTGTCTCATTATGTGCAACGCGCCAAGAGACAGTTCAAGCCTTATGACAGGCGCCGCGGCCACGGGCCCAATGCAATAGAGCTTCGTTTTTTTCAAAGGACCGTCAGGAAGTACTCCGGCAAGACTGAACTGAGTTTGGTTGATGTTCAAGAGGTATGTTGGGCTTTAATGATATAACTTCACACTGATAAGCATTTGATATCAGGGCAAAGAGCTCTTCGAGCGTGGCATGAGAGGTATGTCTCTCGAGGCCACCAATCAAGCTGTCGTTGCAATGCAAGCTACTCGCGAATGCAAGCGCTTACGTGCCCTGACGACGGCTTGGGAGATTGAATCGTCAGTTCAACATACCAAGCTTTTTGAAAAGATTCTCGAGCAGGATGCTCTAGAGTATGCCCAAAGTGCCGAAGAAGCTTCATCTTTCAAAAAGATGTTGGTTGGACGTACCTTGCCAGACCTCGAAGGCGAGGTTGATTTTAATATCGGCGCATTTAGCCGCGATCTCACATCGTTCGTTGTGGCTGATGTCCAACTCGATCACATGGAATGTCTCGTGCGCGACTCCAGTCTTCCCGAGGACGATGACTCAAGCCTGTCCGAGGACGATGCCCATATGGAGGGGGGCTCCCCTGACTCAGACTCCGAGGTTGAATTTGATAGCTGAGGTGAGTTATCATCACATCGACGTTGTGTATAATCCTGATCATAATACAGAACCCTTCTGGAGTCGGATATTTATCAAGTGTATGTTTATGTAACATGCTGTTGATATTGTACATATGTTACGGATCTGATTCGATGTGCTAGGTGACCGCTATATCATGCAACAAATAACCACGAGAATGACTATGTTTGAAATGCATGCAGTATATCAGAAATCAGACATCAATGAAGTTTTAGAGGCAAGCCGTATTTGTATGGCCGTATATTTTTCTGCCCGGACAGAGCTATACTTCTATCTCTACTGCTATTAGGTGGCGCTGCCACATCTACAATATATAAGTACGAAACGGTTGATCCCGCGGAACCAATTCATGTGACTCTCCTGTCTGTGCTCCACCTGTGCTCGTGCTGAGCTCCACCTGTCCTCTCAATTGGTCTAGCGCCATGTGCGCTTGACGTCTATCGATCATTGTCCTCCTAACTACATACTCCTCCACCTGTGCGTGCTTATGCCACCACATTCAACGGATGAGTCAAGGACTCACGCTCGAAAATGCGGTTCTGGACATCCGTACAGATTCGTTCGCGCACGGACAGCTTTACACATTATAAGCAGATTAAACATTTGTGAAGAGCAACTTCATCTACCTAGCATGCCAATTACCCATATCCTTTCGAAACTTGTTCTTTCAGCAAGCTCCGCACTCGTTGCGTTCGGGTGTTGGAAGTTAGGAGAGCGAGTATGGCACAATCTTAGGTCCCCACTGCGCATACTACAAGGCCCAAAAGGAACAAGCTGGCTATATGGAAACTTGAAGGACATTTTCAAGGCGGTATAGTTATCCATCGAACTCACCATTGCGCTGTCCTCATTGAAGACTTGCAGGAAAATTCAGTCCTTCACGAGCAATGGGTGGAGCAATATGGGACGACCCTGAAATACAAAGGGTTCTTCTTTGTATGTTCAATTTCTCCTGCATTACAAAACTTACCACGTCTGAAATTCTTTCTCAGTCAGACCGATTGTTCACGATGGACACCCGCGCACTGAACCATGTTCTCACCCATAGTAGCGATTATCAGAAACCGTCACAAGTCCGGTATAATCTCTCTAGAATTTTGGGTGAAGGTGCGTGCCAGTGTGTCTACTGTTATCCCAGAGTCACATCTGAAATCATCTCAGGTGTCCTGTTTGTTGAAGGTGCGATCTCGGCTGCATAATATTTACACTTCCATTAATGCCGGTCTCAAGGGGCTCAACATCGTCAGCAGGTCTGTTTTGACATGCATCTCTGTGTTATCATACTGATGCCATGTCTCAGAGAAGGATCATGGTACGATTCGCCTTTGTTTGCCTTGGATCAATAAATCATGTCTTTCGAAGAACCCCGCCTTTGGACCCGCCCAGATCCGCGCACTAACGGACATCTTCTTGAGCAAATCGATCAAGGTAAGCTTGGCTTGTTTCTTACTAGATATGGATATAGATGTCGACGCTGCTGTCTTTCAGCTTCGAGACATCTGGTCTACCATGACCGTTGCCAGTGAACACGCGGCTCGGATGGATATCATGCCCTGGCTGAGCAAAATGACGTTGGACGTCATCGGTGTAGAGAATTATGCCTCTCATGGCGTGATATGGTGCTTTACACTAGGAAGTACATAGCACGAACTTGTAGCGTCACTCTGTGCACTACCCACAGCTATCTCTATATGACGCGCAGCTTTCCCGCGCAACGCGCGCCATGCGCGCACCATTCCCGCGCTTCGCGATGTATACGCGCGCGCGCGTTCCCGCGCTTGCGCGCCCTATGGCGCCAGCCATCCAGAAGCATCCATCCACTGTCCACCAAGCTCCCTAGTGCGTATATTTCCATTTCCTTTATTAGCATAGTTCCACCTTTATTTTTATCATGCATTCTCACTCATATATATATTTACATACCTACTCGGTAGCGCTTCGGCTCCGCTTGACCGCGCTTAGGCGCGCTATATAAGCGCCAGCAGTACATACTATTACTTACCTACTTTTCCTACTTTTCACTTACTAGTTACTACCCACTTACTACTTAGCAGAATATAGTAGAAAGCTATTCCTTTACATTTTGCACTCTTATATCTCTTATCTTGCTTATATCTTCACATAAGTTTAGTCTCTCTTATTTCCGCTTACACGCGCGCACTTTCCCGCGCTTTGCGCTAATACGCGCGCGCGTTCCCGCGCCTTCGTACCTTGCGCGCACCTGCGCTTTCTCGCGCTTCGCTTAAGCGCACACTTCTAGATCCTTGCTGCACTCACTTCCCCTATAGGGTCGAACGCACTTGCTTCTCAAGTAACGCAGACTAGGCAGCGCGCGACCTTACAACTTTTACAGATACAGTCAGGAGCTTCTTTTGTTCCTCATTGTATTGTTGTTTCTACAACTGGAGCCCACCGCGAGGGGAGCAGTCAGCAAGATCTAGTTTTGCGCATCTTCACACTTCACGCTATTTAACGCATAAAGGTCAATCTCTTTGCATATTCAAAAGCTAACCAATTTCTAGTCACGCATTCTCGCGCCTTGTGCGCGCGCTTTCCCACGCCTGTGCGCCTTGCGCGCGCACCTTTCATGCGCCTAAATGCCTTATAGATTGCCCATCCGCGGCACAGCAAACGCGCCCAAGTTCGACGGCACTACAGACAACCTCGCCGAATTTATTGACGCATATGAGCAGCTTGCTGATGAAGCAGGACTCCAAGGACTCGACCGCATCAAAGGTATCATCCGCTACCTTGCGCGCGATGATCGAGAACTATGGGGAGGCATGCCAGAAGCGGCAGTAGATAATTACAGCGCCTTTTTAGATGAGGTGAAGGTAATGTATCCTGGATGGGATGGTAAAAGACGCTACGCGCTCGCGGACTTGCGCGCCATCGCGCGCGAATACGCTAACAAACCAATGCCCTCTTGCACAGAACTAAGCAGTTACCTGCGCGCATTCAGGAAGATTATGCAGCCACTCATGGACGAAGACCGTATTGGAAAGGCCGAACGCGACCACTTATTCATGGAAGGAATCCCTAGCGATGCTCAGGCGCAAATCCGCTTGCGCCTTATGATCAAGTTCCCTGACCACCACCCATACGACCCATACCCATTTATGGACGTCTTTGCAGCTGCGCAGTTCCTATTATCTGGGCGCGCTTTTCCCGCGCCAAGCGCACCAGTAAGCGCACCAATTAGCGCGCCCACTATAGCGCCAAACACGCCAGTTAGCGCACCAGTGGCTAAGTGCCAAGATCGCTATCACGCGAGCCACACAACCCAGGATACGACCACCAGTACTAATGCGACAGCAGGACTCTTCTATTGCGCACCCTCAGAAGTTGCACTTGACAAAAGGCCACCAGTTCCTATTCTTGCGCCTCGCGCGCGCGCCTTTCCCGCGCCTTCGCGCAATTCACACACACCTCCACCATCAACTATGCCAGCATGCAAAACTATACCAGACTGTATCACTCTAGATCACGAACTCGAGCGTGCGCTCGCGAAGCGCAACCAGACGCGCACTGCAGGCGCCTCTTCACCATCATCCTCATCAGCACCATCTCCTTCACAATCCGCATCATCATCACCATCAATCGCATCATTAGTAGTCAGGGATGACTCTAAACATCCATTGCACACTAACGCGCCATCGCTCGAATCGCGCGCGCCTATCGCTATCGCATCGCACGCGCCTACCGCTATCGAATCACCAGAAGTCAGGGATGACTCTAAACATCCATTGCACACTAACGCACCACTAGAAACATGCTCGCCCCTCGCTATTGCATCGCTTACGGAAGAAACCTCGCCAATCGCACCATCGCCATCACCGCTATCACCACTCGCATCATTAGAGGTCAGGGATGACCCTAAACATCCATTGCACCTTGGCGCGCCTATAGAGGAGCCTTCTGCCGCATCAGAGGCTCAAGTTGCACCTTGCATCAACCAGAGTTTGTCTCTGGAAATTCCAGATGTCACTCGCGATCACGCGCACATCGCACATTTTGCTTCCAGTGACTATCGCGCGCCGGTAAAGCATCCATGCATCATACCACCTAACCACCAAGCAGAGCATGTCTCAGGCGACCCTGGCGCAACTCAGGCGCACCATATTGCGCCTGAGGACGCGCAATGCGCGCGCCTAGAGGTATTGTATATTTACCCTCATCTCATTTCGCGCTTTTTGTCTCTTTCATGTTTAAAGCTCTTAAGGAGCTATATGACCATTCCAAACACTTTAATTTCATCCTTGCACTACCCCTTGTTCACGCGCCATGATCACGCACATCGCGCAATATGCGCGCGCGTTCCCGCGCCTCGCGCACTCATAATTTTAGCAGAGTTTTCACGCTACCGCATTTCTATCGCTTCTCCCCTTCTAAACCGCATTTCTATCATTCAACACAAAGTATATTTCAATCAGCCATCCAGGCGCGACTTAGGCGCGCACCTGACACATACATATGCGCCTAACTCCCCTATCATCATCTTTAACTTTGCACTTCCCACATTTATTCACATTCTGCGCGCTTTTGCTTACCATGTCAATTTCATTCCTGCGCGCCTTGATGCGCACTATTCTCCTTCACCTATGCGCCTATTGCGCCTTGATATACCACCCTTACAGCCCATTGGCGCAACATTTGCGCCTAATTCTTCACTATACATGTCTCTCGCTAATGCATTTGCAGAGAAATGGCCGTTCCTCGCGTGTTCGGCCAATATAATTAAATTCGCGCGAAATCGCACCAAGGCGCGCACATCGCGCGCATCCTATCAGCTTGTAGGGCGCCCCTACACCCCTTGCAGCGCCTCCCATTGGCGCGCCTTCAACCTGCAGCGCGTTGTGCAGGAATTCATTCTGCCAGTTACAAGCCCCCCCCAAATACGCCAGCCTTGCGCATTCCAACCCTACCTTGGGTAAAGCGTCAGCTCGCAAGAGACGCGAAGCGCGCTAGTCACGCGCGCTCGCACGTGCTCAAGGAGGAGGATCGAGCGCTTCAGCGGCGCATCAAAGGAGGAACATATACCAACACTGTTTCATAGGATATTGTTTGTTTTACCCTGGGTTTCGTCCAGTGCTCTTTCATTTCATTTTCTCTCATTATAACACTGTCCAAAAGACTAATAACACACTGATATATGCATATAGGAATCACCTAGAAGAAAAACAACCATAGATCGTGCCCGCCTAGCTCAATAGTATATTTCCTCTTCGCACGCATGACGCGGCACCATGCTCCTTTTTACCTTAGAACGCGCACATATGCGCGCAGTCTTCCCACGCTCACGCGCATATACGCGCACATACGCTTCACGCGCGCGCGTGCGCGCTTCCCGCGCCTTTCTCATAGGAAGGTGTAGATGTTGACAGCTGCACGAAGAAGACAAGTCGGATAGGACATCCGCAAAGTTTACCATTTTCCCTTCATATTTTCACTTATAGTTTTACTCATGCTGTTCAAACCTTTAGCAACTAATATTTAGCACGCCTAGTAGGACTTGGTTTGGACATGGATTGGATTGCTCCTGGACTGCGCCACTTCGCGCCATCCCCACAGAATACAACACATGCGACACTCATGCGCGTTCTCGCGCCTTGCGCGCGCGCACTTTCCCGCGCTATATGGATATGCGCGCATCTCGCCCACGCTTTGCGCGCCACATCCATATCACCCTTGCATCATCGCCCCACACCCATGGCACATTAATCACATCAGAGTCACCCTCGCAATCCACCATGCTACGCTTCATTCCCGCGCCTTCACGCATAGCGCGCGCGCATTCTCGCGCCTCGCGCGTAACATGCGCGCAACTTCCCGCGCTTCACACATACCATTCTTATGATCACGCATTCATCGCCCAACAACCAAAGCATCGTACATGCATCGCACATGCATACTATCACGCGAAACCCTCACCACACACGCACTGAGTGGGGACACTCAGAATTTAAGTCCCTGGGAGATGTAGAGAATTATGCCTCTCATGGCGTGATATGGTGCTTTACACTAGGAAGTACATAGCACGAACTTGTAGCGTCACTCTGTGCACTACCCACAGCTATCTCTATATGACGCGCAGCTTTCCCGCGCAACGCGCGCCATGCGCGCACCATTCCCGCGCTTCGCGATGTATACGCGCGCGCGCGTTCCCGCGCTTGCGCGCCCTATGGCGCCAGCCATCCAGAAGCATCCATCCACTGTCCACCAAGCTCCCTAGTGCGTATATTTCCATTTCCTTTATTAGCATAGTTCCACCTTTATTTTTATCATGCATTCTCACTCATATATATATTTACATACCTACTCGGTAGCGCTTCGGCTCCGCTTGACCGCGCTTAGGCGCGCTATATAAGCGCCAGCAGTACATACTATTACTTACCTACTTTTCCTACTTTTCACTTACTAGTTACTACCCACTTACTACTTAGCAGAATATAGTAGAAAGCTATTCCTTTACATTTTGCACTCTTATATCTCTTATCTTGCTTATATCTTCACATAAGTTTAGTCTCTCTTATTTCCGCTTACACGCGCGCACTTTCCCGCGCTTTGCGCTAATACGCGCGCGCGTTCCCGCGCCTTCGTACCTTGCGCGCACCTGCGCTTTCTCGCGCTTCGCTTAAGCGCACACTTCTAGATCCTTGCTGCACTCACTTCCCCTATAGGGTCGAACGCACTTGCTTCTCAAGTAACGCAGACTAGGCAGCGCGCGACCTTACAACTTTTACAGATACAGTCAGGAGCTTCTTTTGTTCCTCATTGTATTGTTGTTTCTACATCGGGCTTGTAGGTATGTCCTTTCCGAAGAAGCTTCCTAGCAATACCGAATGAGTGTCGTAGGTTTCAACTATGAGTTCGACGCCCTGAATGCAACCGATAAACCAAATGAACTTAACCAAGCCTTCTCAGTCATGTTTTCTGCCAGTCAGCAGATTAGCATCATCCCCATACTTAAGGCATATTCCTTTGCTCCGATGGATCGTAAGTTTACCATCGCCACCTGACATAAATTGCTGCTAACTCCCCTCAGCCCTCTGATCGCGATCGCAAGATAGATGCAGCCCAAAAGACGATGGGTCGCATCGGCAGCCAGCTCCTGCATGATGCTAAAGCCGCCGTCATATCCTCTCACAGCACTGAAAAAGGTGGTTCCATTGAGAAGAGTTGTCTTCAAGGGCGCAATTTACTTAGTTTACTTGTTCATGCCAATATGGCAACCGATATCCCCGAAAACCAGAGGATATCAGAGAACAAAGACCAGCTTCCCTTGCTGGTGAAGCCGTATTGCAAGACCTCAGGACTCTCGTACCAGTTCTAGTGAAAAGCCCGGATGAACTTGACTAATATCGAGATCACGGGCATCCTATTTGGACCTTTCCGAGTCGTGTGTGTTAATAGTTATGTCCTTGACCTACCATGGGACACTTGTGTGCCCCCGCACCCTTTCCGACCTCTGATTGCTTTTGTTCCTGTTTCTATTCAGCACCCTTGGAATATCTACATCTGTTTTCTTCACTCCAAACTTGGCGTTGAGAATGTTGCTGCCCAGATCCTCAGGCTGTCACTGTTCCCGCATTCGGAAGTGCGTCCCCCGACTCGTGTTCGTACTTTTCCTACTAGTATGTCTACAGACTCAGGAGATCTTTCCATCAGAGAGCTACTTGGTGCTGCCTCGTTCATAAATGTACATTATCAAGGTCGAGCGAAAACCATTTCTGAGGGGCGCTAGCTTTTTCACCCTTTCCCTCACTGCTGCTCGTGACACTCCACAATGGCCGCATCAGGGTGGGAGAATGCCCATTGTCGGTAGCCATGTACGTGTGTTATGTTGCAGTGAATACCCGAACGAGATTCTCAAATACTTTCTCCTCCTGGCAGCTGCACTTGATGAACTCCATCAATGATATTGGCAGGGAAATACGTGCGCCTGTAATTTCAACCCGAACATTTTGAGCTGTAACTGATTCAAAGTATATACAGGCCACGCGCTAAGTGACTGTGTGATAGTCATGTCGATCAGACGCTAAGTACTACTACTAAGGTGAGATATTCGGATCATGCGAGTCCTCATCGTCAGGCTAATTTAGATCGTGCCTTCTTTTTCCCCTTAGCATTCCTTCTCCCCTTCGTGTGTTCCACCTTCCGGTAAGCTTTTGCAACAAAACTCTGAAAAGTATGTGTAGCGCCTTCTGACATACCAATCTTTTCCTTGTAGAAACTTACATCAAAATGAGCTGCAGTCGACAGGTACAATATGCCACGATCTTTCAATTTGCCATCATATTGACGGAAGTTCATGGCAGGATAGCGAGAGTGGATACTCGTCATGACGTCCGTGATATTTTGCGACGGTTCATCGTTACTGGATTCCTCATCGCTATCCAGGTAAAGTGCATACGTCCTCTTCAGCGATTGAGGGACAGAGTGTCCTTGTCGTTCGACAAGTGCCTCGTCGGAGATCACAAGTATCCTGGGCGGTAAAAGCCCCTGCTTGCTTGCAGAAGATATGCCTGCGCTTTGTTTAGTTGGTTTTTCTTTTGGTGTGGGTTTCTGTAAGGTAACGTCATATCTTGCAGATTACTTGCATACATCTAAACACATACCGTATTGATGATTACAATAGTGATCTTCTTACATTGTCTCCCAGAGGTCTGGGCCGCCCTCGCATCCCTGAATGCACTATCGATATCATAGACAGTCAAAAGCCAGTGGGGGGGATCCGTGCGGCGGGCGGTAGACAACCGCCAGCCTAAGTGTTCATATTTATCTGGAACATCCATGGTCGCTTTAATGGAATCAAAAATGTCCCGCCAAGACTCTGATTCAGAATGCAACCTGTCCACATATGTGGTTGGTTTGTTCGCATTCGTTGTATGTAACGGCACTTGGAACTCGACTATACAACTCCGCTGTGAGTATCGGGCCCATCTGCCAAGATATATGCTTCACTTACTTTTGTCGAGCTTAGTGTCCTGGTACTGTCCTGCGGTAAGTTATTTTATTGGCTGGTCGGCCATTCCTTCGTAAAATATTTGAACTGCATTCATGCGATTGGCCCCTTCATCATTGACATCGGGTAGTTCTGGACGGATACCAAGCAGATACGCAGCAGTCTGTGCACGAGTGCGCTGACGAGTAGAAGAGAGTGGATTGTTAGGACTAGTAGGAGAGCGACAAGTTTCCTGTCGAGCGCCTGACCGAGACTGCGACATGGCAAGAAAACTTTGCAAGACTGCCATCACCCACTCTTTACACTAGACTTTTATCATATTGTTGCCCGCTGCTTGATATCACTTTTGATTCCATAATGTCATGGCCTGGACGCGCACAGTTTATTACTGGTCCCCTTACTGTTCCAAAATAGACTCCAGAAATGACCAAGCATAGTGGAAATTCGAATTAGCAAATGTGTCTCGAACGTATTGAGAACGGGCTCGAGAAACGACCATGCTCGCTTCCATCACCGAATATAGTAGGTTCCTTAGACTTCCCAAAGAGGCTTGAGAAACGACCGAACTGTGCTCGCTTCAGCATCACCGAATAGCAGGTTCCTTAGACTTCCCAAAGTGGCTCGAGAAACGACAGAGACACTTACTAGTAGTGGTACCAACTTGAACAGTCAAATCGTAAGGTGAATTTCGGTCATTTTGTTTGAGAATTTTTGTCATTATTGACGTAGATGACTCCAAGCACAGTATTATAAGACGCCAGGCGGCCGTCCCCATCCTTCAACTGTTCTTCAAGTTCCCGGTCCCTATCTACCTACCTCTCTACGCGGCGGCAGGTATGGAGTCGGCATCCGAGAACAACTCGGGCAGTCCTCCTTTGGCCCAGGAAGCTTTGGACTCCCTGCGTGTCCCAACTTCTCCTCAGGCTCGGGCAAAGTGACAAATAGCTACCCTGATGGAAGAGGTCGAACTTTGAAGCAAGACAAGGCGACTAAGCAGAGGTACGCACTTGGTCAAACTCTCAGCGAGGCGGTTTTAATTTCTCATTATAGGAAGACCACCTATTATGTTTCGCAGGGTCGAGCCATCCGTCGTCTTGTCGCCCTGTACACTCCCATAGAGGATTTAATCGCCGAAAACGACCGACGTTGCGAATACCACGACGAAGCTATCAGCCCTGAGTCCACTATGGAGTAAGTATCTATCTTTCTTTTATTATACGTTGTTCTGAATGCAGTGATAGGCAAGACCGCACTCAACGGGGTTACATTGAACTTGCGAAGGCATTACCATGGATTCACGACAAGTTAGCAAGTCTTGATCACGAGGAGTCCGAAGACATGCTTAGAAAGGTTTGTTTTCCACGAACGTCTTTTCTCGCTTCTTCCTCATTCCCTTGTAGATCAGGCGGGGTGCAGACTCCGCTCGTGGCGACGATACGGGTACTCTCAAAGAACTCGTGGCCTCGTGGTTGAACGTTGAGTTCCGTCCGACTCCGTTCATCTCAGCTGGTGACAAGCATCGTCGAGGTTTTGTGAGTGACACATGTGGTAAGCTGTTGTGCCCGGCAGAATGGCACTGGGAGGATCCAGTGTACGTGTAGTTCTGCTGGTCTTTGTTACTCGCATGTCACTGATGTGCAGTCTAGCGTCAGGGCTGGTATTCGGGATCGTACGACCGCTTTCATTGTCTCTGAAAACTCCTGGCCTCTGTTCATGTATCACAACAGCGTAGCCGACCCCACTAATCTAGAATGCGGTCTCATGAGATCGAAGTTGTTAGTGATGGTGAGCATTGATTTTTGTAACTGGCTCGTGCTTCATTACATCACAGGGCTTCAAGGCTATATTTACCTCCCCCTCTTCTGCCAATGAGGTAGACTGGCGACGGTGAAGGTGCTGATGTCATAGAGAACAATCGCCGCGCCCGGAGACAGTCAGATCAAACCAAAGTAAAGACATGCGTTGCCTCTATTATAGGCATGAGGAAGGTGACTCCTCGCGCAATCGCGTATGCAGCTTGTCAAGTGAGCATTGATGCTTGCCTCTAGCTTGGAAATTGATTTTGAGTTTTGCAGATCCGATTTGCTCTTTCCAGCATCACCTCGTGGCGCACCATAGACGGAGATTTCGACTACCAGATGTTTTGGAACAATGTTGTAGATTTCTTCGAAGATCCCCCAGGTCCAGCTGCGCGAGGTAGGGTCAATGATACTCTCGAATGGTGGACTAGGTAAGCATCTGTTCATCAATGACTAGCCTGGGCTTGTAGCTAAATTTCCTGTGCAGGAAAGTTTTTGGCACAAACCACCGGCAGGACCTAACGTCGGAAGTTGTTTCCCGAATGTCTGTTAGTGCGCTTGCTGCCCAAAGACTGGCTATGGAGGACGCTGCGTTTGACTCCGATTCTTGATGCTTTCATTGCTGTGTCTTAGTACCTTCAATAATGTACTCTCTAATGCTAGTTTTATCGTGTTGCTCCCATGTCTGCATGGTGACTGAATTTGCCGTCTATAATCACCGCGTCGAATACTCTTTGCTGCACTGCATTCAGTGCAGTCCTACATTTGCACTGTACCATAAGCTACTAATATTATCGATATCAAAACATTTGTCTTTAAATCCGTATATCTAACAGCGCGTCGCGAGCTGTCAATAAGTCTCTTCTGCTCGTTTAATTGGCTATGACAAGACACCTTCGCAAGTGGTGATTTTAACAAATCTATTTATTTTGTAGATGACTGGAAAAAAATGTGCGGTATTGCCCATCAGTTTCCAAAAGTTCTTATTTCTGTAAATACACGAGATGTTCGTTGAATAATGAGGGAAACATTCGATGCGAAGCATCACTCACTGCTGTCAACTCGCGAGCCCAGGTACTGAGTCACAGAGGCACGACGCTGTCGCAAGTGAAGCGATATAACTGGTACGGGGCGAAATACACGAGATGTTCGTTGAATAATAAGGGAAATATTGATGCGAAGCATGACTCACTGCTGTCAACTCGCGAGCCCAGGTACTGAGTCACAGAGGCACGACGCCTGTCGCAAGTGAAGCGATATAACTGGTACGGGGCGAGAGACACGAGATGTTCGTTGAATAATGAGGGAAACATCGATGTGAAGCATGACTCACTGCTGTCAACTCGCGAGCCCAGGTACTGAGTCACAGAGGCACGACGCCTGTTCGCAAGTGAAGCGATATAACTGGTACGGGGCGAAATACACAAGATGTTCGTTGAATAATAAGGGAAATATCGATGCGAAGCATGACTCACTGCTGTCAACTCGCGAGGCCAGGTACTGAGTCGCTGCAGATACATAGAATGGTAATTGTCCAATTAATGACGAACATTGAAAATTCCAAACAAAATGTCGTGAAGTCAAAGCGGGACAAACGTTTGATTCATCTCTCGCATATTGAACACATCCGCTGCTACCGCAAAGGTAACACTTTTTCGCACGGATTCCCAATCTACATCTAGCAGACAAGAATCCAACACCTTGAACGTTGCTTTGCCCGTGGGACTTGTGTTCACCTAGCTCGAGCATTATCTTCGCATGTAATCGATGTGTTGTTGCTAGTCGGCCAACACTTTATCGTTTTTCTTCACCTAAAGGCTAAAAGCATTCAAATAGTGAAGATGACGATAATTGTGTGAGATTACAGTTTAGCACTGCCACGCCGCATGCTTGCAGCGTTACACCGAGGTTCGAATGATCGCCAAACGCGGTCACAACCGCAAATTCTGTGCACTCGATCAAAAATGTACGCTTTTGATTTTGTCCCAAGGGATGACCTGATGCAGTATTGTGTTCCAGTAAGTCTCCATTGCACAATAATATTGCTTTTCAGCGACAGACTGGGAAATCTATGCATTGAGAAAGCGTGTGTACTCTCACATACCTCGGAACTGTATTTGCGCTCCGTATAATGCATGGTTCTGTGCAACAGTTTACCAACAAACATTTTGCGTGCGCGACTCCGGTCCTTCTATGTCATTGCAACTCGGCGTCCATCGAGCAGTGATACCTACTTTGACACGACTCAGGACATTGTCACTATTCTATGCAATATACCACTCAAAGCGACACTCGTCGAACATTCGGTCAATACAGACAAACTATTCGTTGAGAATTGATGTCTACTGTTACTCACACTTTTTACCAGAGCAAGTTACTCGCCCATTCAGTAGTCATCCGCAGCGAGCAAAAATATATTGTGCAAAGACCAAATGACACCGTTCTCTTCACTGATGAGCATCGCCTGAGTGTCTCGTAGTTCTGCATGCTGCAACCTCCTTCCTTGTCCTTCTCAAACCAGGCTCATATTCCAATGCATGAACCTGTGCGAGTACATTGTCTCCTAGACCCGTGCCAGTGAAAAAGTCCTCGAGGCAAATAGGGCTACCAGGCCCGTGTACTTGCAAATTAGTCTTTCCTCGACAATGCCAAACATTCCCATGTGAAAGCGGTTGGCAAATTTACGCTGATTGTTGCGATGCTTAACAATATATTACTTTAAATATCATTCTCATTTGTTCACAGGTTCTCTGATGTTGGTGCGACCCTGCAGCTTCAAGCTCCTTGCACCCACATGAAACTCAAGGCCAGACTTCAAACAAGTCAGTGGGTGTGTAGAAAGCTTTAATCCTCACTGTGTAAATGATAGTGCTGCCACTCCGAGATATCTGATAGTTGCTGTAAGTCACCTCACTGTGCAGAATGACCACATTAATGTACAACTTTTTGTTGCGCTATCATGATAAGGACTGAAACATCAATTCTACGGCTACTGGTGGCAGGTGCTGGAAGCTTGAAGGCGAAGGGCTGTGCTTGGTGGTGCAGGTAGACAAGAGAGGCATACAGCGTCTCAGGAGACAAGATATTGCAATTGTCGTGGAGTCCGAGGAGTCTGCTTCTCAGTACATTTAGAAGAATTTCGGCAACACCCGGGAAGTTCGTTGCCGTTTATTCTTCCTTCGGTATGTTCCATTACAGAAACTTGGACTATAGCTATGTCTTCATCTTGACGAGTCACATCCTGGAATTCTGTTCTTTATTGACGGTTTCGATGCTGTGACGATATTGTATCAACCGATCATTGTTTCTGAATCAATCTAATGGAAGGCAAGAGAAGTTGATGCGTGGAACTACTAATAGGCGAAGATCACGATGGCAGTCGGATGGGATAAACTTGAAGTCTACTGCCACACCTCGAATGGTAGGTTCACCTTATTACCTGTTTAACATCTGCACCTAGTATCTGCACACACTTGCGTCGCTGATACTTGGTATGTCAGGGACTTGTGTATCGTGTCGATCGAATACTTGCTCAGGCTGTTGCGTGTCAACAACTAGTACATCTCCCCCTTCAGTGCACTGTAACTCCAAGGCCCCCTCGAAAAGTGCTTCAAAAAACACGCACAATGGATCGTTTGCTCTACGCGCATGTTACATCATGCATGGCATGCTGGTCATGATCCACATAGTCTTTGTTATCTTCTATATCTGTCAATCAAAAGACTATGCAACTTTCTCTTCCACATCAACAAACAGCGATTTCTGGTCTGCGATGCTTAGTGCTTCACTGCAAGCGTTTTATACTGTACGTGTCCACGATATCTGCTGGTATCCCAACGATACACTAATGATATGACTTGATCCAGATATACACTGGTGTTCTGCTTTTCCTTACCCAACGGCTTGCGATTTCGAGAACGCTCGTACGCCGTATGAAACTGATGGCTGTTCATGACATCTCTGGCGCATGGGCGGGCCTTGGCTCTGCACTCACTAGCGTCTGGCGACAAAACCGACATATCCGCCTCGCGGTGGACAACCTCTGCTGTGGCAATTTACCTTGCGAGCATAACCGTGTTGCATGTCACCTCTTCCACTCTCCTACAATTTCAATCCTTGAAGTCATTTACCACTATAGTTAACGCCTCGGTGCCCACAACACTAGGATGGCCAGATGATTCATCGTACGGCAATTTCACAAACCTGGGACCCATTGTTGCATCCCTACCAGTCATCAGTCAATTGACTGGACTGGCGTCTACAGGATTAGCAAACACGACATTGTATGACACCCTTACACTCTTCTCTGACAGCCTTACACCTTACGACACCCCTCTAATTGGTTCTGAGGCAGGAATTGTGGTTGTGAATGCGACAACAGTGACCTCGAGTTGTGGATTGATTCCAAATGTGACATACTCTGCGAATACCAGCACAGCAATCTTTCCGTTCGGGCAAGATTCTTTAGTGTTTAATACGAGCATTCCGAGGCTTTGTTGGTAGTTGTGGTTGGGGTGATATTTTATCATGCTGAAAATCTCTACAGGGCCAGACCAGATACATATAATTCCATGGACTATGAAGATTCTGATGGTGACTCAGAGGACTCGGAGGTAAGCGTTCACTTGTTCGCGCTTACTATGGAAGCTGAGTAGCAATTTGACCCTAGCTCGATGGTATCTATATTATGGTATCCACATTATCGGGGATCGACCCTTCAGTACAAGATGAGGTCGCCGTAAACACGACTTGGGGTACGTATGCTTAGTTGTAATACAGTTATGTTAACAATATGTTCTGCAGCTATCCCCGACATTGTCACTCCATACGTCATACAGGTCTATTTTATATATTGCTCGTTGTCGGTGATCACTATAGATGAGAAGATCGGTGCGCAAACCAACAGTCCACCGAGTCCCACGTCCACTGTATCGCAGCCATACATGCAATGGGAAATGTACTCAGACTATCAACTTAAATTCGGGCAGTCGAATACTAGTAGTTGGAAAACACAAGTGCGTTATACGGCGCTCATTTTGAAACTTCAATGACATACGGTCAATTTTAGATCAGCAAGGCTTTGGCTACGAACTACAGCAGCGGGATGGTGTTTGAAGGTACCCGCTCACAAATCATCGAACCCTCTATTGTGGACGAGTAGGCCAAAAGTTTTCCTTGAGTGCACTGCATGTCTCACGTACGACTTGAACTCTGGGTATATCATGTCATTGGTAGGTTTGAATCTCGCCGCGGAATATACACAATTCCGAGCCCACGGTGCTCTTCCGATTTTGAATTTCACTTTGGGACCAAATGAACTAGAATTTGCGGTTCCGAGAACAGCTGCACAACTCATCTGGCTAGGTAAGGGATACGTTCAAGTATTGTACTATTCTTACTCATTCATTGATGCGTGCTTAGCGGGACAATTGGGCGCAGCCAATGGAGGAATTGACCCTGGCAATGGGTTGGCTTATGCCGACATAGACGTCCCCAAATATATCCTACAACTCAATGTAAGTGAACTGCACAAACGCTGTTTTCAAATGATCGATGGAGCATTGTAGATCAACCTTCTTCCGGTGAGTTCGTGGTTGTATACATGCGATAACCATTTATCGAAAATTGTTCTAGTTGGCTTTCGCGGCGGCTGCATCAGTGATCATGTTGGGACTGGCTCTACATATGACCCGAGCATTCGATACATCGCACGACAGACAGGCCCGGGCTGCTATCCCAAATATAGGTGTACAGCAACTCTTGTGGTTGGGTCATCGTTCAACCTCTGTCAATGAAGTCCTGGAAGATGTGCAACATCCGACAGAGGCCAATCTGCGTCGAGCAGGCATGATAGATGTTTGTTTTTCGCATATAATACCCGACGAAGGAGAGGTAGAGAGTTCAACTGCCATCGATAGTCTCTCTTGTAATGTCGGCCACCGTCGTGATGATAAGGAATGATTTGGATTTGAGAATAGAGGAATGGAAGGCTGTTTCTTTTCTATACTGTCTTTCCGTGGTTCATACTGCTCTGGTGCGGCGGTCCGCATCATGGTTGTTTTGTTTTTGGTATCATTTGTCAATTTAGATGCGGAGTATTTCTCTTAATAACGACCACTACATTGTGACAGAAATAGGTGCGTCACAGATATCATTATCATGCGGATGGCGCTGGCTTGCTTCTTTATTGATGCACACAAAACTGGCAAAGATGCATGGCACGCCATCTCCCTGTCATGGCTGGCATCCCCTCGGGGACGGGCGTTTTAATGTTAGTAGTGTTGGAAGGTATTTTCTATGGTAAGTATCGCAATGTGTTTATCATGGAGTATGGCCAACACTGAGACAATTCCCTACTTTTAGATGCTCCAGTTCGTATTGTACTCAATGGAATCCCATCTCAAAGGCTGCCTTCTCGACTTCTAGAGGCCGACAGCCTCGGATGAGACAGAACAGGGGACCTTGAGCGTTCAGAAGGTTAGAACGCGAAGACGACGGTAGTCACACTACAGTATTAAAAACACGGTCAGTAAAGAACATGTAATGAGGTTTAAAGACTCACGTCTACGAGCACAATGGTGTCTTCATCAAGCATGGCGTTTGTAAATGTCGGTTCTCCAGGGGAGCGAGGAGGAGGAAGTGTGCGTGTGGTAATGGTGTAAGGAAGGCTCGTCCGGACCCTCCTAGCGAACACCTTGTCCTTTATGACTGTTGTGTCGTTTACAAGACGCATATCTTCCTTCTCAAAGCCCAATGCTGCGGCTCGCTTGATCGCAAGTTGGTTGAAATCCCAGATTTGTAAGGTCTGCGAGGATCGGCCTGCAGTGTCTGTTACGAATGAAACAAATTTGCTTCCAAACACGTTTCCGGTCCAGACATGAGGGTGAGGTGGGGACTTCAGAAAGCGGGTACCTGTGGGACCCCACTCGTTCCAGTTGATAACATGTCGACGAGTCTGTGGAGGAAGGGCCATGACAGAAGATAATAATACGTTTTCTGGTACGAACAGGTCATACGAGACGGTCTCCTGCTTCTCTTCAACCCAAGTGGTGATAAGGAAAAGTCGTTGTCCATGTGCTATTGAGAAGGGAACGTGCGCCTCTGAGTTAGGTTTGCACCCAGGCGATGGGTCAGAGCGAATTAAAATCGTCACAGGACTGACAACAAAGTCAAAAGATGGGAATCCAAAGACACAAACACAATCGTTGGTGAGGGCAACCTTTTTGGTGGAAGGTTTTGATATGTCCAGAACGAAAAGTCGAGGCTCCGTGACTCCAGTCTCGTCCATCACCGTTCCCACTAACAGAAGGTGAGGTGTGAGGAAGGCGAAAGTAGTAATGTCGCGACTGGAAGATCTCTAGAATAGATATCAATATAGTAACAGGTAACACGGATTCAACTTTAACTTGACTCACCAGTGTTAATTCACCAGTTTGCCAGTTCCATACCATGAGCTCTGATATATTATCCTCGACTATGAATAAAATGGCGAGGATCTTGCTACACGTTTGGATACTAAGTTCCATCTCGAGTTTAGCAGATTGCATATACAGGCGATAATCAATGACTTTGACTGCAGATGGATGCGCATGTCCAGTGCTGAGGGATCGTGGATGTATCCGAATCTGCATATATGACTTTGTATTATTGTGGGCTGGACTGTAGGCTTGTTTCAGAATCAGAGAACATGCACCAGGAAAGAAACGTACATCAGGATGGGCTTCTCAACAAGCACCAGAAGATCTTGGGCAGGATCCATTGTAAAGTCCTCGGTGTTGCTAAGTAAGGGTATCCTCCATGAACTGGCTGGAATGTTGCGGTATTGTGAAGGGAGTTGATACAAACGCATGGTGCCCAACAGATTAGACTGGGCAAGTACACCCCCGTATAATTGCCATTCAATGTCATCTTGAAGTAGAGGTAGGTCTCGCGACTCTACCCATTGTAATGTTTCCCAGTGTTCATTGCGCTCCTTGAGCAACGCGAGTCGTGACGCGGCTGAGACTAGGCTTCGTCTCTTACCATCTTCCAGGCCAGACACGGCCAACTCAATGGCATACTGGGCAGGAGGACTTTCGTCCACCATCGAGCAGAGAAATTTGCATACCTGATAGTAGGTGTGAGTACTAAGGTAGATACAGCCTCGCAGAACCCTACGAGTCTCAATGTTAATAAAGTTCTCCAATCTAGATTTGACAAAGTTTGACGGATGACCTCGCTCGGCAGTAAAGTCAATGAGTCCCGGCGCTGGCTTGGACGTCTAATATTGCGACGACGAGACATTTGAGTTGTTCACACAGTGATGATGATAAGTAATTCAAAGATGTGGCGCGAGGTCGCCTTCAAGTTGGTGTGGTGACTCTATGGCCAATCGAATGTGACAGTGTTTTACATCTAAACTCTCGAAGGCTTTAGATAAGCGCTCACTAAATATACACAGGTCGTAGTCATCAACTTTGAAGTGCCTTCTTAAAGTTTAATCCGTCTTCCAGCGCATGATTTCCACTTCACAATGCTCAAATCTCTCAACGCGTACTCATGTTTCGTTTCAACGTTATATTTTTACAGAGCAGCCGTGAACAAGATCGACTTACAGTTCTACATCTTCGCCTTCGTGTTTCTTTAATCGTGTATGATTTCATCCAACATCTCGACGAGTACCTTGCCTTCTAACACAAACGAAGGTTATCAACTGCCTGTATTCCTCTCTCCTCGATGCATAAAATCATAACATGCATTCCCCGGTTCAACGCCCAAGATACCTTGCACGCCCTTTCTGTCCAGCTCGCACAATTCCCTGACACTCCCTACCTTGTTCATCACATATTTAACATTCTTCGCTGTCACTCCTGGTAGACATCGGAGCAGCTCCTCTGCAGCAGCGTTGATGCCTGCGCCTGCTTCTGTGTCTTCCTCGGCGCCGATTGCAATCGCGCGGTTAGGGTCAGGCTCGAAGGCGTTGGCTTTGAGGTCGTTGAATATATCTGCTGTACCATAGGGGGACGATGACCAAATGATTCGAACACGAGGGAAGTGGAGCATGAGGAGAACAAGTTTGGATTGAATAGAGGGAGGAGCGCGATCAGAATCTGTTGGACCTGTTGATTTCTTCGCGGGATATTTGCTTGTGGGCTTGGCATACGACTTTGCTGATTCCGCTACGGTCTGAAAGAGAGGTGAGACACTAGATCTTTGGAGATCTGTCGTGTAAGATGTACCTCAAGTGAGAACGATTTGTTCTCCTCAAACTCGATGAGTAATATGGGCTGCTTATAGTGCACCGACATCAGCTCGCATTGTGTGTACCTGCAACTCGTCAACGATAAAGAAGCACAAATCCGAGAGACTTACAATCGACCGCTATTGAAACTCGCAACTAGATCAGGTATGCTCTTCCTCTCGACGCACATATCTGGCGTGAGGATGTAATCCCCGACAGTCAGCGTCGCCGGAATAACGAGCAGGCCAGATGCGTGAAGAAGCGAAGGTAGTGTCGAACGGAATTCACGCATGTCGACGATCACCTGCGATGGCACAGTACTCAGCTCCTTCCTTCCGCCTGCGAGACGGGTGCTGATCGTTTTGATAACTGCATCGCTTTTCCCAGCGTGTTTGTCCTCGAAGATCGGCAGGAGCATAGACTAGACATGATAATGAATGACTCGCACCACGCGTGAGATAGTGAAACCAAACGACGTACTCCGCGTTCCTTGATCAACTTCTCGAAAGACTCCTTCTCGCGCCTCAGTCCAGCAAGGTACTTGTGCTCCTCGCAACAGAGTTGGTACACCATGAAATATACACGGACGCCCATACCAGGGTTAGAGTTTCTGTACACCTATTAAGTTGCCGCATCAAACAGGGTGTCAACATCTCTTAGATAAAAAACTAACCTCGATGCGCCTCACGAAATCAAGGTTGGGTTCAAACATCACAATAAATCTTGGCTGCAGTTCCGCGAGAATCTGGTCGTCCGTGTCATCAGTATATGCTCGCACAACAACCGTCTGCGAGGGCGCAAGCAAGCCGTAGTGCGTGTCAAAGTCTATTTCTGCTTCGCTTGAGAGAAGCGTTTCAAGGAGGAGAGCGTCTGCATCGGAGGAGACAAGGAGGTCTGAAGGTTGACTTGCAAGGCTGAATCCAATCTTAGTGAGGAATGCACAATTACAAGCATCCTGACGCACAAGGCTGCGATATCATCTCCATCGTCTCTCGACTCCACTTTCGGATCGACAACCGCTGGTTTACTTGGTGCAACAGTCATTGGTGCACCGCCACGCACCCTTCTCCGATTCGCACTTCGCTCTTGTCTCGTCTTATCTTTCCTCTTCAAAGCTTCACTAATCTCGCCCTCAGGTTGCGATGATGACTGTGGCTGCGGGACAGAGAACCGAGGTGGTTGTTGGTACCTTGGTTGTTTTTGTCTGGCGTTCTGGCCTTTCCAATACAGGTATGTCCGTAATTTGCGCTCCATCATGGATCGTCCGCGAGAGCCTTTCGGAGCAGTACCGTCCATCTCCCCCAGGAACTCACTCACAAGGGTTGAAGAACGTGGAGACGAGGTCATGACAAGTACCGTATTGGTCCCGCGAGTTGGCGGACCTGACGCGCGTCAAGCAAGAACATTGGTTTCGGTCAATGGGACTCACGAGTCGACACTGCCTCCTGTCTCATCAACTCTTCCTCAATTTCTTGAAGTACATCTGCAAGGAGATCCCACTTTGGAAGCTCTTCGAGCACTGGAGACATGTTATCCGGAACCCATGGTTTCTTCTCTTCCTTCTTCTTCCCGTTATCTCCATTATTGCTTCTTGTTAACCCATGCGCCTCATCAAGTGCAGCCCATGCATCCTCATCGTCAACGTCAATCACTTGGCTCTCAGGAACCGAAGATGTAGGTTTTGGAGCAGTAAGGACATAACACCGTCGTTTCGCGGTGCTAAAAATGATATTAGCCGCATCAGTGAGCATCCAAGGGGACTGGTGTTGTTTAGCTGCACCAGTTACGGTTGTGGTATTCGAGGTTACGAGAGTTTCAAGGTACGCGTGAAAAGCGAGCGCGTCATAGGACAACAGGTACCTTGATGGAGAGCCCAGATCAGTAGCGGTATAAAATGCACAGCATAACACATGAAATATAGTAGGTAGTAGAGACAAAATGTACAATTAAAAGAGTAGAAAACATACGTTAATAGACGTCTGAGCGTCGCGAGGTCACCCACGAGTTGCTTCGTCCGTGGACCGACCTTGTGCCATACGGGGTCTAATTGCCTGCGGACCACTGCATCAAAGGAACGGAAGTATGCGGACTCTACATTAAGATCATCAAGTTCAAGCTGTGGGATGAATGAATGAGGATTCGTTCAGGGGCCAATAAGGCAGCTCAAAGATTCTTACTGTTTTATTAGATCTCTTGAGCTCGGAAAGTGTGATGGTCATGCATTGGACTATCGCATGGTGAATTGCCTCCATAGGCTCTGTGAGACGCTGATACAATTCGATGACATCTGCTCTACGCGTTTCGAGCGTGTTCTTGACGTCTTCGTGAAATCTGAAGCGAAAAACGGATGAGAAAGACGGAAACAAGAGCACTGGAAGGCAAAGAATACGAACATCAGTTAGGAAGGAGGTCACCCACCGTGGATATATATGAACGCGTCTTAATTGAAGCTCCTTCATGATGTTCTTCAGCGGAGACATGCCACTGGTGATATGCTCAGGCTGGTCCGAAAATGCTTTAAGAAAGCCAGCCTTATTCTTTTCTCGGTATAGCCGGACAATGAATGCTTCAAGGGAGAGGGCAGTGACCCTAGGTGGTACATCGATTCATCACCGGACACAACGCAGAAGAGCTGTCACGCACTTTTCAGCATGTAAAACAATTAAACCAGTTATGAGCTCTGTTGGAATGTCGGATTGCAGCATGTCAACGATAAGAATGCGGGAGGTGACAGAAATGAGGCCGCCATTCTTGTAGAGATCCTGTCTGCGAGCGTTGTGTTAATATGCTGCAGAAGAATGATGCGAATAGTTACGATTCGTTCTCGAAGTGATGGTTTTTTTACCATAAGTATGAATAACTTACCTATCCCGCTTTCCCATCTCATAACCCACGATCCGCAATCCAGGCCGCCTGCACCCCATAATACCCAGTTCATCCCCAATGGCAGTCTCCTCTTCCGGTGAAGCGTTCAAAAGCAAAATAAGGCTTTGCTTTGAGTCGTATATTTGCATGAGCGTGCATATGGTACGACGAAGTCCAAGTCCACGGGCAAGGATGAGCAAGTCTGAAGTTGCAGGGTCGTGAATCTCCTCAAGTATTGATTTGTGGAACGGCAGGAGTATCGGCATTATGGCAATAGAATTGAATCCAAACTATTTGCGTACAGTAGGCTAGATGTGATCTGAAGCTAGCAGTTACTAGCCAGGACTCGGATAAAGGTCATCCACCGTACTGTAAATTTACTGTTCAATTTGCTACTCACGTGATGGATCAACGCGTTCTCTGCTCGGGCTCAGACTGCACACGGCGAATGTCGGAGCAGTCATTAATTATCTCCTCGATTTGCTCTTGACCGACTCGTCCGTCTGCGTCAGTTTTGAACCCTTTCACTGTGTCATGTTTATCATTCAAGTAAATCGACAAACATCCGCTCACTATTAGCCGGTAGCCCCTACTACACTGGGTTTCAACGGCATAGGTCAATACACCTTCGCATTAACGCGCGTACCGAGCGTGCTCGACAGCGGAAAGAGTATGAATGGTATATTTTCAAAGTACGTCGTTATTTCTCACACCTAGTAATATTGCTCAACTTACAACCGTTGATAGTCTCGAGAAGAAAATACAAAGATGGCACCTCTAGCATCCTAGCCGCTTTCGTTGCTTTGTGGTGCGTCTTTTTTTGTATATCTGGACGTATGAATCTAGGGAGAGACACCCAGTATACCTCTAAATGGAAAATTTAGACAAAAGTATATATCCTTCTTCATGTTCAATATACGAGGGACGACGCGCATACATTTCCACTCCATCAGCAATGCAGACGTATCCATATATCATCAAAGCTGGGATGGCTGATGCATATGCTCAGTACAAGGGTAGCACGAACCATGTCGCCAATCCCTGGACCACCGTGACTCTCCCAAACTCAGCATGGCGCCATGCTTCTATGATGATAGTTATGACGCTCAAACTTTTCCCGCCTGTCTTCCACCTTCTGGGATGTGCTTGTGACAATTCTGAATCGTACGTTTCTATTCGTTTCGCTTGTATAACCCGTTCTGAAAGGCGTTGTGCTTGCCATAGACACCATGTCTGAATACATAAAACTAGCCTGGCATGTGCCGATGGTACACCTGTCAAAATAAAAGGCACGTCACAAATCATTGAGAGTTACAATTACCTCGTGTCGCGAGCCTGCTCGACAGCACTCTGCTAGGTACGTTGTTGTCTTAGGATATCAGATTCATTCCCGCACAGACCTGTGTCATTTTCAGAACTTGTGTGTATCTCATTTCACCTGCTGAATTTCTCTCTGCATGTTGATTGATTCAAGTCTGTCACTTAACGGTGGACGCAAGCTGTATCTCTCTACATCGGTCCTATCTGAAGCCTGAAGTGTCAAGCACAGGCCGAAACATCGTGTATCACAATCATGCCGGCCGCCAAGATCGATATCTCTGCACCATACGAGCATGAACGGATAGTTTCACTTAGTTACTAGTCGGATACTAAGGTGGAGCCTAATAGACCCATTCGCAGTCTTAATCTTTCTTTCATAACCAAACTGAACGAGCGGAACATCATTGTTGCTTATCACCATAGCCTTTTCAAGTTCCAACCGAGATGACTACATTCTGAGTCAATGGGCTTCGGTAAGCGATGATTATTTTGTTGATGAAAATTCACTCGTCCTCCATCCGTCACCGTCTCGTGTAGTACCATTTAGTAAGTGAAGCAAATAAACTACCTGCACATGTGGTGATAACATCATCCTTCCAGTGTCACAGTGGGCGTATTGAATGCGTGAGATGCATTTCATGTCGATCAAGGAGTGATGGTGTTTCAAGATTGTATGATATTCCGTTATCGGTCAACAGTGTCCCCCGATGGCATCGGTGGCCTTACAGTAAACTGGTATGTGTCAAATTAATGCATGACATCGGATCCGAGCAAAAGCTGATTCAAGGTAAGCATCACAGTAACGACTGAGGTCTGTGTATTCAACTGCACCTTATAGCCAGTGATGTCGTACTAGTCTATATTGACCAACCCCTACGTTTACTTATAAGCAGGTCATACAGATGTCATTCGCATATGTCCGCCACAAACAACACCCCTGTGTCCGTGCCTGACCGGCGGATACTGCACTCGATGTCTTCCACACCGCAAGAGAGTGGGTCACTGACTAATCACTCTTCGCTCTTCACCCTCATCATCATCAACACTGCTCAGCTTACGAACCCATTTTATTGGAAAGGAAGGCAGATCGAAATTGCAGATCAATGGATGCCGAAAAAGCGGCGCAACGAGCGGTCTGCACCGTTTTCGGTCAAGATCGTTCGTAAGTCCTATTACAATCCATCTAACTTACAAGATAACGATGGTTTATATGGCTGGCGGACCATCATCACCAAATCGCTCAGTCGCCCTTTTGTACTCTTCGTCCACGAGCCGATAGTTCAGCTCCTCGGTATTTACATGGCGTATCTATACGGGTTACTGTATCGCAAGTCATCTATTCTTCGACAGACGTGAACTCACGTAGCCTCTCAGTCTTTTTGACGACGATACCACCGATCTTTCAGGGTGTATACCAGGAGTCGCCGGGAATCGCCGGCCTTCATTACATTTCGCTTGGCATAGGATTGGTTGGGGCGTGCCAAAACGACGAACATGGTTTACATTCATCTCAAGAATAAAAACGGCGGAGTTGCAACGCCGGAATTCAGATTGTGTTCGTTGTATTATTCTAGTGTTACCTTTCTTGAGTGCTCACTCGATTTACCGTCAGCTGGTATGGTTCCTGGATCTCTGCTACATCCAATAGGGTGCTTGATCGTAGGCTGGACCTCTGAAGTCCATACCCATTGGATAGCTGTAGATATTGTTGGTTTTATTCTCCTATCATTATTTCTCTACTGATGGTTTCGAGAGGGTATGGCACTTGTGGGCGCAGGTATCATTCTGAGTTTCCAGTGTATTCAGACCTACATCCTTGAATGCTTTCAGCTTCATGCCGCTTCCGGTACGTATAATCTGGTTCCCATGTAATTTATCTCAAATGTTTCACACTCAGCAATTGCTGCTGTCGCCCTTTTGAGGTCACTGGCAGGCTTTGGATTTCCCTTGTTTGCTCCAGCAATGTATGACGCACTCGGGTTCGGGAAGGGCAATACTGTTCTGGCAGTTGCGGCAATCGTCTTAGGCTGTCCTGCGTATGTCTTCCTCCCTTATCCTTCTGTCGTCACCCTCGGTAGTAATACCTGCAGGCCCTGGATATTCTGGCATTACGGGGAGCGGATACGGAACAGCAGTCGACATGCGCATTGATAACTCTAGATGAATTGAGGAACAACCGAAATGGCGCATGACGCACGAGTTATGAACCCTGCGGGCAGTAGTTGTGCACTGTACATTACACGTTCGCCAGGTTTCTAGATTGATAATAGACTCATGTAGGAGATCAGAACAGGCCATAAACACACCAGAATACTATTTACAACTGAACCTCCACATGATTAGGTGCTACATGCACATATGTACGATAACTCCAAAATATAGGTGTCTTGAATTGTTCACTTCTAACTAATAAGCTCACCACCAGCGAATCTCTGTCCATAGTAGGGGTCCAAAAATTGCAATTGCCGTCCATAACTACACAAAAATGTCAGTCGGAATAACTAAAGATCAAGTAGTAGAACTTACAACTCTACAGCTCAGCCAGAATAGTCGAGGGTAATCTAGTATTGAAGGGATTTGCATGACATGCATGTCCGAGTTTTTTTCGTCAGTGTGCACTTCACCATTCCCGGTCATATTGGGAGTGTCATTCACATGCGACTTGCTATTTGCGCGAGGTGCACGCATGCGTCTAGGGTGTGCAAAGAGCGACCATATAGAATACAATGCCACATAGAAGAAGTGATACGCAAGGAGTGAGGTTGAAGGTGCAATTCTAGGTCGGTGGTGAACACAGAAAACATGGCAATCGTGATTGGGAAATCACTCACCCACTCAGCAATGATACCGGACCACGGACGGATTCCCCTCCCCTTTCGAAATACTTGAAGCATCCGTCTTGGAAGACAGTCAAACACTCGCCATCAGCTCCAAACACGTCATAAAGGGCGACGCTCATAATATTGATAGTCGCAGCCAGCCCTTTGCGTTCCCACCACCATTTGTCGAGAATGCCCTTCATCTGGCTCCAGTCAAGTAGGTCGTTTATTTTATCGAGGTGCTGGGAAAGTATGTATACGTCAGACAGTGCAACGGTCATACCACCGCCTGTGAGTGGATGGCGCATGTTCCAGGCGTCCCCGAGAAGGATAACACCACGTTTGTGCGTCTGAGGGGCAGGCGGTAGGAATGAATTGGGCATGCGGCGAACACGATCAGCAGAAAGAGCAGCACGGATCGGCTCATGTAGTTGATTAGGGAGGGAAGGCATTACTTCGGTGATGATATGTTTCTGGGGGGTCTTGAGCACATGCAAACTATGAGCGGCAAGAAGCGAACCTTTAAGTCGGATGGCAGTGGACCTTTGACATCTACGAGTATGCGGGTATCGTGTTCCGATATTTGGTATAGCAAAACGGGTCCGTGGCCACGTACGAGCGCGACAGTCCCGTGCTGGGACATCGGCAACCGTGCATCCTTGAGTATCGCACCACAGAAATGCGACTTCGTACTTGAAGGACGTGCAGATGGACCTTGTACGGTACTACGGAAGTTCGAGAAGCACCCATCTGCAATAATTGTTAGGTCTGCACGAAAAACCTCCTTCTCCTTGCAGCCAGAACGCGTAGCTTTTACACCGACGACTCTTCCTTCCTCTTCCACAAGTTCGTTTACGGTTGCTTCGATGACATCCACGCCTTTCGCGCGCTTTGCGTGTTCCCTCAGTCCCTGCACGAATAGTCCATGATGGAAACTCCGTCCTTCTCGTCCATCAGGGTATGGAATATGAACAATGCGACCATCTTGAACGACCGCGTATCCGTGTACTGGAATCGCGTCTATACCTTCTAATGCACCCTGTAAGCCAAGCTTGTCGAGGAAGGCGACACCGGCAGGTTGGAGCAGCTCGCCGACTATACGGTCAGGTTCGGCAAGGCTCCGCTCGAGGAGTGCAATACGACGTTGCGGAGCTGAAGACTGCGACAGTGCGTGGGCAAGAGCAGAGCCAGCGATGCCAGCGCCGACAATAAGTACATCGTACTGCAAGGACATTCAATAACACGGGTAGTAAAGATTAGTTTGCAAAAATAAGTAGCAAGCCCTCAAACGCCGCCTCCGCTGCATCACACATATTGGATTTGACACTCCGACTCGTATGATTTTTACCAGATATTCCTACCTGGCGGTCTTATGGGCTTTCGTGGTCGCTTGCCAACTATTACCCCGACTTATAAAAATTACTTCCACTTCATTAGCAAGTCTAAACCTCAGATTCCCTGCTAAACCTCTGCGACAAACTTCAATGTCTACGTTCAACTTGTCAACATACCTGAAGTCCCGGAAAGCGGAATTTCTAGCTGATAATGGGGAAGGATGGACAGTAGTAATGGGAAATGAAGCGGGTGGTATGCTCAACCGTATTTCGCTCGGTCTTAGTCCTTACTGTTGTCTTGCACCAAATAGACCTCGATTCTCTCGCTAGTGCACTCGGATATGCCTGGTTGCGCTCCAACAAGAGCGGAAAAGCGATCGCATATATAACTACACCTAGGGAGGATTTTGGCCTTAGAGCAGAGAATTTGCACGCCCTTGGTCTCGCTGGCATCGACCACCCTTTTGAAGAACTTTATTGCTCTGGTGATCCCATTCCATCACAAGTGTCCCAGTTTGCACTTGTGGATCATAATGTCCTTGACACCAGATACGCATATCCGACAGCCAGGGTTGTTGCAGTGATAGATCATCACGAAGATGAAGGACAATACATGGATACTAGTACGACTGATCCCAGGATAGTCGAACCGGCTGGAAGTTGCTCGTCTCTTGTTACAAGATTGTATCAATCGTCTTCCAACCTTTCCATACTCCCAGAAATATCCACACTCTTGCTAAGTGCTATTTTAATTGATACTCACGGCCTGAAAGAGGGAGGAAAAGCTCTGGATGTTGACAAGGAGGCAGCTGCGTTTTTAATTCCCAATTCCCTTCTGGCACACAAGGAAGAAATATCCGCATCATCAGATATCCAAACAATCATCCACCTCCCTTCCGTCCAGTCTCTGTCCACAACGTTAAGAGAGGAGAAACTCTCTGTATCCCATCTCAGCACGCGGGACTTACTGCGGAGGGACTACAAAGAGTACTCATTCAGCAGGCCCGCATCTGAGGATGCGACGCAATCTTTCAATACGATGAGAGTGGGTCTTGCCACTGTTCCGCGTCGCCTCTCCGCATTCTTTACATCGTCAAGTTATCCTATAAAAGAAATTCAAGATTGGTTCGACGAAAGAGACCTTAGCGTTCTCGGCATCCTCACTACTTTTCGGAGCACGAAAGGCAAGGGGCGGGAGCAACTTTGGATAGTCAAAGCAGATGAAGGCATCGCAGAGAAACTTTTGCAAGGTCTCGAATCAAGCGAAGAGCTTAAACTGAGAAGGCTTGATTTCCCAAAGTTCGTGGGCAACGCCAACACGGCTGATGAATCTGAGGACGATGATGTTGAAGAAGTAACGGCCGATGAAGCGCGATTCGGGGATTCATTTGTTGCGAGGGCGTACGAGCAGGGTAACGCGAAGGCGACAAGGAAGCAGACTGCCCCCATTCTCCGGAGACTTATGGAAGGGCTATGAACTCACGAGGTGATTGTTTGACACAGTTTGAAACACTCTTATACCTGATATATCCGATGCATATGTATAAAGACACGCAATGAAGCCATGCAAAGTTAGCGATCACTGTCGAATTGTCCTTGCGTTTCTCCATAAGCAATTAGAATCTTTGCCCCCTCGTTCATGACACGGTTGCAGGTCCAACTAACGCGTTCAAGCGTGGTAAACTCTTGGAGCCCTTCCTTCAAACAGAATCCTTATCAAAACTGTGGTTTGTGCAGGCTAGGGCTCACAATCCGCAGTCCACTCTCCACCGTCCACAATATCCACATTTTCAGTCACTTCTATGGCCAGTGGAAAGCGTGTCTGTTTGTCACCCAGGTAAACAACAAGCACTTCATATTCCGTATTGTCAGTGGTTCTCTTCGTTCTACCTCTTACCATCTTTCGAACTGTTCGCACCTCACATCATGAATAACGACATCCCTGCGCTCGATTGTCCAACAGTCGTCAATGATTTGGCTGATCGTCTTGGCTCTCTAAGCCGCTTTCTGGACGGCATCAACGACCTTATGAAATTCAGTTCCTTAGGAGACCACGAATTGCAGCACTACGGTCGAAAGGTCTTGCCCTCACAATTCAATCATCTTTTACAGTCAACTGACGATTATTTTCCCGTGCAGATAATCGCTCTGACTGAAGTAAGTATAATTTGAAATTTCGCAAACTGTTCCAATACTGATGCTCTCGGTATTTAAGGGTGCACGTATGACATTGAGACGCGAGGGAGTGGCCCTGTACCTCTTCGTTCTTTGTTCAGAGGAACTTTTGCCGTACAAGTCGGCGTACTTCAGGTTTCTTCTTTGGATCAGACGCCGCAGGCCCGCGTTTCCCGCTGACATTGGGGGTAAACATCAGTCGTTTATTTCGTTGGATTTCCTTATTCACCGTTTGTACAGATCGAATTACTTCTCTCTTGTCTGTTCTAAAGAGCAATTTCACTATACGGTTCGGGGGAGTTGACACTCGTGCCCAACTGGGCATCGAGGAGTTACTAGTGCCAAATGACGCACCACCCGCTTGGGAAACCGCCATCCAGACTGCAGCACATGCTGCTATTGCCTTGTCGCCACGGAAATCATATGCGGCGTCGGACGTTATGTTACGTACGTGAAGCTGCTGCGATAAGTATTCAGGAGACCTAGATTGACCATTATTTTTTAGCACCGGATGCTTTGGCGAAAAAAAAGCGGAGAATCCAGGAGCTCGCACGTTATGTGAAGTCACCGGCTGCGAATATGCCCCCACCAGTTTCTCGGGAGTACCTGCCGAGCAAGAACCGGGAGGCTCCTCAGCTTCGAAGGCCGTTCGTTCGAACCAAAGCCATACGCTGCGAGGTTGTCCCCGAGAATCAATCATCGGTCGAAGATCTAAACGATTGGGAGGCTCCTTGCCTTCCAAGGCCATTCGTTCAAACAGAAGCCATATGCTGCGAGGTTGTCTCCGAGAATCAATCATCGCTCGACGATCTGTTTAACATGGACTGATTGCTACCACGTCGTATTTCATCAAAACCAAAACATCAGTCCCCTTTCGTTACATGGCTGTTCCTCCAAGTTTGAATTTGTATTTATATATCCATCGCCCATCCCATTATCGACGGACAATCCTCTTTCCTCGGCTGCCACCACTGGTATCTGAAGTCTAGAGTCCTTTGCCCCATCCCATCTGTATGTTATGTATATTTTGTAATTAGATCTCTGTTAGAGCCGCTTTGGGATGTCTTTTCATCAATATTAGTATTCACATCACTCTGATTGTTGTCCAGCTTTTCCACAGCACGTTCCAATATTTCACATCATAATCAGGCTGTATTGGTGACTCGAACCCGGCCGGTTGGGCGCCAAAAATGCGCTGGGATTTTGAGTAGACACATCGAATCACTCGCTCGGATTTTTCCTGAAAGTGGCATGGAAACTCTGGCATTTCTGACCCAGAAACTATGGATGATTCACTGGTGGTAAGACCTTTTGGACACTTAGATGAATGAACATTTGGTGCAGAACAACAACGGCACGGGTCAAAGGAAATGCGACGGAAGGGGGCACATCAGGAGACCGCAGAGTTGTATTGGGTCAGCGGAGAGAAACAGGATTTCAGGCTCGAGGGATAGCAAGACTACCGGACACAATGCCGCAGGCTCAAAGAAGGAAGTGGGTATAGTGTTAGAAATGAGAATCTTGATTGATCGTATCGACTGTTGCCGATGAAACAATTAGTACGAAGAAGTTTCATGATCAGAAGCTCTCGAACGAACTAAAGTGCACGATTGGGGGATTTCTGATTTAATGAAACAATATTACTTGAAGGCGCTGAAAATCAGAATCAGCTGGCGAAGCGATGTGTTCCAGGATTGCATAAAAAAGTACATTGGGAAGTGAGGTTATATGTAGCGTGCATCATACCGGCACAGTGGGTATCGACCGATTTGATGCTAGAACTCGACGTGATCCGTCAAAGATGTTCCAACTGTTATGTAGCTGGCTTGATGTCGTATGAGTTGCACCGATCATGTGGAGCTTCATCATGCGACCACACTGCCGTTGATGGGATGCAGGCCCATGACGTGAGCTCTTTCTTCATGCTCTGATGATCAAGGAAAATCTGGTTTCCTGAATAGTTGTACTGTTCAAATATATTACTTGCCTCCATGAGACGATGATGTAAGGAGACGGAAATGAACTATACCAGCGTCTCAAGAGCATAGATAAGAACGGGCAGTGTGCCCAATCATCATGCATCATGCATGTGCATCAGCGCTGGCAACCCTGAGCCTGCGAACTGCTAGTACAAAGTTAGTAGTACGTACAGAACTTACTTGAAAGATCATGCAGGAAACCTTAAATAACCCTTTTTGGGGATATAGACTAAAAACAAAGTATGTGGCTGTGCGATTCTTCCCCCAAAATTTCAAATCGGAGGTTACCGGCTAAGCCCGCTCAAGTTAGTTCAAAGGCTCTCGGAGAGTAGCGCAACTGTCTAGTGCGTATACCATCTAGCACTAGGATGATCTAATGGTACTCACTGTTGAGGACTCTCGGCCGGCCTTTTAGACTTTGCCCGCGGTGGGAGAGACAGCGCTTGCAGTCATTGCAATCCTCGACACATCAAGCAGTTTCTCATTGTAGCGCATGGTGCCTCACGTACTGACCAGGCACTATCTCTGATGAGTCTCATTGCAAGCTTTGGCTGTGTAGTCACCTTGTTTGACGAGGCTTCTTTCACCCGTCGAGAACTTCGACCAACCGGCAACTTCCTACAGGTCATCTTAAATTAATACTAATGCATCGTACTTAAGTAATTGTATCGCTCCGTTCAAGACTTGCGGGCAGGCGCATTCTAAGTACCGATATTATTCTGATATGTCTTCCTTATCTGTGCCAGACATGACGAAGTTGCAGATGGTCAAGGTGAGTAAAAGGGCGGCTTTCCTCTGATAAACTCGAGGCTAACATCACGTCCGATTTAGTACGCCAATTGTAAGTGTGGGCAGATCGTTCAAAAACTGAACGGCAGTATTGACTATTTTTTTCAGTGGGCAGTCTTGCAATCCTCGTGAGTATTAAACACATTTTTTTTCGTGTTTCTACCTCAAATCTCTTTCGACATTGCAGGTATTTGATTATTGCATCACTTTTTCCGAAGAGGTCAAGGAAATATTTGTCTGTTCGCGAATGTTGTTCTGACCACTCCCCACAGGTGCGATGGACCTGGTTCAAACCATGGGACGTAATTCGTGTCATATTCGTCATTTCTCGATATTTGCCTTTCGCAGGTGCTGGAATAACTGCATATTGCGAGTGACCCACTTCGATTCTCTTGATCTTGTGCATTGCTGATGGGCATATCTTAGACGCATTACGTGCCAGCGATCAGGTAAGCTTGGCTGGCGAATAGTTTATACGCTTAGCTAATTGTATGGGGAAAGTGTGCCGATACTGTGGAAGGATATAGTGAGTCTGCCAAACTGTTCATTTTTTAAATTCATGCAACTTAAAAATTGTGAATTCCAGTCATCGACGTTATATGTATCGTTTCTGCGGAAGGTGCGCGTTCTGCATGCATGTTGAGAGCGCAGTTAATCTCACTTCCTTGGCAGCCTTGCTGGTTATTCGGACCTGGGCATTCTGGCAAAAGAGTAAAAGATTGCTGATCGGATTATGTCGTTTATAGTGTGGTGCGTGTTTTGCAGAGCAGGAACAATAGTAGTAGATTTTTATGATTGCATAGTTGTCAGTCGCCGCCGCCATTGCTGTAGACCTCGACCCTGCAGTGTTGATTCCAGGAGGTGAGTTCATTAGTGTTCACGAACGAAAGTCCTAATATGAGTATCAGGGGGGCCCTCCTGCCGCAGGATGTTACTTCGAGAGCACACGCAACTCTGCAGTAGTATACATGTTCTTGGCGATGTTTGAAAGTGGTCAGTAATTATCCAAAGCTATCTATTGGCCTTCTTACCTATAATATGGCAGTCATGCTGATCCTTACTGTGTGTAAGAGGATTCCGTGACTATAAAGACCTTCAGAGCAGAATTGTAGTAACCTTGTACCATGATGGCATGTTTTACATGTTGTGCATCCTCGGTGCGTGGAAATAGTTGGCTCTCGAGATATTATCGAGTAACGCGTTTAAGGAAGCCATCACACTCGCCAATGCTATCATCGGAGCTGCACTTCCAGTGCGTGTCTGGTCTGTCAATTGTAGGATTTGCTAACTTTCTGTTCTGCAGATCGCCTATAGCAATTTGTTTGACTCGTACATCACCGGCTGCATTCTGACTGCTAGTTAATCTCGAACCCACTGCACTACTAGGCTACAGCTGGTCAGTCATAGTGTTCTGGCATCACGAATTCTATTCCGCATTCGGCGTAACCACGAACGTGTCCACGAACCGTCCATTTCAGTAACGACATTAGACACTGCGAACTATTTACGACCTTCGTCAATGTCGATGGGTAGGATAGGTACTACCAGTGGAGGTCAGGGAATATAGGTGAATACGGAACTATCGGCCTCTGTTAAAATGAGAAGCTTCCGAGTTTGCTCTTGTCTATTTATGGCGGACGTTTGGTTACATTTCGACTTCTCGAGATGCCGCATGGATTCTCAATGTGAGATTGGTCTTTGGTTTCAGTATTACTCTTCAATTTTATTTAATGTATACCCTAGTTATATGAGCAATATCATAAACTGTGCTTCTGCGCTTGGAAGATGGTAAGTTTCGCGTCAAATAGCATACTGAACTTCTCCGCATCGAATGGACGCCAAGTTGGCGTTAGCACGCCACTTCTCTCAGACTCTCAGCACCCTCAACTTATGCACCATCTCCCAGCTTCCTTGCATGTACCACTGCAGCTGACCTTGAGCATGGTGGGTTACGACAAGCAACTTCAAGAGTTGCTGGTTTATGATGTCGAGTGAGAATTCCATAGCCTATCGTCTTTTACCCTGTTAAGCTTCTGCCACAGTGTAGGGTGAGTCCTGTACGGCGGGATTGTAAGAATTGCAGTAGTATTAATGATATAGTTTTCGCACTTTTGCATCAAGGACCACATCAAATGGCTACGAAAGACAATCCGGTCGAGGAGTAGTAGAAAATGATGACCAGTCGAGGAAATGAGTGGTAATGGAATGGGTTGAAGTAATTTGATCGTGCGTGGAGGAGACATTCGCGCTAACGTTTGACCTGAGGTTGGCTAACACAGAAGGATGGAAATCGGTCGCTACCACATGAACCTTGCGATGGTTGAAAGACGGCAATGCATCCAGTAATTTCATAACCACTAAGCTAACCAACCCCGTTCCTGCTCCGAGCTTAAGGACGTTGAGCCTGCGTGATTCAAGGCCGTGAGAGGAAGAATCCAGTCCAAACCGCTCAGGATCTTCGAGAATGATTTCTGCCAAGACACACGCCGCGCCCCAATTCTGCACTCCCACGCTCCCTTGGTCATTGTTGTCCAGCGGAATATCTGTGAGCTGAGCTTCCAGTGTGTAAGCTAAGGTAGGCTCTGGCGTCCCAAGATCATCCAATGAGACTTCCTCAGAGTGCGATAAGTCTTGCCGGACCTCGAGCTGTGCGATTAGAGTGGTAAGCCACCGAGTGGAATATGAGCGCTCGAATGCGTCAGATCGGATAGCTTGGAGTCCGCTATCATCCGAGTCTTCATGGCGAAGGAGTAAATTTTGCTCTCCATTAGATACAGGCACCTGCACACGTTGGCGACGTGAGCCACGGACTTCTGGATGGTAAAGTGACTGTAAATAAGTCAAGGCATCGAGGAGTTGGGCGACGGAGAAACTCGCGATCTTGGCGATCGGCGGAAGATATGTGGTCGGTGGGCAGAGAACAGAAATTTAGAGGCGTTAAAATCGAGGAGGCGGGACTCCTAATGCTAGCATAAAATCATACTAGTACTGGTTGAATATTTGAGAATTATGGTTTCAAGTTAACATGATTATTTACCGGTGTGTACTATGATAGCGGGAATAACAAGCCTAAACAACCATCACGCACAGTTGAACCACCGATCAGAATTATCAAGTAGCGGCGAAATGAATAATTCCAGTCAATCTTCCACTCTGTCTATATCATCTATCCCGCCATCTAGCTTTCAGAATGCTTCTGTCTATATGTCACAATCGTCGCTGCATGATTCCATCCATACTGATCCAAATTCACCAGAAGTGCTAAAACAGAACGTGCATAGTATAGCGCTTGACCATGTCGTAAGGATTCAATCACTGGCACGTAATTGCTTGCACGGCATGTAAGTCTCTCTACTCCCTTCACACTTATATGATGTTTAATGATTCGTCAGACAAAGCGCATACCAAGGAGGAAATAGTCCTGCACATACAACAGGCAAGTACGTTCATGTTTTTTTATAATTGTGGCTGGCTTTACGCTTCCAATTTTCAGCTGAGCTGGCTACACTCATGCAGGCACTTCGCACACTTGCTGAATTCCTTCGACAAACTGGTGTTGGCGCATACCCCATGCCACCCGCCCCTGAGTCTCAGAGTGCATCATCGGTGCCTCCCACAGAGCAGCAACTGATTGACACCACGGCCCGAGAGGTACAAGTGCTTTATGAGCGCCTGAAACATATTCAAGAGAGCAATACCGTTGCTGTAAATCTACTTGGGGCTGCTGATGCCATCTCTCGTGCACGCTAATCGACATCGGTGCCAATTCTATTGTGTATCTTTGTAACATCAGCCCAGTTGATATGCGACGATGCGCAGATTAACCAGCTTTGGCATGTGACAGAGTCTTTGAACTGGATTGTATTGGTGGTCAATCTCGAGGATGACAGTCGATTGCGTCCAGACGGTCAGTCCCTTGACGCAGTTGTTTCGGATTGCGTTGACAGTCTAGTACTCAATAGCTCTGATGGGGCGTGTTCTCAATTCAGCTGCCTAGCGTCTGGATACATCGATTGTGCCAAGAACTAGACGGCCTGAAATTTATCATGAGCCAACCTTACCTAGGTTTGACGTCATCAAATACCACCCAACAGCGGTATTCGCCACCCTTAAGAAGCTGAACTTCAATCCCGACTTATCCGGGGAGTGCTAATAAACGACCGCATTCCACGATTGATGGAAGCGGTGAATTTGAAAACGACTTGCACCTGCGAAGTATCTCATATGACGATCCAAGTTGCATATATACATCTGCCCATTCGTTTTACCTGCACATCTGACCTGCGATTATGCTGATATAGTCCGGACTTTGTTACTTCATCACGCAATGTTTTCTGTTGTTTGATCCGGAGGCCAAGATTTCGTTCGTCATTGGATCTTGATTTGATTTCCTAACTTTGATTAGTTGACGAGCTATAGTTGACCTATCTCGAGTCGTTTAGCTCAATGCTGGGTATATCTATAACTCTGGACATCGACATGGGACGCCCATGGGTGGTTACGAATGCGCACCCGAGTCATCGACCAACAATAGCAAGGCGGTTCAAGGGGACAGATACGCGATTTTCGTTACGATGTGGCGGGCCTATGGCTTTACTATCCATGACACATCGATGATGTTGATATTATCTAAAATATTGGAGTACAACCCGTGTAGCTTAGTCTGTGAGTACTCTCGTTCTCAAAGTAATATTCTTTCGCACACGACTTTGTTCAGTGCTCTGCTGTATACATGCTTCAGCTATGTTTTTGATTATAGTGGATCTTGCTCGTATTCTTGTGCACTTTTCTTCAAAATTCTGATATCTGATATCATCCTAGAGGATTCGGCATGATACAGCATGATAGTGTCTACAAGTCACAATTAGTAATACCGAACAAATGAGCAGATACATACGCCAAGGGTGACACCACTCACCGAATCCGAATATGCTACAGCCGCGTTTAACGACTTAGAGCTGTGACGATGCAGGAGTAAATCAGATTTATTCAACGGGACGCAGTATGTGGCACTAGTACAGCACAGAACAAGAAAGTATTATGCAGAAATAAGTACACAACAGGAGAGCGAGGGGGTGAAAACAACTAGAAATACAGCAAATGGAATAATATAGCGAATCGTGTCTCTAACTATACACCTATGTGGACAAATACAATCTGCTGTTCTAACGGAATCTTCTTGCGCAACGATCTCACAGCCTTGTGCAGCGCTACTGCAGCGCCTGTGCAGTCCAATCTTTTTGAATCACCAATTAACTTGCGGTAGAAAGCAGACACGACCTGGCGTGCAACCTCGTCGTCAACAGACCACATGGATCCGATCACACTGCGAAATCCGCAGAATTGCATAGCCGCAGCAAGATGGATCGACTCATCTGGGCTCTTTTCGTCGCCAACGGTAGTGTGGCAGGCCGATAAGAATGCAAACTGCGGGTTCTGCCAGTTGGATCGGACAATATCTTTGATCATTAAGGGCCCGTCGCGCATGGCGAAGGAAGACTCGAACGGCTGTGTCCGATTCGGCATTCCATGGCAGGCAAGATGGAGCCATTGATTACGGTTGAGTGCCTCGAGTGCACCCTCGACTGTTGCGTTGCCATCCTCGAGGGATGTGAAGGATATGACGGGAGTAACGTGCTGAGCGACGACGGCTAGCTCAGGAGCGACACATTTGAGTTCCTTCCCTTCAACCGGGTTGCCTTGACCGATGGCAACAAAATGTTGCGAGGACGTATCTCGAGAAACCTGCTGTCTTGCACGGACGAGAGTCGCCAAAGTGGGGGTGTAAGAGGAGATGTACATGTCGGACAAATTGTCTCTCCCCTTCTCGTATGGTCCTGCTGCATGGAGGGGAAGCAGCGTGAACTCAGCAGTGGGACACCACCAGATACGCGAATTAGGGCGAACTTCAGACTCTATAAGAGCTCGGACTACGGGGTCAACGACATCATTCCAAAGCTTGCGAAGGATGCCAACAAGCGTGAGTTGATGATCAGAAGAACCAAACTTCTCTGCGAGTGATTGGAACTCTGAGGAGAATTCGGACACTTCGGCTTGTGCAATGTCAAGCGGAACATGGACAGGATCTCCCGCACTATGGATGATCAAGGCGTCGCAGCTGTGCTGACTAGCATTAACGATGATCACTGGGCCATCTTCGGCTGCCCTCTGGAGGTCGGGAAATAGTGGAGGTAGGAGAAAACGTGAAAAGTCGGGGAGCATGCGAATGCGCGAGACAACTTCATCCCACTGCATGGTAAGTTGTCGAATTTGCATTGACTGGTCTTCAGTAGACTGATCGAACGCGTTACGAAGACAAAAACTCAACCGTTTGAACTCTGCTGCCCAGGCCGTGCCGGTGTCACCTGAAATGGAAAGTTCGTCGAGTGGTGTACTGAAACGTGCCAACTGGGTCCAGAACACCGCACGACCTTGCTCTACCAACTCTACCGCAGTCGTGAGTGCACCACGACGAACACTGCATGAAAACGCATCCGTGGCGAGAGAGGAAACAGCCTCCCTGATGACGTCGAAGTGATGCGAAGAAGACGACAGGAGAGCGACTTGCTGATCTAAGGATTTCAGTGCAATATTATAAGCAAGCAATGCAGATGGGTGATTGAAGATGTCGGCAGAGGCCGCCCATGACTTGGCAGCACTGAGATGTGTGCGAGATACTGCATGTGATAGGTAGGAGAGTTGAGAGTACAAGCTGAATGCTTCTTGAAGGTCAGACTGGAAGTCCCGTTTCCGGAATCTGTCTTGAAGGCTGATTGCAAGATTGTCCAGAGACGAGGATCGACCTGAATGACCAGGGGGACAGGGGAGTAGTGCAGCCCGATCGAGCTCAATGGCCTCCTCAAGGTCAGACATCATGCCCCGCTGCTGGAATCTGGCTCGAAGGCTGAGTGCAAGATGTTTCAGAGACGAGGATCGATCTGAATGACCGGGGGGACGGAGGAGTAATACAGCCCGATGGAGCTCGATGGCCTCATCAAGGTCAGACATCATGCCCCGCTGCTGGAATCTGTTTCGAAGGCTGAGTGCAAGATTGTCCAGAGACGAGGATCGATGTGAATAGCCGGGGGGATGGAGGAGTAATGCAGCCCGATGGAGCTCGATGGCCTCCTCAAGATCAGACTTGATTCCCCGCTGCAGGAATCTGTCTCCAAGGCTGACTGCAAGATTGTTCAGAGACGAGGATCGATCTGAATGACCGGGGGGACATAGGAGTAATGCAGCCCGATAGAGCTCGATGGCCTCATCAAGGTCAGACATAATTCCCCGCTGCAGGAATCTGTATCGAAGGCTGACTGCAAGATCATTCAGAGATGAGGATCGACGTGAATGACCGGGGGGACGGAGGTGTAATGCAGCGCGATGGAGCTCGATGGCCTCCTCAAGGTCGGACATCATTCCCCGCTGCAGGAATCTGTCTCCAAGGCTGACTGCAAGATTGTACAGAGACGAGGTTCGACGTGAATGACCGGGGGGACGGAGGAGTAATGCAGCTCGATGGAGCTCGATGGCCTCCTCAAGGTCAGACATCATTCCCCGCTGCTGGAATCTGTCTCCAAGGCTGAGTGCAAGATTGTTCAGAGACGAGGATCGATCTGAATGACCGGGGGGACGGAGGAGTAATGCAGCGCGATGGAGCTCTATGGCCTCCTCAAGGTCAGACATCATTCCCCGCTGCTGGAATCTGGCTCGAAGGCTGATTGCAAGATTGTTCAGAGACGAGGATCGATCTGAATGACCGGGGGGACAGGGGAGTAATGCAGCCCGATAGAGCTCGACGGCCTCCTCAAGGTCAGACATGATTCCCTGCTGCAGGAATCTGTATTGAAGGCTGACGGCAAGATTGTTCAGAGATGAGGATCGATCTGAATGACCGGGGGGACGGAGGAGTAATGCAGCCCGATTGAGCTCGATGGCCTCATCAAGGTCAGACATCATGCCCCGCTGCGGGAATCTGTTTCCAAGGCTGACTGCAAGATTGTTCAGAGACGAGGATCGATCTGAATGACCGGGGGGACGGAGGAGTAATGCAGCCCGGTTGAGCTCGATGGCCTCCTCAAGGTCAGACATCATTCCCCGCTGCTGGAATCTGTCTCCAAGGCTGACTGCAAGATTGTTCAGAGACGAGGATCGACGTGAATGACCGGGGGGACGGAGGAGTAATGCAGTGCGATGGAGCTCGATGGCCTTCTCAAGGTCAGACATCATTCCCCGCTGAAGGAATCTGTCTCGAAGACTGAGTGCAAGATTGTTCAGAGATGAGGATTGATCTGAATGACCAGGGGGACGGCGGAGTAATGCAGTCCGATGGCGCTTGATGGCCTCATCAAGATCAGACATGATGTCCCGCTGCTGGAATCTGTTTCGCAAGCTTTTTGCAAGATTGTTCAAAAAAATGGATCGGTCTGAATGACCGGGGGGACGGAGGAGTAATGCAACTCGATACCCTCGGTTGGTAAATGCAAGCTAATCTCGCTGTGAAAGGTGTTGCATGAGCGCAAATGGAGTGAGATCACAGTCAATACATACTTAGGGAGCTGAAACTGCAGTACTTGTACACCGAAGGTCTGCCAGGGCAAGGGAAATCATATGGCGAATGCTCAGTGATCCCTAGAATTTAAAAGCGAGCTGCATAACCAAGGTGAGGTTGAGGGTCTGTTAGAGAACTACACGAGGCTGGGGCGTTGCAGCCTGTAAAGTACATATGCAAGTTGCAATTTGAATACATGAAACCGCACTACAGCTGCGCATCGGGTCCGAATGTCATCCAAATGAACACGAGGGTGACATGATGAGTTTGCTGGCCTTCAATTATAACTTTGGAAATATCTGCAGGCGTGTTTTACCATTAGTTTACTTCAAGCACGGGCCCTTTCCAGCGATCTAAGGAAAAGGCATACAGAAATATGCGAGGCGTGATAGAAAGCACTAGTACTAGGCCTTCACCGTGACCACTCTGTTGGCGATGTAAAAGTTGACCATGTCGGAAATTCCTAATTCAGCTTTCAATGGATTACAAAGCATTGAAACGTTCAAATACAAACCTCCGCTTGAAATGGCTTCTAATAATAGAGGGTGTCTTGTAATGGTCATTCACATCGGGGTTATCGATATTTAGGAGATGTTTTTATGTCGTACCAAATGTGAAGAAAATATTTGAAATTTAAACCGACATAAAGATTGTCTTCTAAGTGAGTCCGAGGAACGAGGACGAACATAGAATGTCGTCTATGTGGCAGATGTCCTTTTTGGGACATCTCTTCTTTGCTTCGTACTACTACTTGCAAATTCTCAATACTCTATGACTCCGAGTCGTAACACTCGTTCTTTCGCATTTTCTTCACACAACGGACTAGAGTCCTTCCAACTCTAATATGCCGCGTCTACCGAGCGACCCGAATTTGAGTTATTGCCCTAATTATGCGGACGACGCATTCATCAATATGAGACTTCAATTGACCAATGAGAACATCACCGAACCACAGGCTATTGTAATACTCCGGAACATATGGCAAGCAGAGAACAATGCTGCAAAGCTTCAAATGGCAAGCACAGGTGAACGAAGACAGAGACCGGCGAGAACAGTTAGAGAGACTCGACAACGAGGAGCAAGAAAGGCAGGAACAAGAGACCCGTGATGAGGAAGAAGCAGTGCGGAAGGAAGATAGAAAAAAGAACAAGCATAAGTACACTGCCATTCCAAAACTGGATGTACCTCTGAAGTCTATAATCCTTCCCTCTTCCTACGCTCTACGCAAACTCGACAAGGGCGATTATGTTGAGCTCTGGTACTTTACCAATGAAGGTCTAGATGACGCCAAACTTAAGAGCTCCGTCGATGAAGATGCTATGATCATGGCCACATTAGCAGGAGGAGATACTGCGTGGGTATCAGCCGCGTCAACTCGGAATGCAAGAGCAGTCGTCGACGACCAGAATCTTAGGTTTGAAGACTTCTGTCAAGCTTGTCCACGTATCATCGAGGCCATGCAAGAGGCTGCATGGCCCGCAGATCACATCCAAATGATGGCCCTCTTCTGGCGTAACTTGCAGGTTCACGATTTCCGCTCCATGCGTGACCCCTTAGCGCAGAGAGCACTGCTCGTATACCAGGCAGAACAGAGGAAGCATTGGCACATCGCAGTCAAATCAGCTCGAGGAGCATATGATCTCTCCCAGATTAACGAGGTGCTCCTAGAGCGCACCAGATCAGACCTCTACCTTGAAGAGCGTACAAAGCTAGACAATAAGCGAGACTACAAGGTCAGTTCCTTTAGGATAGAACGTAAACAATTACACGCTAACAATTCATGTTTTATATCACTCTTCAAATTGAATGTAACAACATCAAAACTCGCCATACGCTACATGCCACATGCTACACGCTTCACTTAACACGCTACACACTTCACATGACACGCTACACGTTTCCTCGCTTTACCCTACGCTATGAAACACCTTCACAATATGCTACACTTCATGGCTTTGATCCATACGTTCACCACCATCATCAGATTGACCATTGGATCAACCTTCTTGCAGCAGGAGCATCCTCTAACTACCATCACAAAGGCAGAGACAACAGCCGTGCAACCAAATATCAACGACGACGTTCAGGGTCTCCGAGCCAGGAACAAGAATATTGTCATCAATCACCCCCACCGGATTCACACAAACATTCATGGCAGGATTTTCGAAGCAGCGCAAACAGAGGTCCCCTCTCCGCTTGCGCTGTCTGCCTGGGGAGACACCTGCACAAAATCATCGAGTGCAAAGCTACCAAGACTTGGGACAATGCCTCGGACACCCTCTGTGCTCAAGTCGGGAAACTCCTCAACATGCGAGACGGTCGCGCAATTTGCAGCGACTGGCAATGGGTCACAGGATGCAGCGATACCTCTCATGATCGTCGACATTTCTGCTCCGGATGTGCCTCCTCCTCGCACAGGGCCCAGAATTGCCCTCGAGCACAGAAAGCTTAGAGCGCTTACTCCATATAATGCTGATGCTTGGGAAGCTCGCCTTACGCGAGCTGGCCTTATCAATAGATACTCTCATATTCCCGAAGGACTCCGTCGAGGTTTTCATCTTAATCTTCCTGTCATTAAAGTCACACAATCTCCCCCCAACAAAGATTCCATTCTTGTCCATACAAATGAATTCCAATCTACATATTATCAAATCCAAAATCCAAAAAGAGAGATATATCAGCCCATGCACAGCGGCCGAAATCAAGAGCTTCATTGGTCCTTTCCAATCTTCCCCCTTCTCGATCATTCCGAAACCAGGTCGACCAGGATGTTTCCGTATCATTCAAGATTATTCTTTTCCCCATGTGCCTTCTATCGAATTCCCTAATCCATCCATTAATTCATATATTGACACAGATCAGTTTCCCAGTACCTGGGGAACTTTCTATACAGTCGTGCTTCTCATCAGCCGGCTACCTCCTGGATCACAAATCGCGACAAGAGACGTCGCCGAAGCATATCGCACCATCCCATTGCACCATTCACAGTGGCCTGCAGCCGTGGTGCGTATCGCTGACAATCAGTTCTGCATTGACACCTGCACCTTGTTTGGAGTCTCACCATCCGCAGGAGCTTACGGCTGTGTTGCAGATGCCGGACTCGATATCTTCAGATCCGAAGGTCTTGGTCTGGCGTCACATTGGGTTGACGACCATCTATTCTTTCATATACGAAAAGAGTTTCTTGAAAGGTACAATGAGCAATGACGAGAATGGCATAAGGATATTATTGAAAAGGGTAGTCATCAAGACGGAGGACGGATATGGTTCGGTGGGAGAGTTTTTGACGACGGAACTATCGAAGAGTTTGATGAAGATTGCAGGTTTCCGATCGTCAATCTGTCAAAAGCCTCGCACTGGCCACCAGAGGATGAAGTCTTTACTTACAATTTCGACGATATTAATAGGCTATCTCGCAACACTCGAACACCTTGGGAGCTGGAGAAGGACGCTCCTTTTGCTTATTCTAATCCTTACATCGGTTTCACTTGGGATCTCACAGGTAACCTTGTATACCTGGGAGAAGAGAAAAAGGCGAAGTATCTCCACGCATTACGAGACTATCAGGCGCGCACAGTGCACGTTCTCAATGACATGCAGAAGCTGCACGGCAAGCTCCTGCACATGTCATTGGTATATCTGAGAGGACGGGCTTATCTCACAAGTCTGGAAGTCATGCTGCGGATTTGTCATCAGCGTCCTTTCTTGCCTCACAGATCCATTAAAGCTCTCACAGAGGACATCGAGTGGTGGTCAAACCTCTTACAGAGCAAGTTCGTCAGATGGGAAATCCCAAGACTGGTCAAATTGTACGACCCCGAAGGCTTTTCTGACGCCAGCTCTGGCTTCGGGATCGGCATTGTCGTCGGAGAACAGTGGAGAGCGTGGATATTGTACCCAGGTTGGGCAACTCTTGATGGACAGAAAGAAATCGGATGGGCTGAAGCAGTCAGATTTGAGCTTCTCGTTCGATACCTTGTCGCCATGGATAGACCGGAACAACACTTTCGCGTCTACGGCGACAATCAAGGAGTCATTGAAGGCTGGAAGAACGGACGCAGTCGTAACACCGCCATCAATCAAGTCTTTAGACGCACCTTCAAATTCCTATCCAACTTACGAACTTCACACTCTTTCCATCCCACATATGTTACCAGCAAGTCAAACCCAGCGGACGGTCCATCCAGAGGAATATACGGCGATACCAGGTTACTCCTCCCATTCATCCCCCTCCGCAACCCTCTTCGCCGTTTCATCTATGACCCATTCTACCTCGCACCAAAGGACACTGGGGGCAGGAACCAATTTGCCCATGGGTCAAATGTTGAACCTAGCGTGATCTCAGACAGATTCAGGTCACCTTTGGTTTTGGCAGATAATGTTAACAAAAATTAAATTTTTTTCTTACTTTATCTCAATTTGAGTCATCCTGTCATATATACATTATAATCATCTTGTCTACACATTTTTATCAGACATAACAATTATCCTGGCATATGTTTTTGTTGTCATTTTGACATAGGATCACATAATGATCACATTTTTAACAAGCCTCAAACTTATGTTTTGAGTAAATTTTAACTGAGGTTAATTCTTTTTTATTCTTTTTTCATTGGAATCAAGCTAGGAAATTTTTGTCTATGAATGCAAGCAATATATTACTTTGATTCTGATCACATTTTGGAGTTTTTGTTAATTTATAACACCCTATGTTCTACTTATTTCTACACTTTTGTTCCTCTGATATATAATAGAAAATACAAAGTCAATTGATAGAAAAAAGTTTGACCAAATGTTAAGATAATATATCCTTTGCTCTGTAAACAAAATCAATAACAAAATAAAATCTGACTTTTTTTTGTTAACAAATCAAATTTTGACCAAAGTCGACATCAACAGTCAGTGGTCAACAGTTTACAGG